CCTGGGCTCCCTGGGCTCCCTCTCGTGTGCTCGGACGACCATGTGGCGAGTTTGGGGTGTATCGACGCGTGAAGGGCCTTGATAGAGAGGGGGGAGTAGGACAGATCGAACGACACCAAGATCATGGCGAACGGACGGCGGGAAGGGGATGGATGGCGTGAGGAGCGTGTGGACATACCTCTGACTGCCCAGCTGGATTATGCGCGGGCATCCGCGCGCATTCCCACGTCGTCTCGGCGACACCTTGCTCTATTCCCGGACGTCCGCGCGCACAGGATGTTGGCGACGCGGGCTGCGGGCTGCGGGCGACGTGGGTGAAACGCGAGGCGCGGGCGAGACGGGAGATGCGGGAGAGGCGTGCCGCTGAGGACGCGGAGGTGGTGGTGGGCTACGCGAGGCGGATCCTGCCGATGAAGCGGAGGGCAGGTGGGCCGAGGGCGACGCGAGGTGGAGGAGGCAGAGGACGAGGTACAGGACGAGGTGGAGCTGGAGGAGGACAGGTGGGCGAGAAAGACGCAGCGAGTGGCAGAGGAGAACTCACCAAAAGGTATCGGAGCCGCGGGAGCTCACCGCGACCCCACAGAGCGGCCGCGAGCGCGAGCGCGATGAGGCAACGGCGACGTGGGGGCCAGGACGTGCGAGGGCGTGGCGGGCGACGCAGGCAACGCGGTTGACGTGGGCGGGTGTTGTGAACGACGTGGACGAGGGCGAGGCGGGGGATGTGGGGGCAACATGGGTGAGGGCGAGGCGGAGAGGTCTGGAGAGGAGGACGGGAACGTGAGAGGCTGCGTTTAACGATTGAGCGGCGTTGAACGTGCCCTTCACGAGCATGAATGGTATAGGTAGGGCGGCGGTACGGCGTGGCAAAGACAGTGGCGTATATTGAAGGAAGCACGGCGAGCACATTGGAGGATGTCTTGCCGGAGTTCGTGGAGCGCACGGATCGCGACGCGCAAGGCAGCGTTCGAATGGGGAGGTCGACGCGCACATACGCGCCTAATTGCGTGGTGAACGGACTCGGAACGAGCGAGAGGCGAGGGCGGGACTGGGGGATGCAGGAGGAAGGGAGAAGGCGAGGTGCACATACGCAGATCCCGACACCACCAACGCAAATCCTCTCCGAATCCTACGGCCAGAAAGGCGTTCGAAAGGTCTTGACGACGCGCGTCGAGTGGTCCTGGCTACGTCATCTACGGCGGCGAGACGGGCGAGATCGAGCACCGGAAGGCGGGGGAACGGGGCGCTAGCAGTAAGCTCTCTTGGGCAGCGCACAGCGGGCGAACGAGCGTGGCCTGCAAGACGGTGGCGAGCGCGATCGAAAGGGGTCGACGAGGGCTGTCAACGAAAAAATTGCAGCGCGATCGGAGCGGAAATGGTGGGGCGGCGCGTCGAGTTCATCCTGAGGATGGCTGGAAGCGGTGGGGAGAGAGAAGCGGCAGCCGCAGGTGAACGGCTGCGCGTCTTGGCGGCGGTAAGGGCGCGTTCAATGCGGCGTGAAGAGGGGAGACAACGTACAAAAACGCGTGCGGAACGGATGAGATATTAAGCCGTGGTGATCAAAATCGCCAGGGCCGAGGAGGGTGCAGATGGTGTGGAGGGCGGTGATGTGGGGGCTGTCGCGAACGAGAGGTTGGGCGTACCTGCGCACGTAAATGTGCGCCTGAAAGGCCTTGACAATGGTAAGAGAAAGAACCTGCTCGTGTAGAAAACGAGCTTCGGGCCGTCGAGAGACGAGGGCATGAAGTTGGCAGCCGGATGGGCGCTCTTCTGTCGCAGAAGACGACGCGCAGTGCGACAACGGTGGGGTGGATGGTGAGACGAGATGGCTCATTGGAAAGAGGGGAGATTCACGCACAAAAAAGGCCCATACGCCCTCGAACGGGGGAAAACTCATGGAGGGGCGGGGTGGTGGTCGGCTAGAGGGTGATCTGTGTCGAGGGCGGCAGTGATCACGACGTAGGTCAACGACGACGGCACGCTCCACACCGCGGAGGGGGACGTTTGAAAGCCACTAATAACGCGCAGAGAACGAGTCCGGCCGCGCAAGAATCGGCGGCGGTGTTGCGGACCAATAGGGTGGGAGATGTCGGGATGGGGAGGAGGAGACTGCGTCTTCGAGCGCAACGTTCCAGGGCGTCCCGCGGCACAAATCGTTCGCGCTTGGCACTATAGAATGGGGAAAACGAGGGCTTGCGAGCGCAACAAGAACGAAGAGCTTACCATGAAAACCAGCGGAGATGCGTCAGGTTTCCCCTCCCCTAGGCTCCCTGGGCGACTCTTCGGGGCTCGGACAGCTATGTGGCGAGTTCGGGGCGTATCAACGTGTGAGAGGCGTCAATAGAAAGGGGGAGGCAATACAGGTCGAAAGAGACTAAGATCGCGGAGAATGGATGGTGTGAAGGGGATAGATGACACGAGGAGTGGGTGGGCATACCTCTGATTGCCCAGCTGGATTACGCGCGGGCATCCGCGGGCATTCCCACCTGCCCCTTTCGGCGGCACCTGGTTCTACGCACGTATATCCGCGCGCACATCTTGCAGGCTCTTGTGCAGTCTCTAAAATGTCAGGGCTCGCCTCAGCGCGGCTGCGGTCCAGGACCACGCTCTGCGCGCGAGACACATACATCACGTGACCAGTGGCCTCGCGCGGAGAGCGCGGTCCAGGACCGCGATCGGACTCCGCGCAGGGCTCACATGTCACGTGTCTAGTTGCCTGCTGCTGCACGGCCGCGGTCCTGGACCGCACTTAGGCTCCACGCGAGGCTAACTGATCACATGATCAATGGGCCTCGCACGCAGAGCGCGGTCCAGGACCGCGGCGGCGCGGCAGCGAGGGAGTTCAACACGTGATCAGTTAGCCTCCCGAGGAGCCCGAGTGCGGTCCAGGACCGCGCTCTCCGCGCGAGGCCCACTGGTCACGTGTCCTGTTGTCTGCTGCTCCACGGCGCGGTCCTGGACCGCGCTCTGCGCGTGAGGCCCATTGATCATGTGATCAGTTGGCCTCGCGCGGAGCCCGAGTGCGGTCCTGGACCGCGGCCGTGCAGCAGCGGGCAACTAGACACGTGACATGTGAGCCCTGCGCGGAGTCCGACCGCGGTCCTGGACCGCGCTCTCCGCGCGCTCTCCGCTGATCACGTGTTCTGTTGTTCCCTGCAGCGCAGCCGCGGTCCTGGACCGTGCTTCGACTCCATGCAAGGCCCACACATCATGTGTCCTGTTGTGTCTTTCTAGCTGTCCTCTTTTGGCAATCACCACTCTCCCCCTTGCATCTTGCAGGTGCTCCTTCTCTTTCCTCTTTTAGTAATATGTGCAGTATCCTCTCCCTGTGCTTTCCTATTATAGTAATGTGTGCATTCACTGTCCTCCACTGTGTGCCCTGTCCTTCCCGTGTTTTCCTTTTATAGTAATTACTCTGTGTGCTCATTCCGCGTCACTGGGCGCTTATTTGGCGAACCACTGACCCTGGAGCTCTTCTATATAACCTAACGGGACGGATCACGTGATCAATCACGGGACCCATGACATCATATCAGGTGATCACTGACGTCATGTTCTAGGACATTCCAGAAGCGGCTATTTATAACCAATTGCCAATCTACCAATTGGAAATAGCTGAGTCAATCCCCGATCGGACATACATATCCCGGTCGGACATGCTGACTGCGACGTACGAGAATAGCAAACGAATGAGATCGTTGCGATTACGGTAAGTAGACCGTGACCTGATCCATTTGCAAGTATTAGTACACCAACTGACATACTCGAATATAGGCCTGATGAGACTGCATAAAGTCGAAAGGTCTCTGGCGGGGAAACCCCCAGATCTTGCCACTTTTCGAGTGCACTCTCTTCACCCGTAGCCGCAACGCTCCTCCGCTCGCTCCGCTCGCTACGTCGCTCGCGTCTACTCTCCCCCGAAACATAGGAATAAGTTTCATCTATCATAGTACATCTGGCTCCCCAGTGCTCTCTCAACAAATGTCTTACCAGATTATCACCAGTCGAGCAGAGCCCTACACTACGCAAGTCGATCGTGTCCGATCATTGGGCATCCGGTCCGACGATGTCTGGCGTCTGCTGAGCTGACATCATCCGCTTTCGCCAGGCGCCACAGCGCTCGATCGGCCGCCCCTCGTTTTGCTGATGGATGAGCGGGGTGGGGTGATGACAATAAATCGACATGTCCCACCAGTCAATATATACCTCGTCATCTTTGAGACCCATAGTGGTTGACAGTTGACCACAGCGGTACGTCGGACAAAGTACGGTGGTGCGCTTGAGCCTTGGGGCGTCCGACGTCGCGTCTGTGGCATGAGCAGGATCATGTGATCGCCAGAACCTCAACCATACACATGATACAACCACCCAGAAGGCATTCCTCAAATATCTCGACGTGCTCGCACTTTTATCACACAATAATCGGCATGCAGAGAGTATAGCGCATTTGAACTACGTTTTAGATGTTTCTACATGGAAAGAGATACATATACATGAGAACTCCATCAAACAGAGGCGAAGTGGGCATTTCGGAGGAGGGCGCTAAACGTTCTGTTTGTCATTGTTTGTATCGCCGTTCACGCCCTAAGCACTGAATTGCTCGCTGCGCTCGCAACTATGCTCCATGTGCCCGATGGATCGCAGACACTGTCTACGGATGTGCGCGCACCATCGCGCACATGGCAACTATGCTGTGTGAGGCACCCACAGTCCATGTGCGCGATGGTTCGCGCCCTTTTGGGTGGGCGCTAGTTCTACCCCTCATGCAGCTCTTACCCTCCGGACCTAAAAAAAGGCCTCTCTTATGCAAAGCTCAAGACGATCTACTCCAACCTGGCAGACCTCGAGGAAATCACTGGGTGGTGATGCCGACATTCCTGATCAGGAAGGGTGGAACGAGACAACTACGGCAGACTCGTTCTACGCTAGGAATACAATGAGTAGTGACGGGTAAACTATGAGTGTGTACAGTATATCAACTCCGCATCCAACCTCTACGACCTCTACACGCCCTCATCAGCATCGGGCTCGGTGGGAACCAGCGGTGCTGTCGACTGTGCAATCGTCGGGTCTGTCGGGAAATTGTCCTTGATGTCAAGCGTGTCCGCGTTCTCAGACACGCGGATCCGGACCCTGTCCCCGTCCCTGAGCAGGTGCGCAATAAGCACGCTTCCAGAGCCTCAAGAGCAGGTTTACATACCTAATCGTCCCGCGAAGCAGCTTCTGTGCGAGCGGGAAGAGCACCTCCGTGCGTACAATACGCGCGATCGCCCGCGCACCGTACGTCTCCGAATACCCGTGCTTCATCAACCACTCCCGTGCCGCACCGTCCACGTCCATCGTAATCCGCCGCGGCTTCAGACGCTCAGCAACGTCCGCTAGGCGGAGGTCGACGACCTGCAGGATGGACGCCTTCGAGAGCTTGTTGAAAACAAGCATCGAGTCCAGGCGGTTGAGGAGCTCGGGGGGGAAGTACTCTGTTGTGCGCTCAATCACTTCGTCGCGTGCCTCGGGCCTCACGACGCCATCTTCATTCGACGCGGAAGGATGGGCAAGGATGTCGGAGCCGATGTTCGAGGTGAGGCAGACGATTGTGTTCTTGAAGTCGACCTTGCGCCCCTGCGAGTCGGTGATGCTGCCCTCATCGAGGATCTGTAGGAGGATCATGGCGACGTCCTTGTGCGCCTTCTCAAGCTCGTCAAGCAGGATCACAGCTAGCGGCGCTCATCAGACGGGACTATCAAACACAACAAATAGAAACCTACCGTAAGGCCGGCGACGGACGGCTTCAGTGAGCTGACCCCCTTCTTCGAACCCAACATATCCGGGTGCCGCACCGATGAGGCGAGAGATCGTATGGCGGTCGTGGTACTCCGACATGTTGATGCTGATTCTGCAAGACTATTTGAGTACGATAAAGCGAGGAAAGAGACACAGCAACTTACAAGCCCCGCTGCTCATCGTTGAACAGGAAAGATGCGAGCGCCTTGCACAGCTCGGTCTTGCCAACACCAGTCGGACCGAGGAAAAGGAAGGAAGCGACCGGGCGATTGGGTGCCTGGAGACCAGCCCGGGAGATACGAACAGCATCGCTGACTGCCTCGACGACGTGGTCCTGGCCGACGACGCGCCTTCTCAGGGCGTCCTCCATCTACAAAAACTGTTAGCCCTTCGGGATGCGCCCAGATCAAAGATGAACGTACATGGACGAGTTTCTCCCTTTCTCCCTTCAGCAAGCTCTGGACAGGGATTCCAGTCGCCTTCGCCACAACACGCGCAATGTCCGCGCTCGTCACCCGATCGTGCAGCATCGCCAAAGAACCCTCCACGTTCTCCCCGTCGACCTTCTCCCGCTCGCTCTCCGTCGGCAACTGTCGCTCGAGTTCTGGGATAGTCGCGAACCGCAACCTCGACGCCTTTTCGTACTGGCCCTGACGTTGCGCGATCTCGAGCTCGCGCTTGGCCTCCTCAAGGCGCTCCTTAAGCTCCTTGTTCTTCTCCAGCCGCGCGCGTTCGCCTTGCCACACCGCGGTCAGCTTCTCCGCCTCCTCACGCCTCTGCTTGAGCTTGGCCTCGACCGCGCCGCGCCGCTCGACGCTGAAGACGTCGTTCTCGTTCCGGAGTGACTCGCGCTCGATCTCGAGCGTCATGATCTCGCGGTCGAGCGCCTCGAGCTCGTCGGGCTTGCTCTCCTGCGCGAGTCGGAGCGCGGACGCGGCCTCGTCGACGAGGTCGATCGCTTTGTCTGGCAGGAAGCGGTCGGAGATGTAGCGTGATGAGTAGACAGCTGCGGTGACGAGCGCGGAGTCAGAAATGCCGACTCCGTGGTGGACTTCGTAGCGTGGCTTGAGGCCGCGGAGGATGGAGATGGTAGCTTCAACTGACGGCTCTTCAATTTGCACAGGCTGGAATCGCCGCTCAAGCGCTGCGTCCTTTCCGATCGTCTTGCGGTACTCATCGGCTGCGTTGCGCGGTCAGCAAGCGAACAGGGGACCACGGCCAGAGCAGACATACGTGTTGTTGCGCCAACAAGCTGGAGACCGCGCGCGAGAGCGGGTTTGATCATTTGACCAGCGTCGATGCTGCCTTCAGCCTTACCAAGATTGAAGAGCGTGTCTGTAGAACAATGAGAACGCGAAGAGGCACGACGAAAAGCACACGTACGAAGCTCGTCAATGAAACAGATGACATTTCGCGCCTCGTCCTCGATGTCCTTAATGAGAGACTTGAACTTCTCCTCGAACGCACCGCGGATCCCCGAGCCGGCCATGATCGCGGCGAGGTCGATCGAGAGTACGCGCTTGTTTTGGAGGACTGCAGGCGCGTGACATCAGACAAGAACACGCATACAGCCATCTACAGAGCATACCTCTGGGACTTCCTTCGCGACAATGCGCTGCGAAAGCCCTTCGAGGATCGCAGTCTTTCCGACACCAGGCGGGCCGATGAGCTACACAACGGTATGTGAGCAAGAGCTGGTGCGGTATCACGAATCTGGGACTCACAACCGGATTCGACTTGGTGCGACGAGAGAGGACTGCGGAACATAAGCATGACGCAGGAGAACACGAGAGTAGTGCTCACTTTGGATGGTCCGCCGAATCTCCTCGTCGCGGCCGATAGTAGGGTCGAGCTTGCCATTCCTCGCGAGCTCTGTGAGATCGACGCTCTGCCAAAGGCCGGTCAGTTCTACAAACATTATAGAAAATAAGGCGGGAAAAAGCGAGCATTCATGGCTCGAAGATGGAGTGCACGGCTCACGGTGCGTAGCAGGGGTGCATATATGGAAGGATGAAGAGAGGACTTACAAATTCCTTCAAAGCATCACCTTTCTGCCGCTGTTGCCCCATCTGAAACCCGGGGAACCCGCCCATACCTCCGCCAGGGGGTCCCTGTGCATATCCTCGGGCCGAGATGAGGGCAGGTCGTGATGCTATTGAAATGCATGGTGAAAGTCGGGAAAGTGGGGCGCGGCGGGGAAGAGCTGAGAGTCCTGGCTGAGCGATGGGGAGACGTGAGACAAGAGCGAGTTGTGGACGTGCGAGCTGTTTTCTGAGCATGAAAGAGGTGGGAAATGCAGATGGAGCAGTGAACTTTCAAAGCAATGGAGGAGGAGGAGGAGGAGGAGAGATGGCAGCGGTCGCAGCCAAGGTGCTTAATATATAGGCGCGCGCGTCCCCCGGTCACAATCCACTGGCGCTTGGTGGAACTTCCCAGATCTTTCGTCGGGCGGGCGACGACTCGACACGCCCTGCCGACAAGTTTGGAAATTCAAGTCTGAGGTATCGTTCTGCGTCCATTATAAGGTGTCGTTGGTATAGTACAGGCCCGAAGCACGATACTACTACGAGAATCCGTGAATTACGGCCTCGAAGGTCGCAAACGTTACCATATTTACTGGGATCGCTCTTCATATGCTCCGTCAGAAAGGTTTTGCAGCGTGCTAGGGAGACGCACCTTACGAGTGTCGGTGCAAGTCCGCGGAAGAACACGCCCACGCCTTCTGCGCGATACGAAGCAACGATCGTCGTCCACGTCGTCCGGTACGGATTCCCTGGCTCTGCCGCGACAGTACTCTGCACGCGCGTCTTGACCACGTCGAACGGGAAGGTCACGATCCACCCCGCGACCCCCGCGATGCCACTCGCGGTGAGGAGCGCGGTCCACGAGTGCGACGCGACGGCAGCCTCGACCTCACCCTCGCGCGTCTTCGCGGGCGCGTGTGGCGCATGCGGGCGCGGCCAGTAGCGGAGTGTGGCCTCGTAGGCCGTGAAGTATGCGCCATATCCAATGTCACGGAGCGCGGTCGCGGTGATGCCGCGGTAGAAGCCGCGTAGGCCGTGCGTGCGCCATATGTGCCGGATGACGTCCAGATCGCTCTGTGGCGGGGAGGTGGGGGTGCGGACGAGACTCTGTTGGTGCACCTTGATGAGCTCGGCGGGGGTGGTGATCAACCTTAAAGAGCGCGAGCGAAAGGTCGGTCGAAGTGGAGAACAGAGGCGAATGGAGACGTACGATGAGAGGATGCCGGTTCCTGCACCTGCGAGGTTTATTTGGGTGAGTGTAGGAGTCGCGTTATCATCGTCTAACTGAGCGCGCAAAAGAGAGCGGTACGACGAAAAGACTATCCCATTCAGAGGCGGGGCGCCGGCCTGTGGGCGAGTGAGATGATGGGCGTGCGAGGCAACAGAGGGAGGAGCTTACGAGTGGGGCAGCAATACCGCGGTAGAGGCCTCGTATTCGTTCTTCGCGTACAATCGTAAAGAAAGCATGAAAGGTAGAGCGGTACTTGGACGCAATGTGCGGACTCTGGAAGCGCACTTTGACTGCAGAACATGTTCGATTTCGACTGCACGCTGAAGGGGACAAGATAACGCACCGGTGTCAAACGGGTATCCCACAGCAACCGCCGCCATTCCTGCACAGTGTCCAATCTCAGCTTGCAGGCCACCGGTTCAAGTCCTGAATGAGCTCCAACATACCGGCCACCGTTCCAGCGAGGAAGTCGACGGCGGGGCTGACCTCTGTGAGCATTCAGTTACTCAGCGAAAAATGAGTGAGATACGCCAAGCGATGCGCTCACCCATAAGCTTGCTGTCCGGGGCATCGGACATGGCGCGCGGGTCCGGGATGCGGAAGAGGAGGGGAGGTCCAGTTCGGATGAGGTCCGACACGGAGGTCCAAGCGCCCACGACATCATCACCCTCCGCGTGCCGCCCAGCGAGCGCAGCTGCGCCCAGCTCTTGCAGCTTGCTTCCCTTCCACCACCACCCTCGCCTCTCCTCTCGCCTCTCGCCTTCCCCGATACAAAACCGAACGTTCAGGTGAGCGTCGCCCCGATGTCTCTTCAAGTGAACCTGTCCGGCAGGGAACTCTCGGAGGCGTACCAGAACGTAGTCAACGCCCGTGGTGTAGATTGGGCGATCTTCACCTACGACAAGGGCACCAACGACCTCAAAGTCCAGGCGACTGGAGATGGAGGTCTCGAGGAGCTTCAGGAGGAATTCTCCGACGGCCGGTGCGTCCCTATCGTTCTCCGCCCGTTCTCGGTCCCAACCCGTCCGTCAGCATGCAGTATGCGTTCGCGCGCGTGAAGGATCCCAATGTACGTTCGCGCGATCTGCATTACGTCCAGCACACTAACGCCCGGTTCAGAGCACGCTCCCCAAGTTCGTCCAGATCAATTGGTGCGGTGACGGTGTCCCAGAGGCCCGAAAGGGTCTCTTCCACACCCACTCCAGCGCAGTGGCAAGATTCCTCCGCGGGACCCACGTCGTAATCAGCGCCCGAAACGAGGTACGCAAATATGGTTATCGACTCGTCTTCGCATTCCAAACGCGCATACAGGAGGATGTCACTCCCGAGCTCATTATGTCTCGTGTCGAGGCCGCCTCTGGCGTCAACTACACCGCCCAGAAGGAAGCCCCGCGCAAGTTCGAGCCCATCGCTCCCGTTGGGACAGCCTACATCCCCGTGGGCAAGGTTGATATCAACGCTCTCCGTGCCGCTGCGCCCCCGCCCGCCTCCGCTGCGTCCAAGCCTCTCCCCGCTGCGTCCCGTCCCGTCCCCCCAACGGCTGCGCGACCTGTACCCGCAGCAGGCGGAGCGTTTGGACGGCTTGCTCCGGCTGTGAGCAGAGCTCCCGCAGACGCATGGGCAGAGAAGACAGCAGTTTCGCGCCTCCTCCGCCCCCGCCAGCTGCGTCTCGCCCGCCCGCAACCATCCCGAAACCTACGGCTCCTGCGCCTTCGGTGAGTGATTGGTAGTTTGATCTTGCATTTGCGGTGAAGTGACGATACGCGGCAGCCTGCAGCCAGGTTCTCCCCTGCCGCCTCTGCACCCGTTGTTTCGTCTGTCACGCCTACGAAGCCGGCCGAAGACGACAAGATTGGACCTGTGGGGACCGCATACACGCCCATCAAGCTGCAACCCAAGAGGCTTGTTAACCCCTTCGCCACTCGCCAGACCGAATCGGAGACCGCGACTGCCCCGCCCAAACCTGGTGCTGGGCTGGTGGCGCGAAGAAGCTGACCTGGACGGAGCGTCAAGCTCTCGCGAAGAAGCAACAACAAGATGAGGAGACCCGCGCGCAAACGGCATTGGGCAGCCAGCCTATGCCTCCACCCGCCCCTGCCTTCCGTCCGCCAGCTGCCTCTGCCGCCCCGATCAGAGCACCTTTGCCACCGAGAGCGTCTGAGCCTGAAGAGGAGGAGGAAGAGTACGAGGCTCCAGTGAGTACCACTTTGGCGGATCGTCGTACGGTGCTCATGCTTGTGAAAGCCGCCTCCCGCCCCTCTCCCAACCGCGAGCCGACCTCTTCCAGCGGCCTTTCCCGCTGCGGAACCTGCCCCTCCGCCTTCGCCTCCGCCTCCGCCTCCACCTCCACCTCCACCGCCGGCCATGCACGAGTCCGAGCCCGAGGCAGAAGTCGCGCCGCCTCCGCCCCCGGTAAGGTTCTCCTTCACTTACGTTTGATAAGACTTATTTATGCTCTGCGTCTCTTAGCCTCCGCCTCCGCCTCCGCCTCCGCCTCCCCCGCCGCCTGTCGCTCCTGTCGCGGCCGCCGCCGCGGTCGGTCTCTCTGCTGGCGCGGTGATGACCGCGGCTGTCATGACGGAGCCAGTGTCAGAGCCGGAACCTGAGCCTGCGCACGCCCTGAGGCTGTCGTCGGCCAGGGTGTCTGTGCGATTGTCCAGTACTCGTACGAGGTGCGCATTCCGAAGGTCATTCTTCCTCGGCCGAGACTGACCCCTAGCTCGTCCTCAGGCCCAAGAAGACAATGAGATGGACCTCAACGAGGGTGAGCTCATCGAGCAGATCGAGCAGCTCGACGAAGGCTGGTGGTCTGGCGTCGGTCCCGATGGCAAGCAGGGTCTCTTCCCCTGGTACGTCAACCTTGCCGGTCACCACGTGGTGATCGTCTCTTACATCGCATGTAGCCAACTACGTTGAGATTGTCGAGTCGCAAGAGGTCGCAGCACCTGCCACCCCTCCGCCGCCCTCTCCGCCGCCTCGCCGCTCCACCTCCCGCGCCGCCTCCGCCCCAAGCCGCCGCGGAGCCTGAACCTGAGCCCGCTGCGGAAGAAGACCTCGGCTCGTGGGCCGTCGCCCTGTACGAGTGCGTGCTTTCGACTCGAATGACCCTCCTTTGCCGACGCTGACGACCTCTGTAGCTACGACGCGGGCGAGGACAACGAGATTTCGTTCAAGGAAGGCGACAGGATCACGCAGATCGAAGCCACCTCTGACGACTGGTGGTCCGGCATGGATCCTCACGGCAGCGTCGGCTTGTTCCCTGGTACGTTGGCTCCTGGCTCCGTGGTTTGCTGCTCTCTGACTCGGTGATGCGACAGCCAACTATGTCGAACTCCAGGCGTGAGTGTCAGTGGGACTCTCAGGGATATGTGGAGGTGTAATAACGAGAGGAATGTACATCAACGACTGGAACGCTACAAACTAAATCTGACCACATGACTTTTCAATCTCGAATGAACGCGCGCTTCTATCCGGTGACCGCCACGCATCCCAAGCAGTGGACACTCTACGATACACCGAAAACTTGATCCGGTCCTCGACGGGCGAAAATGTCTTCTCGCCCGGTGGTGCGGATGGCGTCCCGAACGGCATCTGTGCGACGAGCTCCCACGTGTCGGGCAGACCCCAGGCGGCGAGGACCTGAGGGGTGATGAGCGGCGCGTAGTGTTGCAGCGACGCGCCGAGGCCCTCGTTTTCGAGCGTGGTCCAAACAATGAACTGGAGCATGCCCTGTCGTTTGCGCAGAAGGTCAGCGAGCGGACAAGAATGCGCGGTGCACACCGCGCGTGGGAGGGCCCGGTGAGCATAGGAGAGACGGGACGCACACTAGTGTGCTGCGCCCAGCCGGGGAACTTGTCGGCGTAGGACGGGTACGCGGTCTGGAGCGCGGTGACCGGGGCGGAGTCCTCGAAGAACAGGACGGTGCCGTGGCCGGCGGCGAAGCTGCTCGTGACCTTGGCTTCGGTCATCTCGTACTGCTCGGGGGAGACTTTGGGCTTGAGCGTATGGAGGACGATCTGCCACAGCTTCTGGTGGGCGTCGCCGAAGAGCACGACGGCCTGAGCGCGTGGCAGGCACCACGTCAGCGTGGTCGTGAGAGGAAAACCAGCGCACGCACGCGGGACGACTGCGCGTTGAAGGAGGACGGGACGTGTTTGACGGCGTCGGCACGATCTGCACGACCTTGTCGTCAGGGATGGGCGATTCCGAGGTGATAGTGTAGATCGACCGGCGTGTTTTGACGGCGGCGAGGAACGCATCGGATGTTCCAGTCGAAGAGACATCTGAGGAGGCGGAGGTTTGGGCGGTGTTGAAGGCCTGCTGGAACGGTTCGGTGTTGAAGAGGAAGGCGAGCAGGAGGACAACTACGGCGCCCACGATTGGGAGTACGCCAGAGAACGTGCCTCCGCGAGCCTGGGGCCTCGCGCTCGGAAGTGTTGCACCGTCCGAGGCATGCCCTTTGCGCGTAGATTCTGACGACGTCATGAGCGTACGCAAATGTGTATTGACTTCAGGAACATCAGATACAGAGCGCAACAAATGCGTGCTGACGTAGGACTCACTGTCGGTTATGTCGACACGGACGACAAGGTTGTAGAGAGGGACGCGTCTGAATCTGGCCTGTGTGCGAACTGCGGCTGGCCCTAGTGCGAGGTGCGAGTCCGGTGAGTCAGCTGCTGACTAAGCGAAATGACATACTCAAGTTCCACGGATATTAGGCTTCTGCACGACGATACTGGGAACGGATTCATCACGTGTGGAGCGCACCTTCTTGCCTCCCGCGCCGCATTTCGGCTGCAGCGCAGGATAAGGTCGATTGAGAGCTTCCTGAATTTGAGCCGCAAAAACGCCGGAGTGGGAGGTTCGCCTTAAGCTTCCTGTCGGCGGGGCGGGCGCGGACGCATGAGCTCTACTATGCACAACCCATTGCGGATTGCCTGGGCTGCTGCAGGCGCAGGATCACCCTTCAACGTCATACGTACATGGTATCGACGTCCTCCCAGCCCGGATTTCCGTCATCATCTGCGATAACCTCCGGCGACGATACCCGGCAGGACTACTCAGTCCTGATAGATGACACCTGAGCACTGGGCGTAGAAATCGTGAGGCGTGGATCGAGAACTCACGCGAGCTTCACACGCCGCGCTGCAATTATACACGTTTCAGTGCGGACATGTTCTTGCAGCGGTAGGTCTTGATCCTGTAATGCACGTTACGCCGCTCCCGTTTGGTACGAGCGATATACGTTTCACAGTGCCGAAATCTGTTCAAAGACCGGTGTGATCCAAATATCGATGCCCACGGGAGACACGTCCCGACCCAGTCGGCGATGCGCAAGGCGACGCGAGGGACGAAGTCGTCTCCGGCGATGAATTTCAATGGCAAAGTGCGCGGCATTGTAGATCAGCGGCCCATCGGTGTTCTCGGCGCAGCGATCGCCACGGCTTCGCGCGGCATCTAATCGCATGTACGCCATGGCTGCGATGGCAAAATCGAAGGCGTACAATGGGAGCAGATTGAGTCATTGACGTAGGGACGTAGGACGGGGCCTGCGCTCCTTCGTTTGGTGGTCATAACCATCGAAAGCGCCAGGAACTGTGATCCGAGCAGCGATCGTTGCTTTGAACCATGCGGGTTTTCCGGGCGAAGAAAAACGTCAGAACGCGAACAGGATGGACCTGAGAAAGTAGGAACTGTAACGGTGCGTTTCTTGCGGGAAATCTCCTCGGTGGGGATACTTCATAGTAGAACCCAAGGATCTTGAGCTCTAAGGTGTGTATGACGCCCATGACATCGCTGGCCGCTTCTTGTTTCAAGGCGAGCAGTCTGCAGACGAACGGGAAGCAGTCTGGGATATGCGGATCTATAGGGTGGCGAGGAGATGCCTGGTAGGAGCGGCCGCCGGCGAAAGCAACGTGCGCAGCCGTGTGCCAGACGTGCCGCCGGCCGATGCCGGTCGACCCAGCCTGTGCCTGCAAAGCGCCGATGGAGATGATCCAGTGCGAGTTGCCACACACCGCTAGCCCATTCACCGTGAGCTTTCACTAGAGGATACATTCCATGATGACCCAGGCTGACATTTTTCCAGCCATTCGCAACATGTCGCTCTACGCGAAGCCTCGACTCCCACATGAGCTTACCGACCTCGTAGTCGACCATCTCCACGATGACTGGGCCACCCTTCTTGCATGCATCGACACAGGTTCCAATTCGCCCCTATGCCCACGATCAAAACTACGCATTAGCAACGCTACCCTCAAGATATTCGAAGACCCTGACCCCTATCCTGACGTCCAAGCGTTCCTCCACACGGTTGTACTTTCGCCATCCATAGCGACTCTGATCCGCTCGCTTCATCTCATCGGCGTGCTATTAGTGGCTCCCGGCGAGGGCATAAGCAAAGAAACTCGAGATAAACATCCCCTACCTCAAAGGTTTGACCTCTCCCACCTCATCAATCTACGGAGCTTCATTGCTTCCCATGTCGACATGGAACTTGTAGCCCCGCTCCTTAGTGGCATAGGCGGACTCACGTCTGTCGAAGAACTTTCCCTTTCGCACACCAATCGCTGGCTCACGTATCCTCCCACAGTCATGACCGTTTTTGACAGTGCCACATTCAAACCACGCCTCAAAATATTCCCCCTAATTTACCCTGATCCCAACCTATTGGCATGGTGGCGATCTCTGTCCCGAGCCATCGTTACGTACCCGGCCGGTCCGCCGGAAATCAATCGTCTTGAGTGTCTTACATTCCACGTCGCAGGCTCTATCACATACGATCGTCTCCTGACTCGCGTATTCGCGGCCAACACTTGACAACACTCGACATCGTCATCTCCACTCTTTTTATCAACTCAGAGATAGGGATTGAAGGTATGTTTCCACACGCGCACTTCCACTCGTCGGAACTGAATCCGCGCCAACAGAGAGACTCCCCAGTATACTCGGAGCGTGCCCTGCCTTGAGATCGCTGAGTCTTCACCACCACCCTTCGAACAAAGCGGCAGACCCTCACGTGCATCGCGGGCTCCTCCTTCGTCTCTCCGACGTCATCGCACCAAAAGGCGAGAGCGCGACCAGCTTCCAGGCACTCGAAACGCTCACGCTCACGCTCCGCGCGTCGGACGACAAAGGGCTCCTGCAGAGGCAACCCGAGAGTCTCGCCCCGTTCGACATCCTTGTGCGGGAATTGGGAACACCGAGGCTTTCGGCACTCCGTCGCGTTGATGTCATTATTGCGTGGTTCCGTGGCGGCGACAATAATCAAAGCCAAGGACACGAAATGAATCCACGCACTAAGGAGATGGATAGGTGGGACGAGGTGGTGAGTGTGGTCGGCACGAAGCTCGAAACCCTCCGACGCGGAGCGCGAGTGGTGGAAACGTCGGCCAAGCTGGTGAAGCACTCGTGGTAACGTTTAGCATGCGCGGTGTCTTATTTGCATGTGTCGCCGTGAATGGTGGGCCCACGTTCCTCTCATTTAAACGCAAGTTGGCGTTCATCAGGGTCGCAGTACATAGGCAACACGGAAGAAGGTGTTGATGCGTTTATTTGGATATCTTTGGAGGTTTTGATGCGCAGAAGAGGAAGTGAATGCGACGGATCGTCTGTGACCCAGCTGGTGCTCCCTGTATTACTGCTTGTATTAAGACAACGTTCATGACGCACATATGGCTTCTCTGACTTCCATGAGTCCCGCAAGCGTACTGAAGTTCATAGAAGCCTTCCGATACCAGTACCATTTTGCAAGGAAAATACCTCGAAACACACACAAGCGACAGAGGACATATGGCCTCCCATTCCAGCGTACAAGTCTAGGAACGTGAACTTCGAAGTCCGTGCCCCAGCCATCGGACCATCCCGCGACAAATTATTGAAAGGTCTCCACCTCTACTTCGACGCTCACACCACCTCTTCGAACGCGGAAAAAAAAGCTTGCCTCTCAATTTCGCCGTGTTCGGCTACGGCTCGACCTCCTTCGGCCATTGGCCCTACCCGCATGCGCGTTCCGGGCGAGGAAGCTGCAGCCTCACTCGCACGCGCCGGAAGCCAGCGTCCGCCACCGCGCGGAGCGCGAGCACTTGCGCCCCCACAGGGACGCGGCTGGTGGGGCCGGCGAGGTACGGAAGGAGGTAGGACGCGGACGCGTTCGTCACATGGAGGGCGTACGTGCACGCAACAGGCCCACGAAGGGTTTCCACGCGTCATCTCCGACTCTTGGCGTCAGGATAAACGGGAGGCGAGAGGGCAGATATGAAGGTCACCGAGATGCGCGTGTGGAGCGAGAGCAGGCGGCGGACGAGGCGGCGGCGGCGGCGTACACGTGTGTAACGAACTTTAGAGTTTGTGCCCTGGGATGCGCGATTCCGGGAATGCAACCCCGTACATCTAGTCGAGGTGCGGACGTACCTAGGTCCTCCTTCTGCTCCGCGGCCAGGGTCTGCACTTATCTCAAGCATCCCGGCATACGTGCAATGTCAATGGCATTGGGAAGACTCGCGCGGCCGCGAGTCGCCGTGGGTGGCTTCCAACTGCCGGCTGGCGGTCACACTCGCACTGCTCAGTCCTAGACAAGATTCCACGGGCCCCTTAATTCAAATGCAAGCATGGTCCAACTGTCCGTACTCAGAAGTTAATTTACCTCGGACGGGGGCATTCTACAGGTAGAAAAGGCTCCCGAGGATGTAGCCCGTGTCGATGTCAAAAAACCCAGGGACGGCCATCGAGATGTTCTGCTGCTCCGTCGCAAGAGTGGCGGCGTCGAAGTTGCGGTAGATCGCGTCGATCTTGTTGAACGCATCTAGAAGGAACCTGTAGTTCCAGGCACATGGCGCGGTTAGATTGTGGCAGCGCGCACGTTAGCGCGAGGTGAGACCCACGGGAGGTTGTTGATCACGTCCGGGGCCGGCAGGAGCGTGTGCACGTCGTAGCCCGGGTTCTCGAAAGACGCGTCGAGCGCGCACGTCGCTTCGCTCTCTGAGTATAGTAGCTGCATGCGGAACGGTCAGATCAGTCTCGAGTGTCATATATAGACGTAGGACACCCGACTAACCGCGCCGATCGCACCAAGCTCATGTGCGCGCGTAAGGACGTCCTCATCTGCCGCGTTCCCGGTGTTATCACACGAAACAAACGCAATCCAAGGCGTCACCGCTGCACGACCGCGTCGCATATCAGCACCGTTGCACACGTTCTCGGAGCCGCGTCGGTTGCACGTACAAGCATCAGTCGCGCTCTCGCCCATCGCGTCGTTGAAGTTCACGAAAGCGCCCTGGTCACCAAGTCAGCAACCCGAAAGGATTAAAATTCAAGGAGGCCCGACGCACGATCTCGGACTTGGTCGTGTTCGGCTTGGGCGACACGATTTTCGTGATACCGTCGAACCGCCCGGGCGGGTTCCAGAACGCCTGCAGGTTTCCGTCGGGAAAGCTGTCGAGCGAGGCGACGTCGTTCGTCGGCGTCGCGGGAACGAAGGCGTGCACAGGCGCGGCAAGGAACGCGACGAGAAGGGTAAAGGCGGAGAGCATGCTGTGAACGATCTTCGTGGGTCGTGAAAGTTGAAGGTGGAGGGAGGTGGTGCCCGCTGCCAATGTTCTCGTCAGCTTTATATACACTCCCACTAGACCGAAAGGCACGTTTTGAAAGGGACTGAACAATCAAAAATACAAACATCAGCTCCTTCCTCCTTGCATCGCCCCCCCCATTCAAATGCAGACACTCACCGGCATCCTTCGCCCGTCTGTCTGTCACATCTGTCAAGATTCCCCACAAACGGGCCCCCGACGCCGCACAGCCGCCCGCGCAAAAGTTCCTTCATCGCTGGGGGAGATGAAACGGAGTGCACGATAGTGTGTAGCGGCGGGTGTTTGATATCCGGTCTACGCACGGAACCTGAAGACAACTGCTTGAAGGCCGGAAGCAGTGGCGCCGAGTAACTTCGGCGGCGGAGACGCCTGGTCCGTGGGCAGCCTTCCTTCTAGTACCAGGGGAGTCCGTGTGGTCGGGGGAAATGGCAAAAGTAACCCAGACGATCGAGTAGTAGAGCGTACGGTAGGTCATCTGCGCGGCTTAAACATCACTTTGACACTCATATCGGTAACTTGCTTTGCTGTACCCCGCGAGTTCTCTACAGATGTCACGGCAGGTGAATGACGCGACGAGATTGGGAGCAAATATGTTTACCAGAGAACGAATCCAAGCGTGAGAAGTCCGTCCTCGTTCGCAACGCCGATCCCAGTGAGGTCTTCGGCCGAGATGTCTTCGAGTTTTTTCATGGTTTCCGTGTACCTAGCGTCGCTATCCATGGACCTATCGAGATAGTCAACCATTAACTCTTTGAGCGTGACGAGTGTAACGAGCTTGTTGAAACGCTTGAATGGCCAGCCTTTGCGAGTCCGGGGAACGTTGACAAAGTAGAGACATCGCTGTCCAGAGTGGTTCCACTGCAGGAGACGTTAAAGTCACGTGAAATCACTCCCGAGTTTCGATTGTCTTTCAGAGCAGAGCTCGCTGAGGGTAGGGCCAGAACGACTTGAGTAGATGGGGTAAACATCTGGCAAGACCTGCTGCACGTAAGTAGTACGCCGCGAGGGATGGGCGACGGGGTTAGGGTTGCGATGCGGGATCTGGACGACGCGCAGGGTCGCGTCTGCACCGTGCATCGCTGATTGCTCGTCGTCCTCTGCTCTGCCTCACCACCACCACCACCACCACCACCACCACCACCATCCCGCTCTCGCCCGCGCCCTCAGCGCAAGCCTTACTCTCCCACTCGCTCGCCGGAGGACACGATGTCGCGCTTCGTCCGGGCCTCCAAGTATCGGTGCGCACCGCTCTGGTCTCCCCACGCGCTCTCCATATTCACTCGCTCCCAGCCATGTCTTTGGGCAGACGGGCAAGAAAGAGTACGGCTATGACAACGTCAAGGTCACCAACTCTGCCTGGGACACCAACGTTGTCGCGGCGTCCACTGTGCGTGCTTTGGACCGCGCCCACGGCCCCCGCTCATCCGCCCCTCGCAGCGCTACGTCTCTCTCAACTGGCAGTCATCCGGCGGCGGCGCATTCGCCATTCTGCCCCTCCCCAACCCCTTCGCGCCCCTCCCGACCGGCTTCCCGTACAAGCTCCCCGACATCGTCCCCCTCGCCCGCAGTCACACTGCCCCTGTCCTCGACACCGACTGGTCGCCGTTCAACGACTCCATCGTCGCCTCCGCCGGCGAGGATGGCAAGACCATGATATGGAAGGTCGACCCCGATATTTTTGAGGGCTGGGGCCTCGAGAACTGGGAGCCCACCGACTTTGACCCTGTCGCCCGCATCGACGTATCCCCCGCCGCGTCGGCCACGTCCTCTTCCACCCCACCGCAAACAATGTCATCGCGACCTCTACCGGCGACCACGTAGTCAAGCTATGGGACCTCGCTGCCCCTGAGGCCGCCAAGTCCGTTCTCGGCGGCCACGCCGACGCCATACAGAGCTTGTGCTTCAACCCGTCCGGTACGCTCCTCGCCACCACCTCTCGCGACCGCAAGATCCGCATTTTCGACCCGCGTACCGGCGGAGAGCCCGTTCGCCTCACCGAGGGCCACGGTGGTATCAAGGTACGCGCTCTTACCCATGCCGCGATCGCGTGCGCCGCAATCGCGTGCACTCCGCGCCTTTCCGTGCTGGATCTCATCCTTCCACCGGTATCTTTTCGTAGGGCGCGCGCGTAGTCTGGATGGGCGACAAGGATCGCCTCGCGACGACCGGGTTCAGCAAGATGAGTGACCGCCAGATCGCGCTCTGGGAGACCGGCAGTCTCAGCAACGTCAAGATGATGACCATCGACCAGACGTCCGGCGTTCTCATGCCGTTTTGGACCGACAACAACATCCTTTTCCTTGCCGGCAAGGGGTAAGTCTTTGCATACTGATCACGTCCCACCGCTGACCGCCTGGGGCAGCGACGGCAACATCCGCTACTACGAGTACGAAAACGACAACCTCTTCCCGCTCTCCGAGTACAAGTCCTCGGACCCCCAGCGCGGCATGTGTTTCCTTCCTCGCCGTGGCCTCAGCGTCTCCGACTGCGAAATCGCGCGCGCCTTCAAGGTCGCGGCGTCCTCTATTGAAGCCATCGGCTTCATCGTTCCCCGCAAGGTGTGTTCTTTGCTCCCTGTGTAGTCAGAGTGGTACACGCGCCTCGCTCTGTCACCCCTGTTGGGGGGAGGCTGGAAAGGGGAGGCCCCTAATCTCGCTATCGGCGAGCTGTGGTGCGGACGGACCTATGGCGTAGGCATGAAGAACATGCGATGAAAAGGTCACCTATCTCCTTGCGCGATAGGTACAGACCGCTGCACATCGGCCGCGCAGAGGCGTTGTGCCTGAAGCAGATGCCCGGCCGTAGGCGAGCGACGAGGAGGAACGAGGATGTGCCATTCGTGCGGGTGAGGAATTAGTTGGACTGGTCTTCCGCCGTGCGCGTTGTGCGCGCCTGTTGCGATTGCTCACGGAGAAGCTGCAAAGGAGTGGACACCCACAGATGGAGGCGATGCGCGATGGGGGAGCAGACTGGATGAGTTGAAAGGAGACGTCTCCTCCCATTGACTGTCTTGCAAATCTTGCGCAGTTTTTTACACAGCTGACTCTTTCTTTCAGTCTGATTCTTTCCAATCCGACATCTTCCCACCTGCACCGTCCGCCGAGCCTTCGCTTACCTCCGCGGAATTTTTCTCCGGCAAGACCGCACCTCCAAACCTCGTCTCCCTTGAGGACGGCTCCATTTCTACGGGCGCCACACCAGTTTCGCTTCCACCGTCTTCTTCAATCTCTACACCCGCACCCGCCCCGACCCCTTCGAGGACGATGACTGCGCCTCCACCGGCCGCTGCTCCCCCTGTAGCATCCATTCCCTCGATTTCAGAACCCGTCTCTGCATCGAGGTCCACGCCTATGACGCGCCAGGCCTCGACCGACGTAAGTCCTCCACCCTTTTCTGCTTGACCTAAGCTCACGCGACCCCGCGCCCTAGGACTCGGCGGTATCTGCGTTGAAAGCGGAGAACGCGCGGCTGACGGAGGAGCTATACGCGGCGCGTGAGGAGACCCGCGATTGCCGCGCGCAGATCCGGCAACTCGAGCTGCAGGTCGAGGCGGTCCGGGCGAACGCGCGCAAGGCCGCTGCACTCCTCGATGCCTAAGTGCCGGGCCGTCGCGGCTGCCATGGCGAAACGGAGAGTTTCGGAGCGCAGGTTGCCAGAGGTGAAATGTGGGCTACAGTGTCGCTGCTCGGCGATCTTGCAGGATGGAACAGGAGGTGGAAACTCGGGGGAAAACGGGCCGTAGGTTGGTGTGTTCGATTATCCAAAATGAAATGTATGTGTCCGTTTGCGGTTCTGATTTGCGCTGTGCCCGGAGAAGACTTGCGTCGTCTCAGGTCAACAGGTCGATGCAGTCTCTCGTCTCGAATACACAGCGTTATGGGCGTCAACTCAGCCATTGTACCCATGACCACGCGAGCTGTGCGCAGATGGTCTTCTGTGCTCCTGGTCTTTGTTACAATCTGCGCAGTGGATTGTGGGTGCGCAGCCTGGGGACCAACACGGCCTCATGCTGTGCACCCATCGACCGCTTTCGTCCAATCATGCCAACAGCCAAGACTTCTCGAGCGCGCCTCTAGCCTGCGATGGACGCGTTCTTGGTACGCTCCAGCGCCTGGCTGTTCTCGCCCCCGCCGACATCGCACGTCCGCTCACCGTGCGCCACGGCCACCTTGCATGCAGCAAAAAGCCCCTTTCTATCGGGGTGTCCGAGGCTGTCGGCCGGCCCGTACTCACTGCCACCGCGATAGATCCCGATGCACCGCTTTCGTCATGCCCCCTTTTCCCTTTTTCTTTCCGTCTTCCGACGCGGACTCCATGTCGCGGTGGTGTGCAAGTCCGTCCTTCGAATTCTTCCGGCGGCAACGGGCCAAGTCTCTACTCCCTCGGGGATGGACAACCTGCGGCTGGGCTGCGGCGAGCGTATGGTCATACCCGCAGCCCCCTGGCAGCGGTGCGGCGCAAATTGTTTTGCGGGTGTTGTGTTCGAACCGGGTGGCCACAGCCTTCGCTGCTTTGCTCGTCGCCAGCCAGCCGACCATGGCTTGCAGCCCGGTGCGCGTTCCCCGATCCGCGGCTCTCTCTCCCGGTGCAAATACAGATGCAGGACCAGATCGAGCCTAAGTGTCTCAGGCCCGCCGACAGGGAAGGGAAAGCCCCTCTTTTCTCTAATAAAGAGCGGATGTCGATGCCGCGTCCCACCATTACGCCTGAAGCCGTCGCGGTACGTTCGCTGTCGTCATGACCGCGGATGTATATCCTCTCGCGCGCTCGAACCTCCGCCTCAGCACCGCTCCCTCCCATTCTCAAATATGCAAGCGCCACGCTCTCAAGCGGAAGCGGATCGACGAGGATTACTTCAACCACCCATCTCCTCGCCCACTACGCAGCAACACTGGACTCAGCCGCAGCATGTACACCCCGAAGTCCCCACCAGTCCTTAACACCGACATCCTGGCTGAATTCCTCCTCCATCTACCTCCATATGACGCACTCATCTATGGGTCCACTTGTTACTTCCTTCGAGACAGGGCGGTCCGCCAAGCAGTCTCCAACGTGCGCTTCGCCTCCGCCCCACACCTCACCAAGTTTTGCTTGTTCATGCTCGCCGACCTCTCCCGCATGCCGTACCTCCGACATCTAACACTCCTCCGTCAAGTCGCGCACGCTCCCACAGAGCAATTTTTGGCCTCTATTGCTTCCCTCGCACATCTCCTCCCGCACGCAACTGCGCTCGCCACGCTCATCCTTCCGGATGCAGATTTGTGGCTCGGTCTCGAGGCCCGCCTCATTCCCGCACTCGTATCCCTCCCCTGCCTCAAGTCGCTCGACCTGCATTCGCTCGGCGATGACACACAGTCGGCTCTGTCCCGACTTTGCAGCGCCGAAACCCTGCAGCGCCTGGTCGTCGACTCGCAGTGGGTGACGCACCCACCAGAAGGCAGCGTCACCTCCAGCATGCACCTACCCGTCATGCCGAACCTACACACGCTCGTGCTGACGAGGTGCCAGAATCCACCACCTCGGAACATCCTCCCAACACTGTTCCCCGCGCTGCGCGTGCTGCAGCTCACCGAGGTGTCTTACCCTCCCTCCCAGAGCGAGGTCTCTCCGCGGAGCTGGTGGCTCCCACCAGATTCACCTCCGGCGATACCATCGGAAGAGCCCGAACAAGGGAGTCTCGACGTCCTGTGTGGCGACATCCCCTCCCTACGCTCACTACAAATCTCGCGGCCCGTGCGCGCGCTCGAGCTCAATCTCACCCTCACGCCGGAGCACCCAGCGGACCCGGAACCCCTGGCGGAGGTGTTCGGCGCGGCGTCCCCGCGGCGGCTCGCGCTCCGGATGACGGCCTCTTGCGAGCTGCCCTTCTGGCGGCTCTACGCGCCCGAGATGCCGCGTCTGCGCTACCTCGAACTGGTCGTCATCGACGACGGCGCGATACCCCCGGAGCACGCAAGCTGGCTGGTGAGTCCCGCGCAGGCGTCGTCCTTGAGGTGGTACTAGCAGTACTCACCCACTTCCAGGACGCGCTCTCCACGCCGGGCTGCTCATCTCTCTTCGCGCTCGCGATCGATGTACGAAGCTTCCCCAACGTGCAGACCGGTGTGGGACCACCCGTGGAGACGGCGGGCGCGCGTCCGAACGACCCTGCGCGCGTCCTGGCATGTCTCCTGCGCGCGCTTCCCGGCGCGCTCCCGAACCTCTGCCTCCTCGCGCTCCGCGTCAGCGCGAGTTCGTGCCCCATCGACTCGGAACCTGTTGCGCGCGGGGGTGGCCCGTTGGGCGGCACCTTTGCGGGGAGTGCCGACTTCGACCCCGACCTCGACGCCATCGGCGCGTTCGACTGGTGGGCCGCGGAAGCGCGCCTCCCTCGCGGGTGTGCCCAGGATGGGGGTCAAGGGAATGGGAAAGGCGGCGGCGGCGGCGGCGATGTGCGCGGATGGCGGAAGCTGGATGCGCGGGTCGGGCCACGGCTGTTTGTGGGGTTGCGGGAGGGGGAGCTGCGGTTTGCTTCTGTGCGGGACTTCGACGGTTTTGTCGCGTCGCGAGTGTAGTTTCTTGTTTTTGTGATATTCGTCAAAACATACATTACATAGTGTTTTCGCTTTAACCTAATGCATTTCCGTTCGGAATGGCATTCACTTACCCTCGCGTGCACAGCATCGACCTCGAAGCCGGCCGCCGCGTGATCGCTGTGGTGACATAGATGTACTTCATGCATCTCCGAGCTCGCCATCCCGCGTGTCGCTATACGCGTCGCCGCGTCGCCAGAAACCCTCATCCGCGGTGGCGCGCTGATCCGTAAACACATACAAGACTCACTCCATTCTCGGCCCTGCGGAAGGGTACCACACGTTCGGGATATACCAGAAGCGATCGGACGCGGCGAGCAACCTCAAGATCCGCTCGCGTGAGAACATGTATCGTCGCGCTGCGCCATGATGTGGCATTCAGGCGATCCAGAAACGCGTTTCGCGGAAGCGTACCGGGAACTGCTCCCCGGGATGCGAAGGCATAATGCTGTTGCAGCTTCGCCCGCGCCCGGGGACAAGCAGGCCGACAACATGATTAGGCATAAACAGCATCGCATATTGGCGCGTATGTCTCCCTGAAATACTCGCCTGCTGATTAGGAGTCCCCTGGCAAATGTTTCCGGATAATGCACTGTGCGCGGGAGTCTACGTGCTGGTCGGACGAGGGCGCGGCGTGGGAAGATGTAAGTGCTAAAGCGTGCAGCTGCTGGCGCCTCCTTTCCTCTCCTTTCTTTACTCACTTTGCAGATCCAGACTGCCCTGATGCCCCCGTTCGCTCACCACGTCGTAGCCGACACTCCAGAAACGTGGCCGTGCAAGAGGTATGACCGAATTGACCAACTCGTGACGCTTAAACAAGAGGTCTTCTACGATTATCGCAACGACGCTGTTAGAACTGTTGATGCATGGTATGCGATGGAGATATCAGGCATGGAGAAACTCAGCCCGGAGGAAGTGAGAGTCAAGACGTTTGAAGGTCATCCACTCTTCATGCTCGAATTTGTCCTACGGTGACTATTTCCCAACCCACGCCTTACGTTGCGGCCCCAGTGGTGTTGCTCGAACTGACTCCTATGTTCCTTTCAGGGAACTTTCGGGGTGTGAATACACCAAATCGATCCAGGGGTGTGACCTTATACGCATACTTGAGGATGCTGTGAAGATAAGCCAAGGCGTCCAAGCTGGGGAACCCACCGTTTGCAAAAACGACCTCTTCGCCACTCAGCGTCTGTGCGCTGCCATAGCCTGGATTTCGTTCCACGCATACTTCGATCACGCAAAATTCGGCGGCTCTCTGTACTCCGCTCGGGAGCTCACCAGCCTTTCGAGTGCCGCAAACTACTGCGATCTCGCAGTTCGGCTCGGATTCATCCCGCGCATCGCCTTGCGCGTCGCCGCCTACCTCGAAACGTCCGCGGCCCTCTGGGACGCCGACCCGTACAAGTTCAAGGGGTTCCAGGACTTATTTGCTCTACGGAAGACGTACCGCGCGATCCGTACAGAGAAAGACCAGAGCGACCTGAAATACAGAATCAAAATCGTTGGGCGCGAGAACATGTATCGTTGCGCCGCCCCCGGATGCGGCATCCAGTCTCTTCACAAGCGGGCTTTCCGGATGTGCACCGGACGGTGTTTCGGGCGATGGAAGTCGTACTACTGCAGCGCCGAGTGCCAGCACAACGTGTGTATATGCTGCTGTATTCCGGTGAACGTGCTCAATGATACGAGAATACTCTTCCAGCACTGGGAGATGCACCAAGTGTGCTGTCGCAGCGGTACTCCCTAGGTCATCTCCGAAGACGACGGGGACCCGGACTGGGTCGACGTGGGGACGTACGACGCCGCTATATACAGGGTGATAGATTCCCGATCTGCCCCTACACCCCGCGAGCCTTCACGTGCACGCGCTGACGGTGAACTATTCGTCGAGTTCACGCACCCGTACCCACGGCATCCAGAAGGCGAGATTGTCCGCGTCGTCTCTTCCACCTTGCCTCCTCGTATTCTACGTCAATACCGGGAACAGTCTTCGGAGATTCTCCGCTCGTGCTTTTTGAGTGCCAGGCTGGGGAAGCCGAAGGTGCAGTATATGTTGGCGCTACCCTCAGTTGCGAGCACTCACCATTCCTCCGTGCGCAGGAGCGGAGTGTGCTCGACGGCACATTCGCGGTTGATGACAGGTGGTGGGCAACATAGAGGTGTCTACCGTAGTATCTCTCGCTGCTCGAGCTGTGACGGATCAACTTATATCGCCTCACGAAGTCTCAGAACCCGCGAACTCGTGTGGCAATGTATGTGACCTGGTTTTCTTGCTATCCTTATGCGGAATGTAACGCGAGAAACGTGTCGAGCCTGGTTGGAGCCTGGTACGTGTGCAGTGGATGCAAAAAGACTGGATGTTTGTGGATCGACAGGATCCGTCGTGGGCGGAAGATGGGGGATCCGGGGTCCCGGGCAGAACGCCGAAGAGGGGTGCCAGGGGCCCGTTCTCAACCAAGCGGCCCGGGGGCGCGCGTGGCAGTTTGCGCCCACCTCCAGAGTGCAAAGAGCTCGTCCGACCAACGCCAACGAACGACCACGATGGGCGTCATCCACGAAGTCGTCCTCAACCTTCCGGAGCGTCCTCTATGGGAAGACAGGGCTCTCTGCGACCTCAGCTGTATCCGACGAGAGGTCTGCTTCGACTTTGTCGGCATGGATGAACCCGACAAGGATATCTCTGACCACAACCGACTTACTATGGATGCCCTCGTTGATGGCTGCAAGCGCATGGAAGCACCAGCCATGCTCGAACTTGCTTTGCGGTAGTTTCACTCTAACTCATGCTGTCCCTACCACCAGCTGACCCGCAATTTCCTTCCCAGACTTCTAGCAGGCTACGACAAGCCCGCAAAGCTCGGTCACATCGAGTCTTACGACCTCCTCACCGCCCTGTCTCCACAACTGTGGGAACCACGGCTGAAGCCACGCATTAAGGTCCCCCTGGAGGAGCTCAAGGGATACAAGCCGCTGATCTCCATGCAGGCTCTCGCCGCTCGCGCCTTTTTCTGGTTCCGCAAATTCTTCACCACCACCCGCGCGACCCACGGCAGTCGCAACAGCCTCAATGCCATCTCTTCCAGCCACCCCTACCCAGAGGTCCTTGCCGCCGCCGGGTGCGCAGAAGGCGCGATACGTTTCAGCGTCGGGCATGCCATACCGCACATCGTCGTCCGCATCGCCGACTGGATCGCCACCTTCGAGGCCCGCTGCACCGGGACCGACATGCAGACCGTACGGCCGTTCCAGCAGTTCACGGACATGTGGAGGGCGTACGGCACCTGGAAGACACGGTGCGCGTACATCGAAAGCCAGCGCCTCGCCAAGGTTCAACGGACGCCGAACCGCTACCGGTGCGCGGTCAAGGAGTGCGGCATACAGGCCGTCACGGGCACCGCGCTGCGAAAGTGTGGCGGGCGCTGTCCGCCCGAGCGCAAGCCGCACTATTGCAGCTGGGCATGTCAAGAGCGGGTGAGTGTCCGATTGCCAGCGTCTGCTTCACTAGTGCTGACGTGGCACGGTCTGTCCATGCAGCACTGGGCGGTACATCGCTTCTTCTGCAAGTCAGGCCCTATGGACGAACACATCCCGGAAGACGACGACGACCCAGACTGGATCGATGAGGAACAGTTCGACAACGAGTTCCCATATGTTCACCTTCCGGATCGCTGTGTTCAGTCGGCGTGGCCAGATTCGGAAATATTCATAGACATCCCTCACCCGAGCCGATACCGACAAGGACAAGTCATCCGTGTGCGCACGTGGTCGCTGAGTCCGGACCTCCTGGGGTCGTATCGTGCGCTTTGGACGGTTCCAGAGTGGAAGCGGAAGTTGATACGCAAGGTGTGTTGTCCTCTTTCGAATGATCATACGGAAGGCTGATATGCGAGTAGGCTGCTAGGAAGCAGCTGTCGCCCCGTGTCTCTGGATGGTTCTAGTCATTTATCTTTATCCCTCGAGCTATGGGTTTTCATCATCTAGTATTCTACCTTGCTTTCCACGCTTTGCATAGAGTAGACGTCTCGTCTCTGATCGCCTCATCTTATAGGTAGTCCTCGCGGCGGCTCTTACGTGCGGTCTCTAGTATCTGTTGATCTATTCACTGCTTTTTGAAAGTCTGGTGATGCGTATCGTTCGCCGCTCATGTGGCCTCGACGTCAATAGCTTTCACATTCCGGCAGTTCAAACAGCGGCTGCCCAGGGATCTGCAATCGCAGTAGGCTCTTTTTCCGCTCATGGCGCTGCTGATATGAAACATCCTGTGCAGATCATTCAGACTGGATGCAATGGTCGCCACTCCTTGTCCCGACAGGTTTCGTCTTTGATCTGGTATGTGTAGCTGCGACGGCCACCGGGCTGGCGTACCAGTCTCGCCACTGCATACCAGGATGCGCGAGCAATTGGGCTGTCCATCCTCGAATCTTGCAGTGCCCCGTTGAATGGCGGCAGTGTCAATGGAGTGCGCTCCTGGGCATGCCGTGATGCGCCACCGTCATCAGCGCAGCGATAGCCATTCGTGGTCCAAGGCGGTACCACTTCGAAATACCTCCAGCCCGACCGTGATGGGCGCGCGGCACATGATTCGCTGGTGGGTGCGAGGACGGACGAGCGAGTGCGCTTTCCGGGCGTGCGGTGCGGTGCGGCCGCTGCGCGCGACGGGGAGCTGACCGGCGTCCTAAGCGAAGCGCACTTGCGCGAGCGTCATCGAACTCTAGCTCGGCCCACCGCCTAGGTTTATATTGGCGATGCGGAGGAGATGGGCGAGCTTCTTCCCCCCGTCCCTCCTCGCCCTCACACCGGCTGGGTCCGCCTTGGGTTCCTCTCGCGCCCCCGTGCCCTTTTTCACTTTTCTTCCTCCCGTCCGTCCTTGGACGCCTTTCTTTCTTTCTGCAGGCCTGTGGCCTGTTCCTTTATTTTGCAACCTCATGACGCCTCCCCTAAGACGGATTAGGCGCCGTTATCGCGAACCGCCCACCCTTTCCGCGCCCCCACAAGCGCATCCCCAATCCTTCCAACATGCCAGACGCCAGCAGGCCTCCGTCCCTCCTCCCCCGGGTGCAACAACGACTTCGACTTCGCCTCTACCAAACGCGCCCGTGAGCGCGAAGGTGAGCGGAGAGTTCATCGCGATCGCCGCCGCGACCTCTGTGCTCCTCGTTCTCCTCGCCATTTTCCTCGGCTACTGGTACAACCTCCGCAAGCGCCGTCGCGCGCTCCAGGAGGCCGGCGTGGGCAAACGTGAGTTTCCCCCCTTCCTCCTTCATTCTCGCAACTGATCGTGCCATACACGCAGCCCCGCCCGTGCCCCCGAAGGACCCCGTCATCATCGAGGCACCCGGCCGGTACAGCACCCCGATCTCGCTCGCGTCCGTGGGCCCGCCCGCGTACGTGCACTCCCCGATGTCGGTCGGGTACGCGAAATACTGGCGCGAGCGCTGCGACAAGAAGGCGCACGCGAGCGGGAGCGAACACGAGCACGAGACGGAGCCCTCCGAGCCGACAACGACAGACACGGCGCAACTCCCGCCGCTGCCCCCGTCGCCGCTGCCTCTGCCGACACCACCGCCCGCGGCCGCGGGGACAGAGCGTACGTCGCAGATGCTGCTCGCTCCCGGCGCGTTCGCGGTCACGCCAATGGCGGCGACGTTCCACCTCTCCACGTTCGACGACGCGCGCCAGCGCGCGGACCTCGCGCAGTGGACCGGCGCACGCCGCCTGCCGAGCCCGCCACGCTCCCCGAACCCTGTCTCCATACCGATGCCCTCGCCTGCGATGAGCCCGCGGAGGGCGCAGCTGAGGGTCGTGAACGTGGGCGCGGTCGAGGCGCGACGGGCGGCGCCGGCGCCGTTGGACTTGGGTGGGCGGGGCGCGCGCGCGCCGGTGAGCATGGTGGTCGAGCGCGGGGAGCACTTGCGTGCGCTGGATTCGGGGGTGCGTATGAGGTTTAGAGAGGTTGCTGCTGGGAAGGGGATGGAGGAAACGCTGGACGAGGAGAGCGACGAGGAGGAGGAGGGGCAGGTCGTGGTCGTAGGAGCGCACCGCGAGCCGGAGGATGAACCGGCACTTCCTCCCCCGCCGTACACGCCCAGATGAGGGGTGCTAGTCCGAGGCATTCGTGTTGTTGAAGCCATGTTATCACGACTCTTACGACGCTCTGTGGATCTATGGACCAGTTGTCCGTGTGCTAGTAGTGTAATTGGCTGTATTATATTTGTTGAGTGTTTCCGCATCTGATCGGCGCTCTCCCGGGGGGCAGAAGGTTGAGCTGTGGATGTCGCAAGTACACGATCCCTCTTGCCCGGAGGCAATTCATTGCAGTTCGTAAGCAATGCGGCACGTGCCGTATACTATGATCCTGTCATTCGTCACTGGTATTCCACCACCTTTCTTCCTCCGCAAATGTACCCTTGAGAACACTTGCGCCCTTCTGAGTGACGATCGGCGAACGAAATCGCAGGAAAGACGGACAATAAACATACCCTTTTATCGTCGCGCACCGCATTAAAGCCGCACTGTTTCAGCAACTCTATCGAGCGATCCCTGAATAAACGCAAGATCAGAGGGGACATTGTCCGCGACAGGACGCGGATGATCTCGCCGTCCGGATGGCGTGAGCGTGGGTGCGTGAACTCCACGAACAGAGGGCCACGCGACGCGTCGGCGTCCCAGCGCTCGCAGGTTTTGGAAGCATTGTTCGGGTCTGCCTTGTAGAACGAGTCATCGGTAAAGATGGCTTCCTGGGACGCGATCTTACAGCAAACTTGATGAAACGAATCGACGCCGCAGTGAGGCCCCAGGGTCTCCACCCATGCCGCGACGCGCAGGGTGACGACAGGCGGAATGAATTCGCGCGTGCCAGTGAGGATGGCGGCGAGCTCAACTGCGTTGCGGAGCGAACTGGACACGCGTCCAGAAACGCAGTTACTGCTGGCCGAGTGTCCATAGATGTCGAGGTGTCTGTGAAAGGACAACCATATCAATATCGCAATAGCGCGGCTGCTGACGCCCACGTCGCTGTTCTGCTCCGCTTTTAAGATGCCGAAAGCGAATATATACAGCCCTTTGAGGCTGAATGCCTTGCAAGGCTCGCATCCCGACAGTTCCCTGTCGGACAATGAAAAGGAACCACGTGTGGCGCTTTTTCAAGAATAATGCCTGATGAAATACCGGAGGATGACTTCGAGCACGAAAGGATTACCAGGATCAACGTCGAATAATGTATCAGAGGGGTGCTGTTCCAGAAGAGCTATCTGGACGGAGTAGGTCACAGTTACAATCATTTGTCAGTGCGTCAACGAAGATGTGATGGACTGAGGGAGACATTGGGTGTAGTGGGTTAAAGTTATGAGGGGAAGAGCGTGAGTCGTATTGTGTCGAGGCCACCGATGATGTTCCCACACCTCGGAATTCGCCGAGTCGTTCCAAATGTGCCGCTGCAGATGCCTATGGGCATCACCGTCGGCGCATGGAACAGTGCTCCTCATTGAGTGGGTGTGTGTTCTCAACGCGCTTGGGGTCAGACCTGCCGACAGTCTCAGAGGAAGAGCACGCGCGTCATGAGAGCAAAAGAGACGAAAATGCATAGTACCAAGCCGAAACACCAGTATGATAGGTAAATATACAATCCTGCCGTGCTACAGTTTTGCGCCCCCTACCGCTAGGCCGGCTGGTGTCGGCGTCGGCAGCTTTGGCACCATCTTGTTGTGCGTCCCAGAGATGCACAGTCGGCCGTGGGTAACGTCCCATATCTGCAGAGAGCGACGGGGCGCCGAGGCGTTAGCAGAAAAGCACACGAGAAGCGCGGACGTCCTCAGGGGCGGAGGGCGCACCTCGACTCGCGACGCGACCGTGCGCGCGCCGAACGACGTCGTCGTGCTCACCACGCTGAGCTTCGCGCCGCTGTGTAAGCCGAACCCGGGCGTGTGAGCGCGTGCGCCTCGCCGGCGATCATGGAAGCGGGCGTGAGAGCGGGGGACGTACAGCGGCGCGGGTGCGTGGTACGTGGCGACGATCGACTGCGAGACAAAGTCGGCGGGCTTGCCTTGGACCATGCCGAGGAACGCGAGCCCGACGGACGAGCATCTGTGGGTGTTTGCGCGCGCGCGGGGAGGCAAGGAGATGAGCGTCAGCGGCAATGTCGGGATTGCGCGGGTGACGCGCGGATCAAGGAAGAGATGTCCGAGAGAGAGAGGATACTGACACATCGACGATGAACGCCGTGCAGCCGCCGTGCATGGTGTTTTGCCGGTTAATCATATCTATGTACACGCGGGGTGAGCATGCGTCACACCCACAGGCGAGTGCGATCCAGAAAGAGCGAGAGACGGACCGTGGTCAACGGTGGTGGTGTAGACGACGCGGGACTGCAGCTTGCGGTCCTCGGGACGTCGGTGGACGGAGGCCTCGGTGAGAACGAGGCGCTGGCCTGTCGAGTGCGCAAAGCTGACGTCCTTGATGTGGAAGTCGGAGAACTCGACGATCTGCCTCTGAACGGCGGGCGGGACGTCGCCCTTGAAGATGACGGAGGACTCAGCGATCTGCTCCATGGCTGAGAGTGGGTGCGTGCAAGAGAGAGGGAGAAAAGCGGGGCAAGCGGAGGGGTGGTGGTGGGACAGGAAAATGGGGGCCGGAAGGGTTTTTGAGTGGGAGCGCGAGCGCAAGCGAGCCGAGCAGGACCTGGCCGGGGCCTCCAGGTGCGAGCGGCGTGCAGACGATCGGTCCAGTCCTCCCTTCGGTCAGAGCCACTCATCGCGTGGGGCCCGAAGTTGCGATGCGCGGGTAGACCCGCGAGCCGAGATGTGCGGACAGCGCGGCGGGAGTGTGGTGGCCATGTGGCCGCCGGCCGTGGAGGAGAAGACGAAGCGGGGAAGCGGATGGCCCAGTAGTGTGGGTACCGGCGACATTGAACGTGGAGCCTTTCCCGACTTTCACGGGCTGCACCGGCAACGTCCGCGGGCCGGACCCCTGCCCGACAGCGAGAACTGTGTGTGGAGTGCCCATCACGACTTCTGGAGACGAAGATAGCACGATCCCCGGTGGATATCCCATTGCTGTATGGCGACGATGCGTCAGCCGAGGCTCGTAAGACTCACTCACATGAGCCTGACGTGCCGTGCTGCGCCTGCAGATCCCCTAAGGATGGCCTTGATCCCGCACCCGGGCGCCGCGCGTCCTCGCGCAGATGGATCTTGACTTTGGAGTCCGCGTCCCACCGCTGTTGGCCATCTTGGACGTCCCGACCCATTCGGAGATGCGCAAAGAGGTGCGAGGAACGAAGTCGGGTATGTCGGCCAGGTCGGCAGAGTAACAGGCTTTGTTGAGGTTCTGTTGAGGAGCCTGCGGTGCCGATCAGAGTAGCGGGAGCCTCCAAGGACGATGTGGTCGAGGTACACGTTGAAGAATATGTAGGATATGGTAAGGTACTGGCGACGGAGCAATTCAAGGTGTTAATAGAAGAGCGCAGCTCTGGATTGGAAGGCCCACCGAGCGGATCAGCGCGCGAAATATCCTTGAGCGTGTTTCCCTTTCAACCCGGTGCTGCCTGGAGTGCAGGTTGGTATCGTTCTAGCGCTCAAGTTCAATAGCGTATGAGACGTACGTTGGTGCTGATGAGGTCGTGATTCAGCGCAATAGGCTCTTCCAGTTTTCGGAACCATACCAACGGGGAGGAGTCATGCTAGCGTTGGAAAATGAGTTGGGATAAATTTCCCAACGTGGCGACAGCGCAGCGCTCGGAGGCGCCAGATATCTTCTCACGCTTCCTCCGTGTCGGTCCAGCGCACCCGACAAAATTACCCTTTCGTATCCACCTGGAGTCCAGCCAGACTTTGCGACACATTTCAGGCGAGACGACGTCTTATGTGGCCGCCCCATGAATGTGTGAAGAATCGAGCAGTGGACGAAGAGAGCCGTAGAGGCGAAATGACGCCGGATGACGGACAGGGTGTCGGATAGGACGACGATGGTGGATAGGATGATAGATTGGATATCGATCTAGGACGATACGGCGGCATAGTACTGTACAATGCGTGGGAACGTAGTATACATGACTAAGCATACTGGTAGTGCCTCGGATGAGGGCGTACACCGGAACACTAGGAACCAACAGAATGAGGCGGACAGCGACGACTTATGACTTCAGTCCCCGACGCATATCGATCTTCTTCTCGCCCTTTGTTGTCTTCGAACAAGCCAGTCATCCCATCGTCCACTCGATGACGTCGACACGGCACAGTCCGCGGCGTGGGAACTCCTTTGGACGTCTGCAGTACGACACTTTGAAGCTCAGCCTTTGTTCGTATCGGCAACTCCGTCTCCCATCGATTCGTCTCCTCTGCGCTCTTCAAGTACTCGTCTCAGGTCTTCAGAAACCCTCGATACACGTCGGCTATCTGCAAGCCAAAATGCCTCCGCCGGTGATTTGCCATGTCGTCGCCGACATCCCCACCGCGGGCCGCTGGGAGCTCAAAGAATTCCCAAAGCTCGACGATGTCGTGACTCTGAAGGATGAGCTCTTTTATGACCATCGCGATCATTCTCTCGACAGAGATGTCAAATACTCGGAGGCAGTACAGCTACTCCGACAGTACTCAATCGAGGACCTTCGCGTCGCGGCCGAGAACAAGAACGGTCCCCTCACGCTCGAGTGGGCGGTCCGGTAAGTCGCTCCGTGAGCCCCTCCTCAGTGCCTCGTTAACCCCCGTGTCCAGCCAAATGGCTCGCTGCTGTCCGCTCGACACGATGCAACCCATCGGCGGCAAAGTCCGAGAGCTCCTCGAAGACCTCGGCAAATCCGACGACCCCACCCCCGCAGGTCGCCTCCTCGCGAACCGCGCGCTCGCCGCCGCCGCCTGGACCAACTTCCAGTTCTTCCTCGACCACCACATCTTCGGCGGCACTTTTCACTCGGCCCGCACGCACCCGGGGCTTACCAGAGCCCTCTGCTTCTGCGAAGAACTCGCCGCGCGCGGCTTCTTACCCCCAATCGTCCTCCGCGTCGCCGAGTGGCTCGCGTCTTTCACTGGCGTCCTCGGTGTCGACCCTTTCGGCCTCCCCGGGTTCTGCAACCTCGTGCACCTCCTCGCGGCGCACCGCGTGCACCGCGCCGCGCTCGACAAGTGGGGCGCGGACCGCGCGCGGAAGATCAAGGGGCGCGAGAACATGTACCGCTGCGCCGCCCCGGGGTGCGGGATCCAGGCGGTCCACAAGCGTGCGCTCCGGAGGTGCGCGGGGCCGTGCGCGGGGCGGTGGGAGGCGTACTACTGCAGCACGGAGTGTCAAGACCGGGTAAGTGTCCTCGCTCACTTCTTCGACGATTGCTTGCTGAGCGAGGCTTGCGCCGCATAGCACTGGACCATGCACCGGGTGTCGTGCCGCCGTTCTGCGCCCGAGACTATCGCAAACGACGACGGCGACGCGGACTGGGTCGACGAGGAGACGTACTACGAGGCTGAGTTCTACGGGAAAGATCCCTGCGACTGCTCGAAGTGCCCGGTCGCGAAACCTGAGCACCGGTGGCGGGCGCGGAACACCGGCGGTATCTTTCTGGAGTTTGAACATCCGTGGCCGCGTCGGAGGGAGGGAGAGATGATACGCATTGTCTCTTACTCTCTGGCCCCTCGCATTCTCCGTCTGTTCAAGCAGGAGTTCGTGGAGCTCATGTGGAAATGCCACCTGTATGTGAGGACCATGTACGGCAAGGAACCGTTTTTCCAGGTACGTCCGCAACAACCGACGAGGTATCCTTTTCACTCACGACTTTATAGAAGTTTCCGGTCCTAAAGAATACATTCGCCGAGCATGTAATGGTATGGTGGCGATGGTGAAGGTAGCAGCGGTGAAGCTTGTACAAAAGGCGTCCCTGCAGTACTAGATCACCAATCCAGTGTCGGAACGTTGTAGGAACTTGTGCGTATTGCTGAAAGGTCACAGAAATGACTGTACATTGGAGGATATTGTTAGTGGGTGGCGTACAACCTTCCCTAGTTAACGTCCAACGTCTGAACCCACCGGTAAGGCCGGACCGGGGCGTGCCGCACGGTCAGACGCCGGATGTGGGCGAGCGCGCGCAGCCGTCCGCTGTCTCCGCCAACGACGACCATGGCCAAGCCCACCGGCTGGGATCCGGTCCTCATCCTCTCCCAGATCCTCGCCCTCCAGACCCTTCACTACCTCTCCCTCTCCCTCCTCGTCCCGCCCCTCCTCGTCATCTTTGCCGATCCCACCTCGCTCGAGTATGAAGGCGGTGCTGCCAATGTCGGTATGCTCTCCCTCGCCCGTCGTCCGCTCCGCGCTGACCCTTCCCCCTCCCCTCCCCCTCCCCGCACACCCCAGGGATGATCCTTGACTGGCGCGAGATGGCGGGCCGCCCGACGACCCGCGCCCTGCCCGGCGAAGGGCCCTGGAGTGCGTGGAACGCCGTCTGGAGCGGCGGCAGGCAGGTCGGGCTCGGGTCCGCGCAGCAAGGCGGCCTGCGCAGCTTTGATCCCGTCCGATGCTGGCTCATCGTCGCGTGCTGGCTGGTGGCGTCGGTCGCAGAGTACGTCTCCCTCGTCCGATCTCGCGATCGATGTCGCGCGTGTTGACCGACCGCGTTACACCCAGCGTGTACTGCCTGTATGCGCTCGTGCGGCGGCCGCGGCTGGTGCTCGACTTTGCGCTGACGCTGCTGTTCGTCCACCTGGTGTTGACGACGTACTACACGGCTGCGTTCCCGACGTCGGTCTTTTTCTGGCTCGTGGTCGGGGCCAGCACTGCGGGGACGGTCATTTTCGCGGAGCAACTCTGCGTCAAGCGGGAGATGGATGAAGGCCTGGTTGTGACGGCGCCGACGGACAACGGAGAGGACAACGTGGAGATGGGCCACCTGCTGCGGCAAGACTGAAGATCCTTGGAGACCCACTACCGTCATCTCGGATATCCATCACAGCGTACCAAAGGATGGTACGTCTATTGAACTTCTCCCTGCTGAATTCACACCGATCTTGTCTTAGATCGTAGTTTACTTGGCTTCTAATGGGCGGTAATTGACACGCGTCCCCGCAACGAGAGTCACCCTTACGTGCACGCACGCAAAATGTGTGAGATCGAAGCGTCAACAACCAGCATGCATTCTGGCTGCAAGAGGGTGGCGGACGTGGTGCGGCTCGGCTCTCCTGTCACCAGTGACTGAATGACTACAGCCCCTTCTCCTCTTCTCGAACCGTCCCTGCATGCCATCCAAGACGTTTCGTGAGATCAAGCAGTAGACGTGCATTTAGCGTGGAGGTTGTTCGGAGCTAACGATCGGTTTATGTGTTCGAGAATCGTGCTGGTGTGTGATCGTACGCTGTCTGCAGGCTTACGCGTCCCGCACAGGTCCCCCTGCTACGTTCGAAATCGTGGATTGCCCAGCCGTCGTTCACGTCCTGCTTCTGCGCTCCGCTCGTCGTTCCGCCACTGAAGCTATCTTCATCCATCCATCATGCATCGCTGCCGTCCATGGGGACCTATCGGTCGCGAGGTTTCTCCTGATTGGTTCGTGTCCCTCGCATGTTCTGCAGAAACACGTTCCTCCCACGCGTATGGCAGATGTGTGTGTGGTTACTTCACGAACGCCGTCAAGTCCTAGGACCACGGCGCCGATGCACCTTCGCAGTGAAGGAGTGGAGCACGATCGTCAGAGTTCTGTGGTTGTCGGATGGCGGTATGTGGTCCATGTTGCAGATGAGCATCTGATTCGAAGTTTGGGCACGACCAGATCATTCCGAGCTTGGATATTAACTACAGCGTCCTGCGGGGTGCAGGGTTCGTGTGTGCACTTGCCAGGCTCGTGCCCTTTCATATCTGCGCCACATCGCGCTGGCCTACTGATTGCTCGCAGCCCGAACGCCTGCGTCTCCGCAGATGGATTCGATATGTCAAGGCAGTCCCCGGTGCAACCGCCTCAATCTATCTGTGAACTGATCTAGGGCCCATAACGCCCGCATTCTTCCTTGCAGTTCCGTTCTATTGTCGTGATTCTGCACCTCGCGCCTCTCGGTAGGCCGAGAACGCTCGATTCGCGCTGCACGGCCCCCGCGCTGACTATTATCCTTCTCGGCCCCCATTTCCTTAGGTTCCCATCGTCGCCTATAAGGTGGCGATTAATGACCGCCCTCTTCTCGCTCCAACTCAGCGGCGATCTCATTAGCGCCCTGGCCGCAGGTGCTTTGTGCTGCGACAGGAAATCGTGACACAGGCGGCACAGATCAAGTGAACGTCGAGCGACCTCGGGAGGACGAGGCAGGTACGGTCCTTTCACCCATTTACTCGGGACACGCTACTCTTCTTCGCCAAGGCTTCTGGGCTGCCTATGACGATCGAAGATTTGGATTCTGGGGCGCGCAGCCTATTCCCGCGCACCCCTGAATACTATCGCCGACCAGTCATTGCGCCCACCTTCGGGACCGTAGTCGCGCGGGACGGGGTCTAGGCTTTGTACACATGGACGTGGGTTCTCGAGGTCGACGTTCTGACGAGCCGGATGCGAAACAATGGTTGGGTCCGGTATCAAGTCTTACCACATTGGGCGCGAACGCTTGGACTCGAGGTCGGTCTTTGAAGATCGGAGGCCAAGGCCGTGGGCGGAGCGGTGGTGAAGGTGGGACAATATGCAGGCCGAGTCGGACTCGTGTGTTGATAGGGAAGGTGGGCGAGGTGAGTCGATTGCGGTTCATCGGTTCAGCAATCACTGTCCACGCTGCAGGTCTTTGGGCTCGTGCGCGATCGCAGCCTGCCAACTCGGGTTCGGTCGCTTCCGCCTCGCGGCGATGTACCTCACAGCGGGCGACCAACAGGCGCGAGCAGAGCAACATGCCACTTTCGGTTATGTGGCTGGGATTGCCTTCCGGTGTGTGTTCGACGAACCATCTCTGCCGCTTCGGTGACTGCTGCTCCTGCTTCCTCAGCGATGTCCGTCGCGCATTAGGCAAGGCGGGGGCTCGGGCTCTCGCGATCGTGCAACTCCCGTTCGTTTACGTATGCCGGGCCGTGGCGGGCGAGCGTGGAGGCCACGTCCCGCGGCGCGCATGACCGCCATCAGAGGTCCATCACGGGCGGGCGGCGGGGCGGAGTTGAAATCTGGGCTGGGGGCGCTGGAATGCGGTCGTGCGTGCGCGGTCCCCGCGCGGTCGTCAACAGTGTGGAGTCGAGCCCTGCGGCAGCCCAGCCGGGCTGGCAGTGGAGGGTTTGGCCGCGCAGGGCCGCGCACGGGCGTGGATCCACGCCCGCCTCGCTTTCCCCCTGGCGTGTTGATTCCCGGAGGAGGGGGGGACGGGGACGGATGGACGCGTACGTACCTTGTACGACACCCGCCGCACGGCCTGACTCCTCACGCCCGCCCCTGCGCACGGCGCACGCACGCATGCGAAGCGCGCAGTCGTGGGGCGGACCGGGATGCGGGGGGGCCGCTGCCTTCTCGGAGGCGGGTGCGTATGAGGGGGTGGGAGCGCGGAGGACGTTGGTGGACCGCGCAGGATTGGTGCATCCTGGCCCACGCGCGTGGGTCGATGGCGGGCGACTCTGCAGCGCTGACCTCGGGCGAGCGGCGCTGTGGGGACCCGGTCCGGGCTCCGCAGCCGCAGACGCCTGCGGGCGGGCGACGGCGGGCGCGGTGGACGGGTGCGCATTTGGGCCCGGCTGGGCTGGGGGGCACTCGCGACTCGAAGGGGGCTTGTTGTTGCCGTTGGCCGTCCGTCGTGGTGGCACGAGGCGGCGCGCTTAGGCGGGATTATCGCGAATACGCACCCAGGGCGGAGAGTGGCGGCGGGCGAGGTTGGGCACTGCCGCGCAGAGTCAGGAGGAGGCGCAGGCGAAGGTACGTACCCTCTCCCTGTCTCAGCTGGAGGAACACGCGTAGACGGGCGCTCATCCCATAATGGCAAGAGGCTACGGGCGCTTAGGTGTTCGTACGCGGGACGAGAGGCGCGGGGACAGACGCTACCGTAGCGAGGCGGGCGCCAGTCGGTTTCCACTAACGAGCTGTTCATCCGAGCACGAGGCACGCCCGTTACATATAAACCCCTCCGCGCCCACCCTTCCAGCCCTCCCGCTCGCTCCCCCTCTCTCCTCCACCGCCCTTCCCAATCCACCAGCCCGACGCGCAGCCATGCAGGCTCTCAAGGGCCTCCTCTCCCCCTTCGCCGGCAACAGCAACCCCATCCAGGACACTCTTGTCAGTCCCAGCCCTCCCCATCCCCTTTCTTCTTCCACTCACTGCCTCGCCACGTGTCCTTCCAGAAACTTGTTGTCATTGGCGGTACCGTCGAAACCGCGCGGAGAGCATCGGTCTCGGCTTGGAATGGTTTCATTGACTGTGAGCGTTCCCGTTCCGCTTCGGCGTCGTCGACCCACCCACGCGCCTGCGCCTTCAGCGTTCTTCTTGACCGCGCACTTCAGCCAAGAAGACTACCCATATGACTGGTGCGTTCCCTCCCACTGCCCCACGGTGTCAGATGGCGATTGAGCTGACGCGCGCGCTGCGGCACCCAGGCTCATGCACTGGCTGTCCAAGGTCAGCGTCACCTTTCGGTCTGGCATGCAGACGCTCATATGGGAACCCGGATACAGCAACCCGCGTGGGGGCGCAGCCGCGAGTTCGACATCACGACGCGCTCCGTCAGCCGGCACGGGCTCTCGCAGAAGACGACGGGCGATCTCGAGGAGGACGAGGAGGACGGCGAGTTTCAGCAGGGGAACGGCAGGAAGCGACGAGGTGAGCCGGTCCCGCGCGCTGCGGCGTTCCGTGACTGACCGAACGTGTGTGCGTATCGCCGCGTCCGCGTCTCCGTTCTGTGCGCGCAGTCGCCATTGTGCCGAGCATGGGTAAGTCTCCCCTGCGGTAGGAGTCAGTGACTTCGCGCTGACGGGCCTTCGCAGACACGACACACACGATATACTACCGCGGGCACTGGCTGAGGGTGCGTACACGCGTTTAGAGTTATCATTCGCCCGTGGACGGCGGCGCGCGTCCCCGCACGTTTCTTCTGATGGGCCCTCGCGATCGCGGACCTGATGGCGCATCTCCCCCCAGATAACCCGCACTAAGCGGTTCCAAGACTACGGCTCCTGCGCGGAGCTCAAAATAAGGTAAGCCCCCCGCCCCAGACTCCGTGCGACGCGGACGCACGCGTACTGACGGCTTCGCCTCGCAGCGTCGTCGCGCGGAGCAACGACATCCTCAAGCGGCTGGTGCTCGAGGCGAAGCGGGAATACGAGAAGGACGCAGAGCACCGGGTGCACATCTTCATGGCGGACACGTACGTGGATTTCGCTCGGTTGATCTGCGCGGCGCATGCGGGGAATATTGGTCTCACCTCGGCTCGCGCGCCAGCTCGTACGGCTGCTGGCGATGGAATGGCGCCCGGCAGAAGCGACCGATGAGCTCGATCGTCCTCGAGCCGGGCGTGAAGGACATGATCCTCGCGGACTGCAAGGACTTCCTCGCGTCGGAAGATTGGTGAGTTTGCGCGCGACCCTGAGCGCGTTGACGTCTTGAGCGCGAACGCTAACCGCCGCCGCGTTTGCGCCGCAGGTACGCTGAGCGAGGTACGTGAAGCGTCGGCGCGCCGCTGGGTCACGCCCAAGCTCACTGGTCCTGGGGTTGTGATTGCGTAGGAATTCCGTTCCGACGCGGATACCTGCTGCACGGAGTCCCGGGCAGGTACGCGCGTTCTCCGTCTCGGTGTGCTTTCAGCAGCTGATCTCCGCACGCGTGTCCAGTGGGAAGACGTCGCTGATCCACAGCCTGGCTGGGGAGCTCGGGCTCGATATTTACGTCGTTTCACTCTCGTCCAAGGGGCAAGTGGTCAGTCGAATGTGTGCGCGACAGGTGACTGACCGTGCGAGCGCAGGATGAGCGACAACACATTGACGACGCTTATGGGCAATGTCCCGTCCCGGTGCGTACCTTGCCCAGCCCTGCGCCGGCCTTCGCGCCGGATTCGGGAATGATGTGGCCGCGGCCGGCGCTCCTTACGTCCGGACCATCTCCGCTTGGAGCCTGCTGACCCGCGTTCGCAGATGCATCCTTCTGCTCGAAGACCTCGACGCGGCCTTCACCCGGGGCATCTCGCGCGACGAGTCCTCAACGGGCGTCCCCACCGCGGCCGGCAGCTCAAGCAGCACCGGGAGCAGCAGCAAGGCATCCGCAAAGAACAAGGAGGAGAGCGATGGCTCGACGCTCTCCCTGAGCGGGCTCTTGAACAGCCTCGACGGTGTTGCGGCCGCCGAGGGCAGGTGAGTCGCGCTTGATTCCGATTGCGTCTCGGCCCCCGTCTGCCTTTCCCCGCACCCTTCCCCGCCCTTCCCTGCATCCTCTCGGGTCTCGGGTCTCGGGCCTCGGGCTGTGGGCGGGATGGACCGCGCGCGCGCCTCGGTCTGTCGCCGCCTGCGTCTCGCCGCGTCCTTCTCCCGCCTCCGATGCGCCGCCGCGGGGCGCGCCTCCGCCTGTGCCCGTAGCCACGGTCGTGCCATCCCCATCTGCCCAACACGTCTTCGGGCCCTTCCCCGTTCTGATCCTCGCACGCACGCGTGTCGCGCTCGCCTCGCCTGACGTGTCCCGTCCCGCGCCTCCCACTCCGCTTGCGTGCACACCGACCAGGCCCTACATGCTGACCCGTCCCCCGTCTTCCTCGCGCGCAGGCTCCTCTTCGCGACTACGAACCACATCGAGCGCCTCGACCCCGCGCTCTCCCGGCCCGGGCGGATGGACGTCTGGGTGAACTTCAAGCACGCCACCAAATGGCAGGCGGAGGGCATCTTCAAGTGCTTCTTCCCCGCCCGCGCGCCCGCCGCAGCCGCCCCCGCCGCCGTCGCGAGCGAAGACAGCAAGGGCAAGGCGGCGACGAAGGAAGAGAAGGAGGCCTCCGACGCGGCGCACCTCGCCGAGTCCAAGCGGAAGCGCGCGGCCGCGCACCGGATCCCGCCGCTGGACGAGGAAGAGATCTCGGCGCTCGCGAAGCGCTTTGGGGACGCGATCCCTGAGAACGAGCTGAGCGTAAGTCTCTTCGGCCGACCTCTTCCGCCCTCTGCGGTTCGTGGCGTGGTGCGCCACGGCGGAGGCGGAGCGCGCGCTGGACTGCGCGGAACGGAACGCTGACGGACATTCCTCCAACCTCAGGTCGCAGCGCTGCAGGGCTACCTGCTCCGGAACAAGACACGCCCTCGCGAGTGTGTGGACGAAGTTGCCGCCTGGTGAGTCGCCCATTTGCCCGTCCTCGCTGCCTCGCCAGGCGCTCGGCTGACGGTGACCAGGGTTGTCTCCGAACGCGAGATGCGCGAGAAGATGAAGAAGGAGAAGGAAGAGGTGAGCGCCGCGCGGCCCACAGCATGTCTCTCGCGCCCGCACGTGCTGACGTCACCGCCGCGGCCTCCCAGCGCGAAGCTCGGGAGAAGAAAGAGGCGGAGGAGAAGGCGCGCAAGGAGGTGAGTTCTGCTCCCCGCCTTACGTCTTCGTGACGACCCCCGGCGACTCACCTCGCTCTCCCCGTCCGCAGAAGGAAGAGGCCGAGGCGAAAGAGGTGCGTCGCTTGTCCCGTGCGCGCGCGCGTGCGAGCTGACCCGGCCCCCGCGCGCTACAGAAGGAAGAGAAGGCGGCCGCCGCGAAAGAGGTATGATCGCTCGGGCCCGCCCTGCTCCGTTTGCGTACGTCCGTGGCCAGCGCCCCCGCTCACTCGTTGCGTGGACAGGCGGAGAAGGACGCTGCGGTAGCAGCCGCGGCGGAGAAGAAGGAGCGCAAGGCGAAGCGCGTCGCGGGGCTCAAGAGCGCCCCGGCGGTCGCGAGCGAGTCGTCGTCGGACTCGACGACGACCTCCGACGCCGAGCAGACGAGCGGTGCGGACGCGGACACGGAGGAGAGCGTCACGTCCGAGGAGGAGCAGGACAAGACGAAGCCCAAGAGCGACAAGTGGGTCGCCGTCAAGCAGCAGCAGCAAGAACCCGTCGCGGATGCGGAGCCCGAAGACGAAGAGCCCGTGCCGGCCGAAGTCGAGGCCGCCGTTGCTGCCGCCGTCGCCGCTGCGGCCGCAGCCGCGTAAAGCGATAGCTCGCACCCCACCCTGGGTGCTCCACACACCCCCGCGCACCCCTTCTCCAGGACCCGGACTCAGGAACTCTTCGTGCTGTACTACCGCTCCTGTGCTGTGTGGTCTTGCTGGTCGATGCTCCGCTCCGCCGCCTCGTCCCTCGTTCTCGCGATACGCCCCTCTCTTGCCCGTCTCGGATCGTGTACAGTCCTCTCCGGCTCGCCGCGCCCGTGCCCGCACGCCGGCCAGCCCGTGCTATTACCGTTACCTTACTAGATGCCCCAGCCCGTCCGTGCCACGCCCGCGCCACGACTGTTTGTACGTACCCTACCGCCGTTGTCGATTGACGTCCCATGTCCACGCCTAACCATTCACGTCCACGTCCACGCTCATGCCCATGCCCGTGCCGCCGTACGCGTGCGCCCATGTCGACGTCCCCGCTAGCTTGTCTCCTGTCTCTCGTCGCTGTAGAATGCTATCGCTTCGTTGTCCTACTAGTGTTCACCGCAGGCGTTCTACCTTGCCGACAGCGTGGGTGCGGTTGGGCGCACGTACGTACGCGTGCGGGGCCGAGAAGTCGGCCACGAACGCTCTCCGCGGCGGCCCGCGTCACTACGAGTAGCGTGTCCCTCGGGCTGGCCAGGGCTGGCCGCACGCACTCGCCCGCCCGCCTCCCTTCCAAGTGCCCTCTTAGCTCCCTCCCCCTCTGCGTCGTTTCCGCCCAGGGGGGTGATGGATGAGGATGATCGCCCTGGGCCACAGGCTGCAGACGTACAGTGCGCATCAACCGCGTCGTGCGCGACGCAGTGTGCGCCCCCGGCCGACCCTGGCGCTTGCGGCCGCGAGTGCTTTCGGCGGGCGGATGCTTTGATAGTACTTGTATTTTGATCTAGAAGGGCTGCCTAAGGGAGACTAGCCGGGCGTATGACAGGTTCGAGCACGGAGGCGAGCGGAAAGAACGTGACGTCACGGAGGGATAGGGCGTCTAAGGGACGTCGTGATGTCGAAAGCAGAAGATCGCTTGTGAAGAGAACGTGCAGAGGGCAGACAGGAAGCTTGAGGCCCTGAGACTTGAGAGCTTGAGATGTGGGTCCCCCAGCCACCGAAGTGGGTGGAAATGACGCGAGGTTGAGGGAGAGCCCCGGCCGGGCGCGTGTTTGAGATTGGACGGGATTTGACGTGGGGGCATTCTGCGTGGACTGGTCACCTAGAATGCAGAGACCGACTGGGTCAAGTCCGTCAGCGCGAAGAGACCAGGGTGCACAGCCAAGGGTGTTGGCGTACTGGGGTCAGGATACGTGCTTCTGCTTCGATGAGGTGCACGGTCGCATTCGAACGTCGAAGCAGATAGAGTTCCGGAACCTGAACCACATACCATGCGCCTGGTTTTAGACCTAGGGAGAAGGTGTTCGTCACCCGCGAAGTGGCACCAGCACCGTGGTCCTAGGGCTCCGATAGAGTTCGTGAGGTAACCACACTCTCACACCTACAGGCTCGCATGGAAGGAACGGGCTATCGCACACCATGTGTGGACCGGGAGCAGCTTCGCGACCGACGGGAACGTAACAGATGGATGAGCTGGAGCAGATTCCGATAGAGAAGATTGCGGAGGACTCAACGAGGCCTGTGCGAAACGCGTGAGCTTGCAAGAAGCGCACCGTGACATACCGTCGTGATATCCGACGGCCTGGCAGGCAATAACCGGCAGGCAGAGAACGATTAATCGTCATTCAACCGAATGTTACAGGAGAAGGGCGTCACAGTGGCAACCACTCATTCCATAGTATGTGTGTGTAAGGAGAACGGGGGAAAGTGCATTGCCTCCCATTATATGGGGAGCACGCTGGACTTAGTGGAGGATTGGCGCGGGGGTAATATGGGTAGCCTAAAAAGACGCACCCTGACATGGGCCAGTGGGTATCCAGATACGATGGTGAGATCTTCAGTCGTGCCGTAGCAGGTGGCCCATCTCCACGTTGTCCTCTCCGTTGTCCGTCGGCGCCGTCACAACCAGGCCTTCATCCATCTCCCGCTTGACGCACAGTTGCTCCGCGAAAATGACCGTCCCCGCAGTGCTGGCCCCGACCACGAGCCAGAAAAAGACCGACGTCGGAAACGCAGCCGTGTAGTACGTCGTCAGCACCAGGTGGACGAACAGCAGCGTAAGCGCAAAGTCGAGCACCAGCCGCGGCCGCCGCACGAGCGCATACAGGCAGTACACGCTGGGTGTAACGCGGTCGGTCAACACGCGCGACATCGATCGCGAGATCGGACGAGGGAGACGTACTCTGCGACTGACGCCACCAGCCAGCACGCGACGATGAGCCAGCATCGGACGGGATCGACGCTGCGCAGGCCGCCCTGCTGCGCGGACCCGAGCCCGACCTGCCTGCCGCCGCTCCAGACGGCGTTCCACGCGCTCCAGGGCCCTTCGCCGGGCAACGCGCGGGTCGTCGGGCGGCCCGCCATCTCGCGCCAGTCAAGGATCATCCCTGAGGTGTGTGGGGAGGGGAGGGGGAGGGGTCAGCACGGGGCGGACGGCGGGCGAGGGAGGGCATACCGACATTGGCAGCACCGCCTTCATACTCGAGCGAGGCGGGATCGGCGAAGATGACGAGGAGGGGCGGGACGAGGAGGGAGAGGGCGAGGTAGTGGAGGGTCTGGAGGGCAAGGATCTGGGAGAGGATGAGGACCGGATCCCAGCCGGTGGACTTCGTCATGGTCGTCGCGTTGGCGGAGACAGCGGACGACTGCCCGCGCTCGCTCACATCCGGCGTTTGTTCCGAGTGCCCGGTCCGGCCCCATCGCGCGGACCGCTGCGGCTTAGGCGCTGGTCACCACTCGCTGACGCGGCCCAGGCTGTGGGTATTTGGACTTTGAGGGCGGCGAGTGCGGGCAGTGGACCGCGTCAAGTTGACGATCTCCTTCAACGTTTCAACGATGGATCAATGCCCGGTTGAAGTCCTCCACTCGATCTTTTCTTACGCTTGCACTGATGACGGATCGACTGGACGCGCTCTCGGTCTCACCTCGCGATACATCGCGGCCGCCTCGCGTCCCTTCCTCTACGCCTCCGTCGCCCTCTTCGGCCCTGCACAAATCGCAGCCTTTGCGACCCTGCTAGAGGGTCTCCACGCATCTTCACCGTCGTCCGATACGCCCGTGCTCTTCCTCTACATTACCGACCGCGCCCAGAGCGCAATGCGACGCCCCCCCGGCCAACCACACGACCAATCCCGCTCGACGTTCACCCAGATGCGGGACACGTTCATGCCCACCGACGCCCCTGCCCTCGGCCTCGCCTTCTCCATCTCCCGCCTCCTCCTTGCCGTCGCCCCCACCCTCCGTGCTCTCGCCCTCCTCCTCTTCCATCGCTACCACACCGCCGACCACCCGCTCTCTGTCCCCCTCCCTCACCTCCACGAGCTCACCGCGCACACCTCCCTCCTCCACACCGTCGAGCACGTCGAGATTGTCGACGGCGCCCCCATGTTCCGCACCCCTGCCGGCCAAACCACCTACGCCGCCCTCCGCCGCCTGCACCTCATCCAGAACGGCGCGAGCACGATCCGCCAGTCCGTTCCCCGCGTCGTCGCCCGGATCGCCCCGCGGATCACCCACCTCTTCCTCGCCCGCCTCGGCCCGTCCTTCATGCGCCAGGGCGGCGTCGTCAGCGGGCTCACGCGCCTCGTCAGCACGGACACCGTCGCCCCTCCCACGGCGCGGGCGAGGAGTTCCCCGCGACGCTGCAGCGCGTGATCGTCCAGACGCTCGACACCTCACAGTATCGGTTCATCGACCAGGTGTGTGTCGCACGCTTGACGTCGTCTTTCGCACCGCTGACCCGGAATAGCAGGACCTGATGGCGCAGCTCAAGGAGCTCGCCGCATCCGACGTGCAGAGGCGGATTGCCGTGCTCGAGCCTGTCAAGCTCAACGTCTCCGGGGTCGGCACCATCCTCGGCTTCAGCATCCCTGACGTTGACTTCTACATGAAGCTTCAGTCTCTGTGGGAGCAGCGCTTGGCGGGTGGAGAGGGCGTGTGGGACGTGACCGTCGTCGACCAATGACCCCCGCGGCGGACGTCTGAGTGAGTGTGTTTTTCACCGTCCCTTGCATTGTTCGATGTTCTCTGATGCCTTTGATTTCCGCAGCCCTTATGTATTAAGTTCTTGTAAGCTTCAAAAACACCGGGCTGGGTACGCACCCAACCCAAGCACGGCGCTGATGGTCCGTAGCGGTGATCCTTGTACATCCTCTCTCGTCTACATACTGGTGGTGTACAGCGTGGTTTTTGTACCACTATTTTCATGCAACTGACCAAAGCGAAGCTGGTGCGACAAGCGTCATCCAAAAATGTGATAAATCTTTAAAACAATGTTTACACAAGTTGAATCGCACGGGCAGCGGCCTGGCACCAGTCCGTACCCAACCAGACGAGCGCGGACAACGGCGCCCCTCAGCATCACCGGTTGACCAACGTTTCAACTCGGACCATACGTCGCGACGATGGTTCGTCCCCAGGAGCGGACACTCCGAGCTCATCCTGCTCGCCCAGCCGCCGCGTGCATCACCGTGTGCCCTCCGGGGCGCGCGCCCACCATGACGTGCTCCCCGCGTCCCGATGCGTCTGCGCCTCACGCTACAGCCCAGGACCACGACTCCGTCGGCCACCCGATGAGCCTGCGGCACGCGCGGCATGAGTCCCTCTCACCGGGCAGGATGTCGAAAGGGCGCGAGGCGGCTCCGTGCTAGCCCAACCTGTTTCTTCGAGCTACCCTCCACTATGCCCACCCAGAATATGTTATTTTTTACATCCTCGTATCTATCTACGCATGTGCCCATCCGTCGGCCCTATCCATCGGAAAACAAAAATCCTATCTTCGTGTTTCCTATCTTCGCGTTCCGGGGCGCCAGAGCTGACAAGGCTGGGCATCCGAGTTCCGCGCTATTCTTCTCCTCTCGCTCTCGTTTCTAGTGTGCCGCGTATCGGCGAACCTCCTCTGCCTTGCTTTCTTCAAGCCCTCGGACAGACCTCCAGTCGCGCGGGCGATTCATATACCGTATCTGTATGATCACTCTTACATCATGGCTGATCTCCCAGCAGAATACGCCCAACGGTAATGCATCACGAACGTACCGCATCTCGCTCACTTCTCTCGCCATTTTCTGCGAACGACGACCTGCAGAGCAGGAAGCCTATATGTTAGGATAGATAGCCGACGCACCTGGAGCGGCCGCCCCTGATCATACAGCACACCTTTCCGACATGCAATTATCGGACGGACGAAACACTTTGCACAGGGTGTACTACATGCACTCGAGCGCGAGGGACCCCAAGCATCCCACCGCCTCTTCCTCGCTCAGCGTCGGCACGCTCTCGATCCGACCATCCTGCTTTAGGAGCGCCTCGCGCCGTCCAAACGCAGCGACCATCCTGCGCGTGATGCGCACGTCGCCCCACTGTCCCGACGTCGGGCGTCGCTAACACCGCGGGCGTACGTCAGACCTCTCACCCTTGCTCGAACAGAACAAAGCGCTACTCACCGATCTCACGACGGCAGGCCTCATCGTGCGCGCGAGCCCGACGAGCGGCCGCAGCCACTCCCACGGCGCGAGCTCCAGCCCGAGCCCGTCCGCGAGGTCGCAAAGCACGCCCGCGACATGCGTGACGGTCGTCCCCGGTGGGCGCCGCGGGGTCGACAGCCGCGCGGCCTCCGCGGCGCACGCGACCGCGAGCAGCAAGTGTCCGACCGGGTCGAAGTGGCGCAGCGCCGCCGCGGACGGCGTCGTGCACTCGGCGTAGGCCGCGTACGTCGCCAGCGCGTACGCGCGCGCGAGTACGTCTGCGGGTGCGGTCGGGGGCGCGGCAGGCCGGGCGGGGGGGCGGGCCGGCGCACGGCTTCGCGGGGTGGCTGGGAGGGCGAGCATGGACGGGGAGAGCGGGGGCGCGGGCTCGAGCGCGTCGCGCGTGAGCGTGCGGAGGACGACGAGGGCCTCTTGGGTGTCCGGGCAGCCGGTGTCTGTCCCCCATCCGGAGAGATACCTGTGGTGGCGGGGCGAGTGGCGCGGAGTCAGTTGTGGGTGCTAGTGGCACAGCCGCGAGACGAACCGGGTGGCGAGCTCGAGCATGTAGTCCCAGTACTCCCGTTTGGTGCTGGGGAGCGAGTTGAGATGGTTGATGAGCGTGTTGAAAGGCAGCGCCTCGCAACGGCACCAACATTCGCGCAGGTGCTTGTCTGGGTTCGGTGGCGCGAATTCCGGGTAGAAACAGACGCGCTCGATGTGGAGGTGGTCAAGAAACGTGGGGTCGTCCGAGAGCTCGAGAGGCGGGAGCGAGGGGACGTCGTAATATTCTGAGTACATGCTGAAAGCGCACTCGTGGGTGTTAGCTGGGGACGGTGGATGAGAGGAGTTGTGAGTGGCGACACAAAGTGGGCGATGGTCAGGATGCTTGGGCGCTCCGACTGCGCGAAGCTCACGCTTTTGTTGTCACGAGCCACTCGGGCATGTGTCGCTCCAAGGACAAGGTAGGGCGTCTACCCTCACGAAGGAATGGCGACGTCTCCGGAAAAGTGCCCTCCAAAGCCAGGAACCTCTGTGGCACACATGCTGCGAGACAGGAACAAGGGGAAAGCACCTTGAGCGCTCACTGGACACTCGGTGATCAGGCGCACGAACTTCTCTCTGAAAAGACGCAGGATCCGAGGTGGTAGGGTGTACGAGCTGGTGCAGATGAGTTCGCGTATACGGGTGCATGAATTCCACCAAGATGACGCCGCCACTCCAAGCCTGCATCGCTTGGGATCCTTCAGGGACTCGCAGACGTCCGCAGTGTATACACCTCGACTCGACGTCGATCCAGTCAGGGATTCACGTACATGGACAGAAGAACACACTCAATAAGCTTGTGGTTCCGGTAGTCGTAAAACACTTGTCCCTAGAGCATAATTAGCTTGTGGATATTGCCGCTGAAGCCTCGGACCGCAAGTCCGTGATTGAGAGAGAGAAGATCATGAGGGCAAGCATAGGACTCGAATGCGTTAATAAGCCCTCCCACGCCGCCCGGACTTTGCCGTCGGCACTGATGCCACTTCGTCGCTCTGATAGACTGGCATCTGCAAACGAAATGTCGCAGTATGAAACTCCGGGACCTGAATGAACGCAACGATCATGCATATCTCCGCTTCCGATGTCGCTGTTATAAATCGGGACTCAGCTTACACAAGGGGTTGTCAGAAGGTGGTGGGTTATCCCCTTTTATAGATTCTATCACGTGGACAAGCACTGAAAGGGGCGACCAAGTTGCCGTAACACCTATCCACCTTGTTCTCCGTCATTCATCTCCAGAACTTACACACTATGGCCTTTGAGGTCTTGAATTTTCCCTCAACAATCAATGTTTACTGTGCATGAGTTCCGGCCCATGACGTCTTGCTGGAGATCGATGTGGGGTGCGACTGAATTTGTTATTTCATTCGTCAGATAGATGGAGCTGTGTCGAGATAAGACGGTATATAAGAAAGCTTGCTTATGTTCTGTCTCCCTCACCCGTTTTGGCACAGCTTTACACACCCTACCCCACCCACCCATCTGACTACCCATGTCTCTTCCTCTTGCCGGAAAAGTCGCTATAGTTACTGGTGCTTCACGCTCAATCGGTGCTCAAATCGCCGCTCAACTCGCTGCAAAGGGCGCGAATGTCCTCATCACCTACGTCGCTGGTGCTGATGCTGCCGCTCAAGTTGCTGCCGACATCAACTCGAAAGGTGCGGGCCAGGCAATTGTCTCCCAGGCCGACGCCGCTTCCCTCGAGGCCAACCAGCGCATCGTGAAGGAGGCCGTAGACAAGTGGGGCCGCCTCGACATCCTCATCCTCAATGCGGCCATCCAAGGCATGGCCACCATAGCCCAGGTCACTCCCGAGACCTACGACAAGACCTTCGACACGAACGTCAAAGGGCCCATGTTCCTCATCCAGTCCGCCCTCCCTCACTTGACTTCGGGTGAGTATATATGCGCCCAGGCTGTGTCGTCTCACACCGCTCATCCGCTTCGGCCCACTCAGGGAGCCGTATCATCCTCTTCTCGTCATCACTCACCCGCGCGTCGACGGTCCCTCCCAACTACCTTCTCTACAACTCCACCAAGGGCGCTGTGGAGCAGATGGCGCGCGTCCTCGCCAAGGACCTCGGCCAGAAGGGCATCACGACCAACGTCGTCGCGCCCGGACCGATCGATACGGACCTCTTTCGGAACGGCAAGACGGAGCAGCAGATTGCGTTCTTCGAGAACCTACACCCGGCGAAGCGTCTCGGCCAGGCGGAAGACGTCGCGAAGGTGGTGGACTTCCTCGTCAGCCCTGAGGCGTCTTGGGTCAACGGCCAGACGTTGATGGTCAATGGGGTGAGTAGATTCCTAGGATGTCTGCTCAACGACGGTTTCATGTATCGTACACAGGGCTTCGCCGTATAAACGGATGCACTCGAGAAGTGGATTGGCCGTGCTTTAGTGAACAACTGTATATTGATTCGTCCCTTTTGAAAAGTTCTGCGGAACTCGCGAAAAGCGTTCCTCTCCGTTGAGTGGGTGCCCATGGTAAAGTTCTCACAGCCGAGTCCCGACTTAATGTTGGCAATTTGATCGTGAGTAGTGGCGGGGAGCTCTGTGAGGTTACATCATCTAACCAGGCGATATTAGAATCCTCTCTCGCCGTAGTACCCACGCGACTCATGTGTAGGCGAGATCGCGCGACTATCGTCTGCTTGGTGGGCAAGCAAATGATACTCAGTCCCTATATCTAGCTCAACAAGCAAACTAAGTTACGAGATTATAGCTTACATCCACCGGAGCAACACCACGGTCTACCACGTCCGGCGCTTCCCACCCTTGCCCCACTTCTCGAGCAGGAAGTCCGTCATGAACTCGTACAACTCCCTGTTCGCGCCGCGCTTATAAATGCTGTGGTCGCTGAGAAAAAAATGCCATGGTCAGCTCAGATGTCCCACACGCACGCGCGGACGTACCTGTCGGTGAACATGCGGAAGCGGAAGTTGCGCACGCGATCGCGCGTGAACATGTCGAGCAGGTGGGCCGAGTTGGCGTAGTGCACGTTGTCGTCCCCACTGCCATGCGCAAGCAGGAAGTCGGCATGGTGGAAGCCGGTGACGTTCGAGATCGACGCGGTAACGTAACCTTCCGGGTTCGCGCTGGGGAGGTCCATATAGCGCTCCGTGTAGATCGAGTCTGTGGGCGCGTTCAGTCTCCGACGATGTGGGAAGGCGAGGCTGGTGCGTACCATATAGTCGCCAGCTAGTGACAGGCTGGTATCGACAAGCGATCAGAAACGCTCAGATCAAGCGCACATGTCACTCACAGCAACAGCCATAGCCAGCGAATGCACACCAGCATCCGCCTCCACAACCTTCGAGCTCATAAAGCCACCGTAACTCCATCCCCAGATCCCGATCCTCTTCGGATCAACATACTCCTTCGCGGCCCATATCTTCGCAGCGGCGATCTGGTCCGCTGTCTCGTACTTCCCTAGCTGATTCTTGACTGGGTTTCTGAGGCGACGTCCGCGATGTCCCGTTCCACGCCCGTCGACGATGACGACGATGTACTGGAGCTCGGTAACGACGTAGTCGTGCCAGTCGTGGCCGTACTTGACGTCGACGAGCTGGGACCCGGGCCCGCCGTAGACACGGAAGAGAACGGGGTATTTGGTCCGCCCGGTGTCGTCCATGCGTGGGGGACGCATCTCGAGCACGTTCATTTCTAAGGGGCCCCCAGTGGATGAGTCAGCGCGAGATGAGAGGGGGAAAACGAGACGCACCGTAACCGTCATTCTCGATTGTCGAGTGCGTCACAATGGGCATTTCGTACTCTGCGAGCGTGGCATTGAGTGCCGAGTTCTCGCTCAGAACGTAGTCGAAATCTTCGATGTGTTAGAACTACCATCACCTTCTCGGGACGAGACATACCTTCGTCGCCAACGCGGTTGACGCGCTGCCAGGGCGGGTGAGGACCCTTATAGCTGAGCACATAGAAGCCTCCTTCAGGTGAGAAATCGGCCTCGTAGTATCCAGGGCTAGAAACGTCCGTCAAGGCTGTAGGTTCATCGACATCCCCACCTGGGGTCTTCGGGAGGGGTACTGAGTAGATGTGACGCTGGGTAGAAGACGGTTTTGCTGCCTGGAAGTAGCTGGAACGCGTCTGATCAGGACCGGGAGAATGAAGGATGAAGCACTGATACGCACACGAGACGGCGCTTAGCATCCACTGCGAGGATGCCGCTGGTGACCTCCCACTCTCCAGTGGTGAGAAAATGTGGGGTGGTGCTGTTCGCAGGGCTAAAGAGAGCGATGTGGTTGAAACCTTCCGGCGTCGGAACAATGTCGAGGTACGCGGGCACGTTCTCCTGATACCACAAGTCCTCCGGCAAAGGTGTGATTTCTTGGATCTATGGATATTTGATCAGAGTTGGCTATGCGACATGACAGTATGTATGCGCTTACAGCCTCAATCCAGCCATCATCGCCCTGCTCCCCGTTCTTGCCCAGCCGGCGTACTGTCGTGCCTTGGAACCACGTATGCGTTGACATGTCGAAGGAAATTACCGCTCCGTCGTCTCCATTGCGCGTAACCTCACGTATGATAAGACCTTCGTCATCCACCCACGCGATCTCGGCGATGATTCGGTTCTCCGGGGTCGTATGGCCTTGAGACTGCCATTCGAGCTGCACGGTCGCCTGTTGTGCAAGGACGTTCTTGTCGAGACTGTCATCTGTCACTTCGCTCAGGACGTTGCGATAGGATTGCAGGCGGAACACGTGGGCGGAGACGAGTGGGTTCGGGTAGCCGGGTTTCGGGTAGCGCATGGTGACGTGATCGGGGTAGGGCACGACAGCGTACGAATCCTCGGAGGGATTGTAGACCGGGAAGGTGAACTCGTCGACAGCGGTCTCGTCGAAGCGGAGGAAGACAAGCTTTTCGGAGTCCGGAGACCACCAGAGGGCATAGTCTGCGCCGAACACCTCTTCCTCATACACCCAATCGGGGACGCCGTGGAATAGAGAGGCATTTCCTGAGGTCGTGACACGAAGAGGAGTCTCACTGCATATCGTCATAAGCATCAACACTGTTAGGGGGCATGAAGACTCACAAGGGACTGGGAGAGACATATACATCGTTCTCAGCCACGAAGGCGATGGACTGACCCGTAGGAGACCATGTCGCGTATGACGTCACTGGAGGGTTTGAAGGTGGAAGCAAAGGTTGCGTTTTCTTCGTCGCGATCTCGTGAACATAGAAATTGCCGTGGCTCGAGTGTCGCCACTGCTTGACATGGTTGGCCTTAACGAGCATAAACTTCATATCAGACGAGATCGACCATGTCATCCAGTTGAGCGGAAGGCCTTTCTCCTGTGGTTTCACATCAGCCGACAAGCTCTACAACACGGAGGGGAGGACACCCACATCCTTGATGTCGGAGTAGGAGACGAGCTGCCTCGAGGTGTTCGTCTTGAGATCAACAAGGTTGATGCCTGTCCCTTGTATGGCAGCGAAAACGCCGTCGCCAGCTGAGAGCAAGTGTCAACGATGTAATTCAGCGACTATATGCATAGTCGAGGCAGAACTTCCGCTTCTGGCGTCATGATAGGCTACGTAGAGCTTTCTACGACAACAAGGCGGTGACAACGTCTCCTAGTGCTACACAGCGTGACTCGTCTTTTCGTTCCGAGCAGATGGGGACGCATCACTTTTCAAGTGCTCCAGAATACGGTATCGCGCATGTGGAAACAGGGCCATGTGGATCGGGAGAGATGAATGCCATTGTGCGATGAAACACACCTTCGGGTACCCAATTGATAGACTTGACGTGAGGAGAGAAGGTACCGTTGAACATATGGTCCATCGTGAGATGGCGGACTCCTTGTATGCGGAACGGCGTGCCAGTATATGACCGCGCGGCGAAGACACCGATTACGACGGCAATGGAGATCAACGAGAAGAGCCCGATGATGAGTGCTTTGAGGGAGGCCGGACGTTTCTTTGGGCATACAGTGAGCCTGCGAGCGCATACCAGAACCTAGAGACGCACCTTGTCACGCTTTCCAATGACCAAGTCGCCCTCTTCCTCAATCCTCCGGCCGCTGCGCTCCTCGCTCTTCTCAAGTAGCTGGTCAGCTTCGTCATCGGAGCTCGGGGGGTCAAAGGGTCCGTCGCCATAGTACGTCTCAGGCTTTGGGGGATAAGCGGATACGGAGGTGTTGGAGGAGCCGCGTTCGAAGAAGTCGCCATCCATGCCGGGGCCTTCGTGGGCTGGCGGCATGCGTAGCGGCTGCGTGACGCGTAGGCGCGGCAGCGAAGAGCAGAGCGGAGAAAAGGAGCGTCGAAGCCGGAGCGAAGGAGGCGTACGCGCAGTGTCTGTGCCCCAGGCACGACGGGCAACGGCCCAGCTTCGGAGCCCGAAAAGGCGTAGAAAAAGCTTGTCAAAGGTGTCTTTTCTGCAGCCTTTTGTGCGCGTGTGAAAAAGGCACTAAAATGGGCAATTTCTCCGTCTGATTTATGGGTGCTGAAAACGATCGATAAAGAGACCTTTGGTACCCGTTCCAATAACGCGCGTTACTTATCATTTGTACTCACTTGTTTGTTACTCACATACTATACACGATCTATTGCCTTTACAATGAATCATATTGTCTTTGTTCTGAGCACTGTATTCTGTCGGGCCGAAAAATTCGCCTCAAACGTCACCTTTCAGGATATTCTATGACACACACAAACTTGACATAAAAGTTCGCCTTTCCCATCCTTTTTCTCCCCTGGAAAAATACATGCCGGAAATGACACCTGTGACAGGTTTTTTCTACGCGTTTTCGGGCTCCAAAGCTGGGCTGTTGCCCGTCGTGAGGGCGCTACCACTCACATGTCACAGCCGAGGGCGTCCAGGGGAGACGCCCAGCACGCGTATGGGCGCTTCTATTGGCCGTGGCGACGCGTTTTGGCGCGGTGCCGCCTGTCGTCGGTGGCTCGCAGTTTCTTCCTCCAGTACAACGACCTCCACGACCCTCACGACCCACTCCCCTCTACCCGTCATGGACGCAGACCTCATCAAACTCGTCAACAAGCTTCAGGACACCTTCGCCAATCTTGGTGCGCACTTTGTTCCGCCTATCCTCTCTTTGCTCACGTGCGTACAGGCGGAGAGCTCGACATGCCCCAGCTGGCTGTGGTACGTTCTGTCGCCGAACGCGTTCTTTTCGCGCGTATCTGAGGCCGTTGTAGGTTGGAAGCCAGTCTGCAGGGAAGTCGAGTGTCCTCGAAACGTGCGTCCATCTCCCTTTGCTCTTGCTCTTGCTCACCTCCGCGTAGCATCGTTGGGCGCGACTTCCTTCCTCGAGGCTCTGGAATCGTTACTCGCAGACCTCTCGTTCTCCAGCTCATCCATACCCCCGTCCCCGATCACCCAGTAGACTACACCGAATGGGGCCAGTTCCTCCACATCGACAAACGCTTCTCCGACTTTAACGACATCCGCAAAGAGATCGAGCAGGAGACCTTCCGTGTCGCCGGTCAGAACAAAGGTATCAGCAAGCTCCCCATCCATCTCCGCATATGCAGCCCCAATGTACTCGACCTCACCCTCGTTGATCTACCCGGTCTCACAAAGGTGCGTACCCACGTCTCGCCCTCAAAGAAGCATGGTTTTTGGTGACAACATGCTTATATGCTCTCTATATGTAGATTCCCGTGGGCGACCAGCCAAGCGACATCGAGAAGCAAATCCGCGGCCTGGTGCTCGACTACATCACAAAACCCAACTGGTAAGTCTCCTTCTGACTTGTCGGTCCATTGCTCACCTCCTCGTAGTGTCATTCTCGCGGTATCTGGTGCCAACGTCGACCTCGCCAACTCAGAAGCGTTGAAGCTTGCGCGTTCAGTCGACCCCCAAGGACGGCGCACGATTGGGGTCCTGACAAAGCTCGACCTCATGGACGCGGGTACCAACGCGCTCGACATTCTCACCGGGCGCGTGTATCCCCTAAAGCTCGGCTTTATCGGTGTCGTCAACCGCTCCCAGGCGGACATCAACAACGAGAAGCCGATGACGGATGCGCTTGACTCTGAAGCTGAGTTCTTCCGTTCCCATCACGCGTACCGCAACATCGCGCACAAGAATGGCACGAAATACCTTGCCAAGACGCTCAACCAGGTGCTGATGAACCACATCCGCGACAAGCTTCCAGACATGAAGGCGCGCCTAAACACGCTGATGGGCCAGGCGCAGCAAGAACTGAACTCGTTCGGCGACGCAGCGCTTTACGGCGACAAAAACCAGCAGAGCGGGCTCATCCTCCGCCTCATGACGCAATTCGCGCGCGACTTCGTGGCATCGATCGAGGGGACGAGCGTCGATATCTCGACCAAGGAGCTCTCGGGCGGCGCACGGATATACTACATCTTCAACGACGTCTTTGGTCAGGCGCTCACCAGCATCGATGCGACGCACAACCTCGATGGCCAGGACATCCGAACAGCGATTCGCAACTCAACTGGCCCACGACCGAGTCTTTTCGTGCCCGAAATCGCGTTTGACCTTCTCGTGAAGCCTCAGATCAAGCTCCTGGAAGCGCCGAGTCTTCGTTGCGTCGAGCTTGTGTATGAGGAGCTCGTGAAGATTTGTCACAACTGCACGAGCGCGGTATGTGATGCTTTGTGTTTGATGACATCATTCTCATGCACAACACAGGAATTGCAGCGGTTCCCGCGGTTACACGCTCAACTCGTGGAGGTTGTCTCTGAGCTCCTGCGCGAGCGACTTGGCCCCACGACGGACTACACTCAGAGCTTGATTGACATTCAGACCGCATACATCAACACAAATCACCCCGCATTCATCCAAGGATCCGCCGCCGCCGCGCACACGATAACGAACCCTCCAAAACAGAACATCCCTCGAGTGAGTTACCATCCTTGCGCCCATCTGCAACGCTACTGAGCGCTGCAGCACCACTCCTCTTCTGCCCAGATCACGTCCACCGAGTCCGTCAACGGTGCATCCTCGCCCGAGGAAGATGACGAGGAAGAAGCGCCAGTAAACGGCGTCACGAATGGTACCGGTTCCCTCCGCTCCCCGCTTGACCGCCGCAGCGGGGCCGCGTCCGCTCCCCCTTCCGCCCCCACTGCTGTCCCTCCACGGCACCACCACCAGCACCATCTCGGGAACGCGTCGCGCAACGTCTCCGGAGCGTCGACCGCAAGCGGCGCACCTGGGGCGCCGGGTACGGCGAAGGAGACGTTCCTGAACTACTTCTTCGGTCAGAACGGTACTGGTCCTCTCGGCCCCGGAAATGGAGGTGTCGCTGAGCGGAGCGCAACGACGGGCCGGGATGTGAGTGGCGCGGATCCAGCACTCGAGACGGGGCTGATGGCCGGGAAGCGGGGGATGGACAGGAGCAACGCCGCGTTCGACATGAAGAGTCTCGGGAAGCACATCGAGGCAGTGCGTCTCTTTCTATGTCGTCGACGACCTATTTCTAACGCATACATTTACCTAGGCTTCGGACTCGACGAATGAGTTGACGATGCGCGAAGAGATGGAGACTAACCTGATTCGGTCGCTCATCCAGTCGTACTTCAACATCGTCCGGCAGTCGATCCAGGATCTTGTTCCGAAGGCGATCATGCACCTTCTTGTCAACAACACGTCGCAGCAGGTCCAAAACCGGCTCGTGGCATCACTGTATAAGCCCGAGTTGTTCGGCGAGCTCTTGAACGAGGATGAGACGCTCGTCGCGGAACGCGCGCGCGTCAAGGCGTTGCTCGACGCATACCGAGACGCGTTCAAAACACTCTCCGAAGTTTCGCTCAAGTCTACGTAGATTGGGAACCGGGGACGGAGGAAAGGAAGAACACTCAAGGAACCCAGTATAATCCACCGCACACGCTTTCGTTCACAGATAGCTGCTAGACCTACGTACCCCGCTCTGCCTGTTTGGTTTGTTTCTGGAGCACTCGTACTATATACACGCCCACTCACTTATGTCAATATCACTAATGTGCATATGTGTTCACGCTTGCGTTCGCTGCCACCTGTTTGCGCAAACGACGCGAGAAGTCAAATCCTCCTTCGAGGTATGTCCATTTTCCCCTCGTTTCTACCCAAAGGAGCTGACAATGCCCAGGTAGACGATGAAGTTCATTGATCCGCCAGCCGCGATGACGTCACTGTCACCCGAGCGTGCGCCATTCCGATTGTGATGCTTTGTAGTCCCGCCTACTCGTTGACATTTTGACTTTGCAGGACCATTGCTCGCCTGCAGCACTTTCATAAAAGCTCAAATCCGCCTTCATGCTGCGTGTGCAACGTCCACCACCAGATCACGATGCCCGTACCAATCGATTCCAAGTCGCAGGTCACTTTGGCAAAATACTTCTTCATCACCCGACACTGCTTCACGAACCTTCACATCCGCAAACTCCATCCATCCAAACAAAAAGATGCCCGGCTCTTGATACCCCTGTCGTACTGGGAGGACATCATCGACAGGGAAGCTCACGGAGACGTTTGGGAAGCCTATACCCACACCGCGGTGTTGTAAGCAGCACCACTACAATGCACCGCGTCTCTCGTAGACTGACCACTCTCGAACCGCCACCCAGGTATCTGAGCGGCATGCCGACGCCGCTCAGCGGAAATCCCGACGTCTTCACCGCTTTCGCTGAGGGCCGTTCGCGCGTCAACGCGATCCTCGCCGGGTTCTCCAGCCAGTTTCTGCAGAGACGGTTGGGCCCTGTGCCCCAGTCGCTTGGCAGCGTCGCGGATCAAGCCCTCTCCCTCGCCGCCTACTGCCACCTTTGCGTTTGTCGGGGCGACTTCGGTCTCGCGGGACCTCACGGACAACCATCGAAGGGCGCTCAAATGCAGGAGCGTGTCTACAGGCGCGCAAACCGCGGCGCCTTGCGCGATCTGCGCGGGGCGGTCGAGTGCGCAGACGCCCTGCTCAACCGCGGCTTTCTGAGCCCGGTGGTCCTCGAGGTGGGACAGGCCCTCTCGGACTTCTTGCGCCTTGATGGCGAAAGATGCCTCTGCGATGCCGGGCTGGAGGAGTGCAAGTGCGCACCTCTACTGGCGCTTACCAAGATGTGGTGGGTCTCGGAGGGTGCTCGGCTAGTGAGTGCAGCGTTGAAAATTCTGTGATTTTTGCTGACGTCGCTGCACTCTAGCTCGACAGGGAAGAGATCAAGCGATTGCGACTGCGGGCGTACGACGTTGCCGTCAAGGTGCGCGTCGAGCGCGACCGAGCGCGCCAAGCGGAAGCGATGGCGGAAGACGAGACTGCAACGCCATCCTCCTACTAGCGGGTAGGCGAGGCAGAGAAGAGTTTACGACGAGAATGCTTTGTGGCGAATAGGTAGTAAGTTGTTGTGTTGTATTCACGTCGGTTTCGGCCCGTGTTGTACTGAGTGGCTCGTGACAACAACAGCGTGTGCTTCGCGCAAGGGGAGCGCCAGACATCCTGCCACTGCCCACTGCTTCACGACGCCACTCGCCACTCTACACGCTCACTGACTTCTATCTGACATCCTTCAGCATGTTCTCAGAAGACGGCGTTCGCATTCTGCCCCCTCTCCATTTCTCAGAGGACCCCACGTTTCTTCGCCATCTCCACATCGAGCGCGTTTGCTTCTACCCGGAATCCGCGCCACCAGACCCAGGCGAGCACCTGCGCGAATGCTGGGGCCGCTGTGAGGCGCTGTCCTTCAGGAGGCTCATCGACCATCTTAAGTCACTCCCCAGCACCAAGCGGGAGTACTGGGACTACATGCTCGAGCTCGCCACCAGGTTCGTCTCACGATCGTGCCCTGACCGCCCACAACTGACTCCGGGCCACTTGCCCCGCCACCACAGGTATCTCTCCGGATGGAAGACAGAAACCGGCTGCCCAGACACCGGAGAAGCCTTCGCCGTCCTCCGCACACTGACACACGACGCACTCGAGCTGCCGCCCTTCGCCATGCTCAGCCCCAAGCCTCCGCCCGCACAGCCCCCTAGCCCGCCCCCGCCTCCCGGACTGCCAGCGCCGCTGAGCGCACCCCCCGATGTCGTCGCGCGCGCATACGCACTGGCCGCATACGCGACCTTCGCTGAATGCGAGAGCCCTCAATGGCGCCATTCAGACACGATGGGGTGCACCATCCTCGCGGCCGAGTGCGCGGCGGAGGCTGAGCGCCTGTCCGCGCGCCCGAGCGCGATCGTCTCCCATGTCGCGCTCGAGTTCTGCAAGTCTGCGGAACGTCTCGGGGTCGACCTGTCGCCGTGGGTGTGGCTGCGGCCGGTCGTCGCGCTCGCGTACGCCCAGAAGCCGCCCGGTCGTCTGGTGAGCAGCCCTCGTCAACTTATCTGCGCGGGTGAAGGAGAGAGGGCTGACTGCGCGCGGGGACGTTGCAGAGGCTGTATCCAGATTGGGTCACGCCGAATCCATTCGTGCTCTTGGAGCGCAGGATGGTCGACGCGTTTGGAGTGCGTGAGGCGTTCCTCAAGCAGGAGGGCCGAGTGGTGCCCTAGGATCGCTTGCGCTTGAGTGCATGTAGTACACGCATATCCCTGTCCTTGATGTTATGAGTGTAGTCCTTTTACAAAGTGTCTGGGTGACAACAACATCAGCGCAGGCGTGCATCCGCGCGTGGGAGATCGAACGGCCGCTGTGGCGTGCGGGTAAGCGTGCTCTGCGCAGACCCACGGGCGAGTTCAAGCGGCGCCGCAGATGAAGCGTTGCCATTTCAACCATTTCAACCGCGGTGCGCCCTGCTTTCTGTCGAAGGCTGGTCAGCTTGCGCCAAGCCTAGGGCTAGAGAGGGCAGGAGGAGAGTCGGAGAGGTGCAACCGCGGGCGCTCGATTGCGTCATACGCGTGAGGTGGACCGACAGGACCCCGCGTCGAGTGAGGAGTCGCCTTCCCATCACCCGCTTCCTCCTCCTCCTCCTCCTCCTCCTCCTGCTCTACACCGGCTCGTGCTCTCTCAGCCCGTCTCATACTGGGAAAGCATCTGGGATTCGAGAAGAATAGAGAGTCCCGCCCTCTGCGTTCCAGCTCTCCGTGGTCCGTGCCTCTCTTCCTTCGCAACCGACGATGTCTAACGTGAAACCGACAGGACACAGTAGCTATACATCCGTCACAGTTCGTCTACCTCCAGAACATGCTATCATCAATGAGCCCAACGAGGACTATGCGATACGCGTCTTGCACAACGTCGGCCTTTGCATACATATACGTCTTCGATCTCGCGGAGGTAGGGGAGGGCAAGGTGCGGTACGGATATGGATGGATGCGGTAAAAAGCTCAGTGAGTCTGTCTCGAATTGGGTGGAGGTGCAACTACCAACTCTGCGCCTTCCGTCCCTTTGGATCCGGAATCATTCTTGCGAAGGTCAAAATCCTCGGATGAGGACGAGGCCTTGAGGCCGACGTACGTCCCTTCTGCCTTGTTCTCGCGCCCCGAAGCTCACTCGCGTTCAGTCTCTGTCGGATCTTTGACGACATCTACGTCCCTCTTTTCTACCTCCAGGAACCTTGCACCTCGTACGTGCCCCTCACTCTATCCTATCTTCCTCGACACCCATGTCTGTCCGCCCCCCGCAACTGAAAAGAGCGAGAATACTTCTGGCTGCCGCGATCAGAAGCAACCTCGTCTCACGAGCTCCTCAACTCGCCCCTGACAGACCGGTTTTACCTCGACCTCGGCTATGTCCTCCGGGTGCGCGTCGCGGCAGATGAGTACTACATGACGATGAGGCTGGACCACCGAGAGCGCACGAGGGCGTTCAACAGGCTCGTGAGGTGCGCCGGCTCCACCGTGAGTACCTTCCCTGCTTCCCCCTGTCGGTAAAAAGTTGCTAATTCTGGTGCTTTCCCCAGTGCTCGATGGGACTTGGCCCGGTTTCGCGGTGGAGAAACGACGACGAACGAAAGCCGATGTATGATCAGACCTCGTCGTGTACTTTTGGTTTACTCGCATCCTTCGATATCATGTTTAACATCGTCCATTTCAACCAGGACCGGCTTTACTGACTCGAAAGAGGAAGAGGAACTGGAGGATGGAATCTCATATCTGACTGCTGTCACAAGCGGGCAGGACTCAGGAGAGGGCGAGCACAGGTGGCATTACTGCAGGCACAGATTGCGCAGCTATCTCTTGTCCATGGTCACACGCCGTGCCGTGTAATTCTGGTTTGCTCATATCCTTCGAGAACATGTTGTAATCTAGTTCTCTTGAACCAGAGCAAACGCCTGCTCATGTATGATCCTGGTTGGGTATGTGCATTCTATAGCGTACGACAAGACAAAACACGGAAAGTGTCAAAACGAGAGCATGACAACAATGTACAGATCGACCACTTTTGGGCGTCGCCGACGTGACTAGTCCGTGCCCTCCACGTCCGCGACAGACATCTCCGACAGCTCCGTCCGCGGCCGCTTCACCACGCGCGGCGACTCCTCTTCCGAGTCCTCCTGCTCCTGCGTCTGCGGCGGCAGCGACGCCGCGTATCCCTCGCCTTCGTCCTCACTCTCCTCCGACAGCGACTTGCGCTTCGCCCCCTGGCGCATCGGCGACGCCGCCGCTTTCTCGGCCGGTGTGTCGTCTTTGAGCGTTTTGATTTCTCGTGTCGGCGTCGCCTCCTTCATCGCGCGAGGCTCGGGCTCCTCCACCAGCCCCCCACCGACCTCGCCCAGAGCCTCCGCCGCCCACGCACGCATGTCCTGCGACGGCGCCGGCAGCTCCTCGCCCGTCTGCCGCGCCCGCGACAGCACCTCCGACCGCCGCTGGAGCTTGCCGCGCGGGCTCGAGAGCACGTGGCCGTCCTTGACCCCGTCGTCGGCATCGCGCACCGGGGTCGCGGCGCGCTCGGGCGAGGGCGGGTACACGGCGAGGATGATGCTCGGGTCGTCGAGGGACATGCACGAGCCCGCCACGGAGCGCATCGACGCGTCCTGCTCGCCGTCCATGCGGAGCAGCGACGCCGTCCCGGGCAGCCTTCGCAGGCCCATCAGCGGGGCCGCGGGCGGAGGGGCGTGTGCGGGCTCCGCCACCGCCGCGCCGTCCGAGACAGAGGGGAAAGAGGGGAGCGCGTGGAGCGCGGGCGGGGTCGCGGGAGCCGCCGGGGCGCGCCTTCGACCTCGACCTCGATCGCGAGCCATGGGTGGTCCAGCGCGCTGGTGAGCGACATGCGCTTGGTCGGCGAAGACGCGAGGAGCGCCCGGATGAACCGCTCCGCTGTGTGTGCGGTCAGCTCGCGTGACGAGGAAGAGGGAAGGGGCACGCACCCTGCTCGCTCACGTCGCACTCGTACAGCAGCTTCCACTGCACCTGGCGGGACATGATGATCGTATGGATGTCGACGTTCGGCGGGTCTTCCTCGAACGGGGTGCCCTGCGTGAGCCTGAGAAAAGAGAGTGGTCAGCACACGGCCCTCTATCGCGTCTCCAGGACAAACGCACATGGCAAAGACGATCACGCCGACGCTCCAGCTGTCGACCAGGTTCGAATACCCGTCCGGTGTGGGGAACGCGTCGTGCACGGCCACTTCCGGCGCAAGGTATATGGGGGTGCCGCAGAACGTCTGGACGCGCGTGTTAGCGACGAGGAACTCTGCCTCGCATAGATGCGCACCTTGAGGATCGTCTCGGAATCCATCGCCTTCGCTAGCCCAAAGTCGGCAATCTTCACGTTGGGCGGGTCCTCGCTGGTCAAGAGGATGTTCTCCGGCTTCAGGTCGCGGTGGACGATCCCTTGCTCGTGCACGTACTGCAGACCGCAATCAGAGAGCGGTGAGGTGGTAAGCAGAGAGGTGCTCACGGAAAGGGCGTCGCAGATCTGGTACGTGATCCGCTGCGTTTCGGCCTCCGCTGTGAAGATAGTTAGCGCATATATCCAGGCCACAAATGAGGCGGAGGCGCACGCAGCCCACGGTCTGTGTTGGTGATGTACTTGAGCAAGTCTCCGCCAGAGACGAGTTCCATCACCAGACCTGCATACTCGGATCGTCAGAGCTGATCCACCAACCGTCCGGGCCGGACTTACTCAAGCTATTGCTCTCAAAAAAGACCTCCTTGAATTCGCATATGCGTGGGTGCTTCATCTGACTCAGGATCTCGATCTCCCTCCGGAAGTTCGGCGGTAACTTCGCCATCGGGTCCGTGTCCTCCCCAGCTGGCGCGCCGTCGTTGGCCCCGCCTTCCACGGCACCTTCTTTGGGTTCGGTGTCCCGGGCCCCGGCCACGCCGTCGTCCTTGCTCTTCGCCCGCCTGCGGTCCGCCGGCGACGCGATCTTGCGCAGGATCTCCGCCTGAATGATCTTGACCGCATACCACTTGTTCTCCTCCCGGTGGAGCGCCTTCATGACCCGCGCGAACGAGCCCGATCCAAGCAAGCAATGTAGGTCGTACCTGCTCTCGACGCTCGTCGCCGTGTTCGCGCCCACCTTCAGCCTGAAGATGTACCCTGAGCGCGCCGTCAGCGCACGGCTCCGCGGCCCGGGTTTGTGTGCGCGCCGTGGGACGCACCGAAGTCTTCGTGGGCGCGCGGGGGCGCCTGGGCGGTGCCGAGCCGGAGCTCGTTCCCATCGTGGAGGAGCATCGCGCTGTTCGTCTCGATCCGTTTTCCGTTGATCTGGGAGGGCGTCGTCAGCGGGCGGTGCGGCACGGTGCGGCGAGATCGGGATACTCGCGAACGTCCCGTTCATGGAGAAGTCGGCGACCTTGACCGCGGCTTGCGCGGAGGGGTCCCCGTCCCACTCGATCGAGCAATGAGCGCCGCCTGCGGGCGGGCGGTTGTGTCAGCCAGCGGGGCGGGCGCACGGAGGAGCGGGCGCCGACGCACTGATGGCCCGGGAGCCTCTGTCGAGCACGACGTCGTTGAGGGACTTGCGCCCGATGCGGTACGTGCGCTGGCCCTTGAAGAGGTCGACGCGCTTGATGTGCGGATTCGCGGCATTGCAGGGGATGAGGACGCCCCACAAGTCGTCGTCGGCCGGATGTTCGGTCTGGGACACGAGCTGGGTCGCGGCCTGTGTCTCGAGGGGCTGTGTCTCCTCCATCGTGGGTGGGGTGTATTAGGGTACCTATCCGGGACGGTGTCAGCGAGAGGCGAGCGCATATAGTGGGAGAGGTGTACGCGAGTGACTCGGGTGGTGTCTTGTTGAGGTCTGGCGATGATGGCAGAAGGTCAGACGCGATCAGGGGGGAAGTTGAGCGCGGTCGGGCCGGAAAGACGTTCCGCGGCGGGCGCAAAGGTCTGTTAGCACATTTTAGCTACAAAAGCTACTTACAACTTTATGCCTTTGGTGCTGCTTTGCTCAGCTAGCAACGGAGGTGGACAAAGACCGCGCGTATGAGTGTTGCAGTACAAGAACACCGTCCACCCGACGTTGGCACTGCAAGTTCGACCCTCAGGAATCCCACGATGCGGCCACGTGGCATTCCAGCGCAGCCATATATCGCCGTCCTTGTTTTCGACCCGGGTCCAGGGGCCAGGGCGCGAATGGCTGGACAAAGATGCGTGCCGGCGCATCGTGTTCCACTGGTGCCCATCGCACACCGGGATCGAATGGAATGAGGCGATCGACGCAGATGCGAAAGCGGCGGCGGACTTGCATGCCTCAGGAGCGCGAACAGTGCTCAGCGGCGTTCGCGCGCCATATGCTGGCGGTGCGGCTGAAGTCTGAGTGGCGGGGACGATACCGCAACTCACGCCCATACGCGGGCCACGACTTCCTGAGGTTACGGGTGTTTGACCCGCCAAAACACACAACCAGCGCTGCGCTGGGAGCGCACGGACACTCGCCTGCGGCGATGTCTCGCTTCTGCCGCGCGGTGCTCAATATTCAATCATGCGCCCATCGGATCGTTCCGAGCGCGTTTCTTCAAGGGTGAACCCACGGAATGCCCCAAGTGTCATGTGCTGCAAAGCCGCAGCCACATACTGCTCGAACGCACGAGGTATGAACGCTGGTGGCGCTGCGGAGGCGAAATCGATTTCCTGCAGCGCCTCTAGGCGTACCAAGACCTTTCCATCACCAAGAGATGGCACATTCACGTTTGCGGACGCGCTGTCATAAAGAAGGGGGTGGGTGAAAACATATGCACCAAACAGAGAAGGCGAGCGGAAAAAAACAGCGCGGACGACGTGAAAAGACCGCCCTGCGACACAGATGACGAGCACTCTGAACAGACAGGGGGTGCAACCAGCCCTTAGATGTAGGCCCACAACCTTCAACCCGAGGGAGCATATGCAAAGACGACGCTCTCCATTGTTCTGGGATACACTACGTACGAACTCACTGTATGTTATGCCTACCATAGGGCTCCGCCCTCGAGGACAATAAACAAGGATCCAAAAAAAAAAAAGGCCCACAGGCTGAGAACACTCGTCCACCAAGTGTCACCCATGTAGAAAAGCCGCACCTGTACTCCGTACGCGGGATATGATTGACCCCCCCCCCAAAAAAAAAAAGACCCGGGTCCAGGAAGACGAGACGAAAGCGGCTGGTTCCCGAATGGGACGTGTGACCGTCTACTTTAAAGCATCTCGGAGCTTCCAAATATCCAACCGCGTCTTTGATGATTAGGTTACGTCCCTAGGACTAGCATTGACTTTTCCGACGCCTTCTACCGCACAGCCACCTTGTGAATGACATGCACAATGGGGGAACATGATCGCAGCGCAAATGCGAACGCAGAGAAAGCACCCGTGATCCAACGATTACAGCCAATTCGGCACAAGTAGTCTCGCATAGAATAATCTGCCACGCGTACTACACACCGACATCGTCTACAGCGCCGTCTAGATGGCCTTGTTCTTGATGAGCTCTGAATCGCACGGCACACATCAGCCCGGGGTGCTCGTCAATGCGCCAATGCAAAGGGTACTCACGCTCGATCTCGGCCACGGCGCTGGTGAGGACCTCCTTCTGGACCTTGGGGTCTTGGATGCTCTTCATCACGTTGTCAACGACGGACTTGACAAGGTCGGCCTGCTCTGACTCCTTCGCCTGCTGCTCGAAGCGGACCCAGCTGTCGAGGACAGACTTGACCTCGGTGGCGAGCGTGACCTTCTGGCGCTGAACAAAGGCCTCGTTCTCGAGCTTCGCGGTCTCCTGGTCGGGGGTCAGCAATGAGTTCCTAACCTAAACGACACGGGTAGGAGTTTGTGCGGAGCAAGAAGGCTGGAACTGGGCCAAAGCCGATAGGATGCGGACAGAATGTGTGTGGATGTGAAGGACGATGGGGAGAGAAAAACGCGCATGCCCAGGAAAACGCACCTTGGAGAGCGCAAAGAGACCCTCGGTGATGGAGACGACATCCTTCATCTGTTCAACAGACTGAATGCGGTCCTTGACGACCTGGGTGTGCTCCGAACGGGAGGAGTTGAGGATGTTGCGGAAGCGGTTGATGTGGTCCTCAGCCCATTCCCTGTAGCCGTCCTTGGCACTCTGCAGGGAAATGTGTGAGTGCTAGAAGACAAACCGGGAAGGGAACATAGGGCACGCTTTCCCCAACGCTGCCACACACAACTCCGCGAGACACGCGTTCAACAGCAGCAGAGGCGTAGAATTGCACTCTACTGTGCGAGATGGGCCGAGGGACGCAAAATGAGAAGACACGCACCCGGTAGATGAAGGTAATGAGGATGAAGAAGCCCGCAGCGATGACGGTCTCCTCGTTGACGACGTAAAGCTCCTGGGAGATGGCGGTGGCGAGCAGGCCAGTACCGAGGATGGCCGTGCCGGTTTTGGTGACGAGGCCAGGAGAGGAGGGGAGGGTGTTGATGATCTCGGCGGCGCGCTCTTCCGGGGGAGGCTTTGAGGAGCTCGCCATGCCACGGCTGCATAACGGACACAAAGAAAAAGACCGCGCCGAGTGTGAGGAAAACGGGCAGACGGACGCGACGGGACGTGTACTCACGCAGCGACCACGCGGGGGATGGCGGAGACGGCCTGAGGCCGCACACGGGAGGCTGGGGAAAGAGGGGTGAGCAGCAAAGCGGGAGAGCGGCAAGAGGTCGAGCGTACCAGAGGCCCTGAGGGAGGAGGCGGCAATCCTGGAGGCCATGTCGGATGGGGGAGAGGTGCTGGCCGTCGCCTGCCACGGCGAGCACCTCTGTCCAGGCGCCTCATCCGTGGGAACCAGCGTCCCGGTCTCTCACGACGCGTCAAGCCGGCAAAATCCGATCCCGACTCCGCCACCCACCGCTGCGACGACGACGCGCACCGCTCTGCCACTAGTCAGCTCCCCCATCAATGCTCTGCCACAGCTATTGTGTGATGTATAACCACGCCGATCTTTCTGCTTCACGCGTACACCAAGGATGGGGCACTGTAACCTCCTTCCAGCGATAATCTTGCGCCGGCGCATCAACACGGACCTCTTGACGCTGTCAATGAGGTCGAATTTGCAACCAATCGACGCTTTCGTGGTCTTCCCCGCCTATAAACCGGTGCTCTACTGGGGCGTAACCTTGCGCTTAGCGTGGGTCTTGCACGTAATCGTGCGGGATCGTCGTTCGATATATCAGCGCCCCCACTTCATGCTCTCCGCTTCCATCCTACGACTTCTCTCCTCCGTCCGATGTCTGGTGACCAGACGAGCTATGACCCAGAACTTATAAGTGAGTATGAAGGCGTGTAAGTTCTCTCATTCCCGCACGTCTCTTCTGCTGTTCTCACGTCTTGGTATTGCAGCTTTGTTTACAATTGCTTCACCTTTGCTACCATCGGTGCGCTGCCGCTGCGCGCCACAGTCGTCGTTGGCTGCATGTGTTGACCACGGAATACTTCTGCAGCTTTAATCAGCTACGAGTATATCATCACGCTCGACGCAGAGCTTGATCTCTTTTGGCGCCAGAGGATAACAGGCGCATCTGCAATTTTCCTCATCAACCGGTACTGGGTCCTGATCTACAACCTCACATTACTACAAGACTACAGGCCTTTCTCGCAATCGAGGTCTGTTGTCTACGTGTCATCACCCAGAGCGTATGTTTCACGACCCATCTTTAGCTGCGCTGTGTGGGTGAACGGCACAAGAGTCGTCGAGATTCTCAGCTATGTTCCATGGGCCTGTGCGTCTCCTACACTCCGTTCACGTCGTTGCCGCTCATCTTCGTGTCTTTTAGCCTTCTCGGCCCTCCGCGCATTTGCTCTCAGCGGGAGATCATGGCTAGTTGGAGGTGTTGTACTTTTGTTATCAATGGCCCCGGTTGGCGTGAACTTCGTAAGTATATTCTTTCTGATATTCCGTCGAGGCATCAATCTTGACGACATTCCAGGTGGATTTTCGTTACTCCACCGTCACCATCGACCCTATATGGGGGTGTGGTCAAGACGTGGCTGAGTCTTACTCCCTCTCTACTGCGTGAGTGTACAGATGCTCAGCTATCTGACGAATTGCTGACATCCTCGTTTCGCCAGACGTATGTAGAGCTTTCATCTGGCCCACAAACCGCGCTAACTAGTGCTTCATCCAGTAACGGCCATCTCGCGATCGTCCCTTATCCTCTCGGACCTAATCGTAATCGTCGTCACCTGGATGGCGACATACAAGGCCACCAAGATTGCTCGGGCGGCGGGGCAGAATTTGCGATACAGCTTCTCTGTCCTACTACTTCGAGATGGTATGTGTTCCTTGCCCACGTTTTGCTTTCGAAGCATCTTTGACCAGTCCTTAGGAATGGTTTACTTCGTGTACGCCTTCGAACCTCTCTTTCCAGCGCCTATCACTTCCAATTGACGCGACACCTCGTCAGTGTTCTCCTCATCATGAACGGCCTGCATCTTGGCTTCTCGATAGGCTCTGTAGCTGCTTCCCTTCTCGTGCCCAAAGTGGAATCCGTACTAACGTGCTCTCAGATCCTCACGTCTTCCACTGACGACATCAGCTCTATCATCCTCCTCGTTGAGCCGTACGTATATTCTTCACTGCTCTCAGACTCTCACCGACGCCACACGCGACGCCCCTAGGATGAATGCGGTTCTCGTCGGCCGCTTCCTCCTCAACCTCCAGGACACGAATTTCCGCATCTCCCAGGCAGGGATGACATCGCTTCCTACGCGTGATGGGCCGTTGCGAGCCGATCAGGACAGGATAAACACGGTCGTCTTCTTCAAAGAGCGGGTCCTGGGCTCTCTCGCGGACTCGATCGGCGACGATTCGACAGCGATCGAAGACGGGTCGAACGAGTACGAGTTGAGCCCTGAGCTTGAATACCGTGGGGTCACTAGAAACGATGTGCGGGCGACCGGGCACGGGCCGTGTAGTACAGAGGGAGAGCGAGGGATGTGACATGTATGTTGTTCGATTTCTAAGGTCTAGCTCTATTGAAAGAATAACTCCGCACAGCGGGGCGTTCTAGGAGTGCCTTCCTGAGAATGCGACGGTCACCGTCCGCGTGGAAGCGCTAGCTGTGTGCACAGTCATCCTCCTGTTCCCTCTTACGCGTCCACCGCGCCGCCACCTCCGACGTGGGTACTCGCCAACGTACTTCAGGGTCCCTCCTCACAGGCACTAGCAGCTGTCGTCCCTGAGGCCTGAGGTGAATTTGACCTGGTACAAGGGCGTGTCGCGTGCTCCTTCGATTGCGCGAGCTCTCTAGCTATTGGTCAGGATCTCAACTTCGTAAGCCCGCGCAAGATCCCGGCGATCTTGAGTCGTCTCGCGCTCCCGGCTCAATCTGCAGGAAACGAACGTCCGGCGGCCTCCGGTTGCTCCCCAGCTTGCGCTTTACGAGCGAGTCGGATCACGCTCGCGCGCGCGTGCTTGGCTTCTGAGTGTCGGGACTCGGGACGGCGGCAAGGATCCATCCACTCCGCAGTGCGTCCGTTTTGGTCCACCATATGTCTGTCGATGGCTGCTATTGTATCAAGTGCACACCCCCGTCCAGCCCCGTCCGCGCCCCACATGGAGCCGCACAGGCGCCTGTCCCCGTGGGAATCGGGCCGAGCTTTCCGCAGGACTTCTTGAGCGCTTGAACTCGCCCAATGATGGCTCCTTTCGTCTCTTACATCAAGGTCGATCCTCCCACCTTGCCTGGTTGGCCCTTCAAGTCATTCCGAAAGCTGGACACACTCGTCACGCTCAAGGATGAGGTCTTTTACGACTGTCGTGCGACAACCAGCGCCAACCAAAAATATCAGGAGACTATCAAGGACCTAGAAGGTTACGACATCGACAGTCTCATGGGTCTGATGGATGCGGATCACGGTCCTTCGATGCTTGAGTTCGCCCTTCGGTATGACCACCTTCCAGCGATCTCGCTCTCTCTGACGCCCCCTCCTCAGTGAGATGTCAGGTTGTCGCTCCGCAAAGATCCTCGGCGGCATGGACATCATCGAGCTGCTGCAAACCATCGTCCGCGGCTGCCCGCACCCCCGCTACCACCTGGGAGGCCAGAAGTCGCGGGCGCGCAATGTCGACGAGCTCCTCGCTCTCCGCGCGCTCGCCGCCGCCGCCTGGGTCTACCTCCAGATGCACGCCGAGACCAAACCCGCGCGCGGCGACGCGGTCGCGCACCGCGCGCCGCACTCGCTCCTCTATCACGCCGCGCTGTACTGCAACATGGTCGCCGAGCGCGACTTCATCCCCCGCGTCGTCATCCGCGTCGCGATCTGGATCGAGACTGTCGCGCCGCGCTGGGGGGTCGACCTGTACGCGTGCGCCCATTTCAAGGGCTTCGGGAACCTCCGGAACGTGTACCGCCTGTTCCGCGTCGAGCAGCAGGGCCAGTTCGAGCAGCAGAGGATGAAGGCCCCCGGGCGCGAGAACAGGTATCGCTGCGCGGCGCCGGGATGCGGCATATATGCGGTGAACATGGGAGCGTTGAAAAAGTGCGCGGGGAAGTGCTCCGGGCCGTCGAAGGCGTACTATTGCAGCAAGCAGTGCCAAGCTCGGGTACGTACCTCTGTCCTCTTGGCCGCCCGCCGTGGCTTGCGTGCACGCCGTGCGCTCATTTTTCCAACGTAGCATTGGGTCGTCCACCAGTCGTCCTGCCGGAAGATAGCGCGGACGAGCATCCCCTTGGACGACGGAGACCCGGACTGGGTCGACGTCGGGACGTTTGACGACACACCCATCGCGTCCGATCGCAAGGCTGACCTCAACGTGCAAGATTCTTGGCGTCCTTTCTCGGACGGCGGTCTGTTCGTGGAGCTCACGCACCCGCGCCCGCGCCATCCCGAGGGCGAGCTGATCCGCATCGTCTCGCAACAAATGTCCCCTCGGTTGTTGCGTCTGTTCAGAGACACTTTCTTGGACTGGGTCATCAAGGGACGGAAAAGTGCGATTCATAAGAACTGGAAGGTGCGTTCGTTTCCCGTTTGTTCTGCACACGGCCTTCGCTCAACTTCCTGTGAAGCGTCTCGTGATCAAGGGTGGATTCAGTAAGAAGTCCGAGGTCCGTCAATATCGTGAAATTCTTGAGAGAATGCCGGGGGTCTTCTGAGGGTATTTTATCTTGATTCGTGCCAGTAAGACAGCGATCAATTCTGTTTCATCCGTCTTGTACACAGTACCATTGAAGTGACGCCCTCGCTCCGCGGTGTCATACCATCCATTGTACGCTAAATGAACGGTTGTACTTGGTGCTCATTACGATAAAGATGGAATGTTGTATGATACTAGTCTCGAGGATCACAGCGACGGAACTAACGTAGGTCGATTGTGAAGGAAGACGCGCGGACCTCGATCATGGAAAGCCACAACGTAGAGGCCGGGACTTAGTGTTGTTCTCGACGCCCGGATGCTTTCCAAGTATGATACGGGGTGATAGAGATGCATGGGGCGGTTTAGAGGGCGAGGAAGGTGAGCTCGGAGTCGCTCAACGCGGAGTCGACTTGCCCTCGTCCACCTCCCGCGCGTATGACGCAATCGAGCGCCCGTGGTGACGCGGAGCGCCCGTTTTCCGCACGCAGTCGGCCCGCGGGTCTCGCCCTACCCTCCGCGCACTTTGACTGAACGCAGGGCGCACTGTGGCCGACACAACACCTCATCCGGCGCCCCTCAATGTGTCGAAACCTCGCCAAACGCACTCGCCTCCAGCGACCATCGACCATCGCCGCTCCGCTCCTGAACGCCTCTTTGTCTGTCTTGTCCGTCAGTGCCCGAGCTTCGATGTGCTCTGTCAACGAACGCCCACAGTCAGCGGCACCCAGCAAGAGATCGGCCGTCCTCCACCCTCTCCACAACCCCCACGCGCTCCCCGCCGCCAGACATCATCCAACAACCCGTCGGCGAACTTGTGCAAACGAACCAGACCGCTTCTTCCAATTCCCGTCGCCATCTGGCCCGGAGCGGGCGGTCGGCGATGCAGATGAGGGCGTGCTTACGGCCAACCACTTGTACGTGCTTATTTACCTTCTCATCCTCCCAGCCCTTCTCCTACCAAACACTCCCCCCTCCGTCTTTTCCAACGTCCGCACCCCTTCGTTCTACCGCGTCTATGCGTTCAACTGCCTCGACCTGGCTTTGCTGCTGACGTCGCCCATCGTCGTCCGTACCAAGAATGCGCAGGGCCCACCGCCCGTCAGGCTTCACTTCCCCAAAGCGGAGTTCATGGCACAGGCCGCGCCCTTCGCTCAGGGCTCGCGATCTCCAGCCCGCTGCCTATGATCCCCCCCCTGTGCGCCTGCACACGTTCACAGACACCATCCCAACCGATGTCCCGATCAACGAGCCCTCCGCGGCGGATACGCAGGCGTGCGTGTTTTCGATAGCGGAGGACGCGCCCAATTGACGGTACCATCCGCGCTCGCCATGCCCGCCAACGTCCAACACACCGCCTGCAATCGCCGTCCGATTTCGCTCGTTCGACTCGAGGACTATTCCTCGTTTGCACCTCAAGGCGTCGTGGCGTTCCCCAGAGCCCACACCGGACGGGTACTCGAACCTGGTCGACAGCTGGAGCGTCGGTGTGATTGTCATTGCCATGTGCGTCCGTCTGGGCGTGCTGACCATTCTCTCTGGTCAGGCTCATGCAGGGCACCCCGTTCGACGCAGACCCACCGAACACGGACATCCATACCAACATCACGACCCGCCGGGTGCAGTGGACGCCCCTGTACGAGTGCGACGTGAGCGAGCAGGGTGCGTGTCCCCTCCCTCTTCCTCGCCACGCGAGCTGACCTGAGCCCTGCACACACCCACAGCCGAGCGGTTCATCCGCGCGCTCTTCGCGTCTTCCCCGAGCGAGCGCATGTCGCTCAGTACGCTGTGCCACCCGTGGCTCGCGACTGAGGCCGAGCTCGAAGGCGCGCCCCGGCCGCTCCCCGCGACTCCCCCTGCGCTTCGCACCGCGTCGCTCCAGTCGCCCCCCACTGCTCCCTCCTTCGCAGACAGCGCGCCAGCAGCAGAGCCCGCGCACACCCCGCCGCCCGCCGCCCCGCCGATGGCCCCGCGAAGGCCGCCCGGGACGGCTTCACTGCTCCGCATGGACGGCGAGCGGGCCGCGTCAACGCGCTCCGCGGCGGGCTCGTGCAGGTCTCTCGACGGCCCGAGTCTCATCCTCGTCGTGCACCCGCCGTCGCTCGAGCACGCCGCGACCCCGGTGCGCGACGCCGACGCCGACGACGACAAGAGGCGGCTATGTGCTGTCGTGCCCGCGGTCCGCCGCGAGCGAGAGGAGCCGGCGCGGCAGGCTCCAGCGGCGGTCGGAAGTGCTGTCGCGGGCGCGGGTGGCGGGCGAGGAGCTCCAGGCGCTGTCGCAGGACATGGGTGCATGGGCGGTGGGGGCTCTGGGTGAGGTCGGTGGGGGGCCTGTGGGGGAGCCGGCAGAGGAGCTAGAGCCTCGCGCGATGGAGGCGACGCGGGCGCGAGAAAAGAAAACGCTCAAGGACGAAACACTGGTCAGGAAGTCACCGATGCGCAAGGGGGTGAAGCGCAAGCCGCTGCCGGAGGAGAGTGGCGACGAAGGAGAAGGAGAAGGAGACGGGGCGTCGCTGCTGCCGCAGACGCAGACGCAGGAGCGGGAGGATTCTGAAGGGGAGTCACCGCGTGTGGCGAGGCGGCTGTGGATGGAGCTGTCTATGATGTCTATCGCGAACGTCGATGGTACGGACTAGTTGCGTTGGCGACACACACTGTCGTGCATTCATGCCGATACTTTCCGCGTCCTGTCTTATCATACATACCCATACCCATAAGTACATGCGCGAACGTTCTCCCGGATGCTCACTGAAGTACGATATTTGGACGTGCTTCAGCGTGCGCAGAAGGAGGGAGTGGGGCGAACGAGGATCATACATATGTAGCCTGTACCCGGTAGGGATCACCACGGGTGCAGGTGCCTCGGGTACGGGCGCGGGTCATCCAACCTGTGCACACACACACGGTGGACCCTCGGGAACCCGTGGAAGTTCGTGCGCTCAACACTATGGCATTGCACAGTACTACTGTACAGCACCGCATGTATATATACACGGCCGACTTGCACGGCCGCGAGCTATCTTGTGCCAACTACAAACTACGACGAGTCTACGCCCCACTCCTCCCGACGCGCAGGCCAGCAGGCCTGTCCGCGACCGTGTCGGTACCGGGGACCGCCCGGCGCGCACGGGCACGGCACATGGCTGCACCTCGCGTTCGCTATCGTCGTGGTGCATTCCGTCTACGCTGCGCTCTGGTGCCCTAAGCTGGAGGTGGACCGGAGCGGGGTCTGTCAAGGTTCAACGTTCAATGCGGGCCTCACGTCGACGTCGACGCCCGTGTCCATACCCGACACACGCTCGGAGGCCGTGCCAGCGTCGCAGTACTGTCGGGAGAAAGAGACCGCACGGTGTCAGTGACCGCAGGGCGAGAAAATAGAGCATGCGTACCTGCAGTTCGTAGCGCTCCACCCACCCACTTCGTCGACCCAGAACCTCGCGGCAGGGCGCGCCTGCCGGCGTTTGTGACACGCGTGGCGAGCTGTGCCGCCGCCGCCGTTCAGGACCGTCCACCGGGGTGCGGAACGGTGGACGCGTATCGGGATCGAAGTCGGCGAGCGTCGGAGCGTCTTCGTGTCGTCGATGGTGAAGGTGACGGGCGACATCCGGGAGTCGTCGAGGAGGGGGAAGCGATCGCGCGCGACAGGCACACGCGCAGGTCCACGTACATCAGCGCAACGCCCGCCGCCTCCATGCGGTCGGGCATGCCCTCGACGAGCGGCGTGAACGCGTTGTATAGCCCGTCCGCCGAGTGCGAGGGGAGCCCGAGCCAGTCCATCTGGGTTGTATCGAGCATTCATCTGGGATACTGTCGACCCACACGGAGGTCGAGCATCATGGGCTGGCGTGAAGAGACCTTGGTGGAGATGCGCGTGAGGGAGAGTCGCACGCGTTTGGGGTGGGCGAGGGGCAGATAGGGGTGAGGAACGACGGACCTGGAGGCGTCGAAGTCGAGGATGAGTTTGAGAAGCTTTTGCCATACGCTCACGATGGAGTTCGGCGAACGGCTCGCGGTCGCTGCGGTCACCATTCAACGTGCAGCTTTCAGCAGGCAAGAGATGCCGTTGCTGGCGTGTAGGGCGTAAGATGTCACGAGGGTGGTCTCTGGGTGAGTACAGCAACATCTGCTAAAGGTCTCGGGACTCACTCGAAACCGCCAAGGTGCTTGTGCTCGACCTCCGCGATGATCACCGATTCCCTGCGAGCCTTGTCGACGATGTTGGTGGGGACGTGGTGCTGCGCGCCGGCGAGTTGAACGAGCGCGCAGAGCGCGGCGAGGTCGGGTTCGCATGGACGAGCGAAACGCGCGCAAGAGCGGAGGAGGGCGGGGCGGAGGGCGGGGAGACCGGCAACGGGGTGATGGGGACGCCGTGTCGCACCCGCGAGTCAGACGTGCCCCACTGCCCGCGCGAGCGAACAGGGCCCGCGCAAGAGCGGAGGAGAGCAAGGTGGACGGGGGTCAAGCAGAGGTGGAGAGCACAAAACGGGGTGTACGCACCGAGCTAGCGGTCGCCGTAACTCATCGCGCCCCCAACATCCTCATCTCCGAGTGGAGAACGCCCGGCTGAACGCCACCCACACGTCGCAGGTGTCCAGTGTCCACCTGCAGGGAGGCAGGCCAGGGAGTACGGCACCGGGCACCGGGCACCCGCGATTGGGGGTGCGTGGCGGGCGCGAAGCGGGGGAGGCGGATGGACGAGCTTAAGGATGTCCTCGCATGTTGTGCATGTCGTGGGCGCCGCCAGGAGGGTGGGCGAAGGAGATGGCTGGCACCAGGTGCCGCCGGACGCCTGAACGGGGTGCGACGCGTGAAACGAGACAGAGGAGGGAGAGGGAGAGGAAAATGGTGGCTCGCGTTCCCGCTTGCCGCCCAATTCCCGCCGACCCTCCACTGGCGCCTATCTCTGGTGCCATGCTCGCGAGCATCGTGTGGGTGACCGAGGGGTAGAACTCTGCAGTGTCGAACGCGAAGACGGACGTGCAGGGCCATCCGGCACGCCCACGTTTGGCGAGTGTGGTGCACGAGCATGAGTCCAACGTCGACCGTAGCCCTCTCCTTAGTCCCGCGGAACTGCCAGGCGGAGTTTGCGCGGTCAGCGCATGCGTCTATTAACACGGGTAGGCTGTATGTTCTCTTCAGCTCGCCTACCGCTCACTCCCCGTCCTCCTCCCCACCCACGTCCTTGCTCACATCCCGTCTCGCGAGATTTGGCGCTCAGGGAACCTCCATCCCAGTCAGCCTCACTATGCCGCCCTCGCCGATCGTCGAGGCTGCCAATGATTCACCCCACGCTCCGGTACGCACAGACTTGAATCACCCAATGAGGCGAACGACTGGCAGCTAATACACTCACACTCAGACCTCGGCGCATTTGTCCATTCAACAAACCTCAAACACGGCTCGTCTCTCTGAAGATACACCCTCCTCCATGACGCTGCCAGTATGACTGTTTTTCTCTTTCGGAAGCTAAAATTTGCTCATGCAGTTCGATCAGGCGAACGTGTCCCTTGACAAATTCTGTGTCCTGCTGAAGGAGATTCTTGATGAATTCAAGAAGGTGTCGTGTGATCGTTTCCACGTCCCTCTCGTATGCTCACCATTGATCAGCGCCCGCAAGCGGCAGAAGAGGGTATTGGAACGGAAAGGAACGTTGGTGGGATTGAACCCGTGAGTATATCGTTCACTTTCTGCCAGATACTGGAGATTCATGGGGTGCGCAGACTCGTATCGAACCATCACTAGCAGCAGCAGATACAGAACTGTCGGATATACACGAGGATGTGATAGTACGTCCTGCATCTCACTCGGTTGCATCAAGATATGCTGAACGTTCTGAATCATAGATCTCGCCACGGTCTAACAAGTACAAGCAAACGGAGATCGATGCGGCATGGGATGAGACGAGAAAGACGGTGGAGAAGTACAGCGACGAGCTCGTCGACCAGTGGAACAAGGAGATCGACGGTCTCTTGACCTTTGTACGTGTCGATGTTCATGCCTCGGCGGTGACCCTCACCTGCGACCACTCAGGACGGTCTGTTCTCTGCCGCTCTTACCGCATTCAACACCATTGCCTTCGCAATGCTCCAGCCTCAATCGAGCGATCAAACCAACGCGATCTTGACTCAGGTCTCTGCCCAGCTGAAAAGCTTCACGCTCAATCCCTCATTTGTCAACTCCACCGCCTTGGCGTTCCAGGACATCGTGCCGACCCCGTTTCGCCCCGAGACCTGGGCCGTTTGGGTGAATGCGCTCTGGTTCACTAGTCTCACGTTCAGCTTGTCGTCGGCAACGATTGGGATCATGGTGAAGCAGTGGCTCAAAGAGTACAACACCGGGCTCTACGGGTTCTCCGCACCAATCACACGACGTCGCATCTACCGGCTCTCGAACCTCAATAAAGCGCACATCCCTTTCATCATCTCGCTCGTACCTCTCTTTCTGATCGCCGCCGTCGTTCTCTTCTTCGCTGGCCTCCTCATCCTCCTCTTCCACTCCGACGTCCGCGTCTTCTCCGCCACTGCGGTGTTCGTTGGGATGCTCCTGCTTTTCATCATTGTCACAACCATCGTCCCCTCGATCTATCCCTCGATGTGTTACTTTTCGCCTCAGTCCAGGGCCTTCCATCCTCTCTGGAGTGTCATTCTCAGCTTCTACTCGCCCGTTTATGGTTCAATAATATATGCCCTCCACTCTTTTTCCCACACCCGTTACTTGAGGTGCTCAGAGGACAGTGTCTGGGAGCACAGATGGAAGGCCTTCCGCGACATTTTGTCCTCGAGAAGGCTTCCGGAGCCTCTTTCAATATGGAAAGGCGACGAGGAGGCCATTCTTTCACAAAGCGCAACCGATCTCGACGCCCAGACGGTCCACTGGGCGATGATCAGCTCTCAAAACGTCAGCATGGCGCACACGTCTGCGATCTGCCTATCCAGCGACCCACGGGTTGCAAAGTCGTATCGGGAATGGACCTTCGGACGCCTCTCGGCCCTATACGGGTCCGTGCTTCATTGGCCAGACTTTATGGTGAAGATGTTTACGACCCCCCTCTTGAACGTGGCCGGCGGGTTCTCTTTTCAAGAAGTGCTCGAGGGCGGAGGAGACGAGGACACCAGCTTTCCTAGAACGCCCGCTTCATCAGAGCATAACAAGACTGCGGCCCAACTGCTCTTCAGCATGCAAAGAACGGTTGAACCCGCAAACGCAGACTCAGAATGGGACAAACTGTGGATACGGGACGCGTTCCAGGAGATCAGTGACGCCGGAACGTTGCAACTTGGTGCGTCCGCGACTTCACCTTCAACCCCGTCGAAGTCCGAAGAACGCTCACCGTGACCGCAGCTGCCTTCGTGGCAGCTCACCGGATCCAAAAGCTCGTCAGCGACCGTCGCCTCCGACGCGCAGACCCGCCTTCTCAAGACGTCCTCATCGGGGAGTTCAAGTTCATGTGGAAGCACATCCGCCCCATCCGGGAACTCGTCAAGGACTCGGCGCCCAGGATCCGCGAGTGCGATGGCGTCGCTGCGATCCAGCCGTTCGTCGCGCACGCGTTCTCCTCCTTCGAAATGTTCCTCAGCACGATTGGCTGGTCGCTGCCTGTATCACTGCACGACACCTGCTACTGGTTCGATGATATCCTGGACGACATGCTCCAATTCCACTCCCATTCCTCAGACGGCATCCGCTATCTGGTCACACCATCGCTTGTTGCAGCGCTCGAGCGCGTGTTTATGCAGCTCGTTGGAACGGAGGACTGGCGTCACATGGACCCGCGGAGTCGCTGGGTGGACGAGTGCAAAGATCGGCTCCTCGATCTCACGTCGAAGGTCCCGCCGTGCCGGGCCCCTCCACCAGACGCGTCGTCTTCCGCCGCAGGTCCTCACTCGGAGAAACAGAACGACCAAGCTACGGACCCCGAGCTCGTATCCGTCCTTCATTTGTGCGATTCCCGACGCTGACCCCGTCTCACAGCCCTGCATATTCCCCCGTGGGGGTGGACGCTGCTGCCACTCCACACGAAATGTCCACGGCGCCCGACGCAGCGACCGGGACCCGACTGCTCGTCAGTATACTAAGAACGGTCGAACCCGCGAGCGCAGACTCAGAATGGGACAAACTGTGGGAAAACGACGCGTTCCAGAAGATCAGTGACGCCGGAACGTTGCACCTCGGTGCGTCTGCGACTCCACCTTCGAAGCCGTTGAAGTCAGAGCACTCACCGCGACCGCAGCTGCCTTCGCAGTATCTCACCGGATGCAAACGCTCCTCAGCGACCGTGGTCTCCGACACGCAGACCTGCCTTCTCAAGGCGTGCTCACCGAGGAGTTCGAATCCATGTACAAGAATATCGACTCCATCTGGGAACTCGTCAAGTGCTCGGCGCCCAGGATCCGCAAGTGCGACGGTATTGCTGTGATCCAGCCGGTCGTCGCGCACGCGTTCTCCTCCTTCGAAACACTCCTCGTTGACTCGTCGTTGCCCGTATCACCGGACAACACCTCCCACTTCTGCTGTATCCTGAACAACATACTCGAATTGCACTCCCATCCCTCAGACGGCATCCGCCGTCTGGTCACACCGTCGCTCGTTACAGCGCTGGAGCACGCGTTCACACAGCTCGTTGGAACGGACGACTGGAGTCGAGTGGAGGCGCATGGTTTCACGCCTGTGCGCAGGTGCCAAGATCTCCTCCTCGATCTCAGGTCGAAGGTCCCGCCGTGCCCTCCGCCCGATGCGCTGTCTTCCACTAGAGATTCTCAATCAGGGGAACACAGCGACCAAGCTCCGAAACGCGAGTTCGTATCCATCCTTGCCATCTGTGGGACTCCCGACGCTGACCACTGCGTCTTCGCACCAACTTCGCACAGCCCTGCATATTCCCCCGTGGGGGTGGACGCTGCTGCCACTCCACACGAAATGTCCACGGCGCCCGACGCAGCGACCGGGACCCGACTGCTCGTCAGTATACTAAGAACGGTCGAACCCGCGAGCGCAGACTCAGAATGGGACAAACTGTGGAAAAATGACGCGTTCCAGAATATCTGTGACACCGGAACGTTGCGACTCGGTGCGTCTGCGACTTCACCTTCAACTCCGTCGAAGCGCTCATCGTGACCGTAGCTGCCTTCGCGGCAGCTCACCGGATGCAAACGCTCATCAGCGACCGTGGCCTCCGACGCGCAGACCTGCGTTCTCAAGACGTCCTCATCGGGGAGTTCAAGTTCATGTACAGGCACATCAACTCCATCTGGGAACTCGTCCAGCACTCGGCGCCCAGGATCCGCGAGTGCGACGGCATCGCTGCGATCCGGCCGTTCGTCGCGCACGCGTTCTCCTCCTTTGAAAAGCTCCTCAACACAATCGACTGGTCGCTGCCTGTATCACCGGACGACGCCTGCTCCTGGTTCTACGCCGGGATCCTGGACGACATACTCGAATTCCACTCCCATTCCTCAGACGGCATCCGCTGTCTGGTCACACCGTCGCTCGTTGCAGCGCTCGAGCATGTGTTAATACGGCTCGTCAGAACGGAGGATGGCGTCACATGGACCTGCGGAGAAGTTCGTGGGTGGAGACGTGCAAAGATCGTCTCCTCGATCTCACTCGAAGGTCCCTCCGTGCCGGGCCCCTCCACCAGACGCGTCGTCTTCCGCCGGAGATCCTCAATCGGAGAAACAGAACGACCAAGCTGCGGAACCCGAGCTCGTATCCGTCCTTCATCTGTGCGATTCCCGACGCTGACCCCGTCTCACAGCCCTGCGGATTCCCCCGTGGTGGACGCCGCTGCCACTCCACACGAAATGCCCATGACGCCCGATGCAGCTTCTGCCACTTCGCCAGCAGCACCCACGGATATACCGCGCACACCTTAGATTTTCGTCGTGCGCGTCTTTATGCGATAGTGTTGCATGTGCAGGGCTACGGGAGGACGTGGGGTGACTGGTCCTGGGCTTATTATTTCGTGTACGTCTATATGGCGAGAACAGAGAACATATTCTACAGAATAGCTTGTGATGGCAATCAGATGCGAAATTTCATCCTCCAGCTCCGCTTCCTCTCGAGTTAGAAATGCTGTCCTGGTTGAAGTGAACGAGGTTACAACATGTCTCGAAGGATACGAGCAAACAAGTACGCGATCCGGCTGATTACATGTAGCATCCTCCGTTGTTTCGACGCCAGCGTTCCTCCACTGGCCAAGTCGCTGTTCTGACATCCGGCACTGGAATCAGAACAAACATAAGCAATTTTCCACCAACGGGGGGAAGCAGGGAAGGTACTCACGGTGATGGTATACGGGGAACGGCGCACTTGACGAGCCTGTTGAACGCCCTGATGTGCCTCCGGCGGTCCAGGCTCATCCTCATGGAACTCGTCTCCCTCGAAGCGCACCCGGAGGACATCGCCGGCGTCGATGTATATCCGGTCCGCCAGGGGTGAGCCGAGGGGCTCGTGAGACAAGCAAGTTGCTTCCGATCCTGGAAGCCGGAAAAATGTGCTCGCTCTTCTGGGTCGCTGGGGGCGGACGGAGATGGGTGTCGGGGAAGACATGCTAGAGAGGGGGGCACTTACAAGGTGCGTGGATCCGGCAGGTAAACGAGGGGGACGTATACGTCGCTAAAGAATCCGACAGTGACTACGCGTGAGTGAGCTTCGAGGCGCGAGAACGAGGCCGAATTACGTCGGACACCGTCCTCATCCGAGGACTTGATCTTGGCGAGAATGACCTCGGATCCAGAGGGACGGAAGACGCAGAGAATTGGTAGTCGTACCTCCACCTAGTGCGAGACAGACTCACCGATCTTTGTACCACAGACATCCATCTCAGAGCCGCACCTTGCCCTGCCGTACCTCCGCGAGGTCGAAGCCGCGTGTGCACAGGCCGACGGTGTGCAAGACGCGTCTCGCGTGGACCTCGTTGAGCGCATTGGTGATAGCTTGTTCTGGAGGTAGACGAACTGTGCCGGATGTACAGCTACTGCGTCCTGTCGGGTTCACGTTAGACATCGTCGGGTGCAAAGGAAGAGGCACGGACCTTGATCACGGAGAGCTGGAACGCAGAGGGCGGGACTCGGTGTTCTTCTCGACGCCCAGACGCTTGCATGTACGAGATGGGCTGAGAGAGGGCGGGGCGGTCGAGAGGGCGAGGAAGGCGCGAACTCGCTTGACGCGGAGTGCACCTCGCTCGCATGACGCAATCGAGCGCCTGCGGTGACGCCTCTTTCGCCCAGCGCTTGGCGCTTGCTGACCAGCCTTGGACTTGAGCAGGGCGCACCGGCAGTCGGCAGAACGCGTCATCGGCGTACCGCCCCTCAACGCGTCACGACCTCGCCCAACACACTCGCCTACACGCCGTTGCGTCCCAGGGCGTACAGCGATCGAGACAACGTTCCGCCATCCCCAGCGTCCCGCCGATGCCTTAATTCGACCCGTCGACCATCGACCATCGACGCTCCGCTCCCGCACGCCTCTCAATTGGCTGTCACGTCCGTGTGTGACCACCCTTCGCTCTCCACCCTTCATTGTACTCTCGCAACGAACGCGCACAGATCTGCCGTCCGACCACCGTCCCCACACCCTCGAAGCACTCCCCGCCGCCAGATATCACCCAAGAACCCGTCAGCTAGCGGGTGCAAACCAACCACACGCGTATCTCTACCCCCAATGGCGAATGGCCGTCGTTGTCACCTGGCCCGGAGCGGGCGGTCAACGATGCAGATGAGAGCCTGCTTGCTGCCACCTAATATTCGTACGTGCCCATCTATCTTCTCGACGCTCGTCCTCCCAGGCCTTCTCCCAGCCAATACTCCCCCCTCCGACTCTCCCGCCGTCCTCACCCCATCGTTCTACAGCGTCTGTGCCCCACTGACTCCGTCCTTCGCCCAACCACGTCCGTGTTCGCACAGAACGCGCCAGACGGCGCCGTCGCCGTTCAATCATCTGTACCTTGGCCGCACCTAACCCTCAACGCGCCAGGCTGTTGAATATGAGGTAGGTACCCAACGCTCCTAGACCACAATTCCACGCTCACATCCCGTGCAAGCAGAGAATGGCTGGCCTACGCTCGCGCTCGAGAGGGACCATTCGTTCTCGCAGAACGCGAGACACAGTGTACACCCGTGCCATCGTCCCGATAGAACACCTGCTCGTTCGCTTCCGCGGGGCACGCGCGCCCTACTTCCTCGCAGTCGGTGCCAGCACACTTCCCGTCACACTCCTAATCACAGTCTCACTCAAGCCTACGATTGGACATTCCCTGCACTCTCTACGACGCATACGCACACAGCGGGACAACGGGGAGCAGGCCCGCCAGGGCAAGAGCCAGAGCCATGCACCAGGACGGCGCACGCCGCCCGCTCGAGCGTCCCGTCAAATTCCAGCTCGAGTGAGAGCTCCCTGACGCTCTCCCAGCACCTCTCCTCCTCCGTGAACGCCTCCCGGAGCGCCGCCCCCGTCGCGCACCACTCCTTGCGCACCACGAGTTCCAGCACCGCCAGCCGCGTGTCCGCGAGGGGGTGTCGCAGTCGTATGCAGGACACGTCGACCTCCTGCGCATCGTCCGGGCCCGGCACACGCAAGACGAACCGCCGTGTGCGCGTGCGCAGCCCGAGCCGGTACACGTCGTCGAGCGACGCGCGGACCTCGTCCAGCGCATCCACACCGCGAAGCCCCGGCGTACTGAGCAGCCTCAGGCAGTGCGGCCCAGAGCTCGAGCGCTACTCTCGCCTTCCCGTCCCTCCTGGCCACCTCCATGTGCAGCGCTCCCGCAACCATAGCCGATTTACTCTGGTGCATGCCTGGTGCGTCGCCCCCAGACCATCCACTCGAGCTCGGCTGCAATCGACCCGCCGTATGAACAGGATGTTCCGTCCACTGAACTGTCCCCGACGTGTCACGACGACGTCATCGGTGCTAGACCTCAGACCTCAACACTCGAGCCACTCGTGTACGCCTCTCCGCTGTATGCGCTCGCCTATCGCTGATACCGTCCCGCACAGGTACTTACCCACCCACGGTGGAGGAAACACAGCCCCTCGAGGCACAGGCGGCGACCCAGCTCGTGTCCCAGACCGAACACCTGGCCGACGACGACTTGCGGGGCGTGCTCATCCCCCACACATCACGGCTCAAGCGTATCGCGCATGTACCGGCTCGGACGCAAGCCCCGCCTCAAAGACGTCGTGCTCGACAAAGGCGCGCGGGCGATTAGTGCGTCCACGCCGCCCCTTCGTGCGCCTGCCCCGATGACTGACGCGGCTGCTCGCAGGTGGACGCACTGCTCGATCGAGTGGGACGGGGACCACTGTGTACTACGCTCCGCGTGGCCCGCGGTCAATTCGGTGAACGGAACGCTCGCGAGCATGCCATCTCCTCGCGCCGCGCCACACCGCCCGCTGACGACGCCCTCCAGATCAAGCATGATGTTGAAGCACAGGTCGCGCACCGACCGGAACTGCAAAACATGGCCGGCGGCCGACCCTCTGCGACTCCGTCTGCCTCTTTTATCTGGTCTAGCTCGTCCCCTCTGCACACTCGCCCGCGGCCGGATGCAAGCCCGCACGCACGTCGCCGCACACAGGCGGAGGATGAGATCGGCCTCCAGGTACGTTTCGCACCCTCGCTCTTATCTTCTTCCCGTGCGTGCCTCCCGTCCTGCGTCCTTTCGATCTCCCCACGGCCGCGATGTCTTTTGCTGTGGTGCCGTAGCGGGAAGGCATCTACGACCGCAGGCAAATCATGGAGGTCAGACAGTGCTGGATCCGTGTTCTGGGGATTGGGCGGGCAGGCGTCTGGCGTCCGGATTCCAGTGGGGACGCAGAGATGACTGGGTTTCGTGCCGAATACTCTTGCGAGGACGATCCGTGTCAGGGAGGTTCCAGTAGTCGTGCGACGTGTGACGGTGTTCCACAGACACAAGACACACCATGGAGGCCGCGCCGCGCGCAAGTTCGGACGCGTGCGCTGTGGATTTTGCAGGAGCACAGCACGACTATGCACCCGCCCTCCGCGCTCGCACCGCCCACGCCTTGCCAGCGCCCCACATTTCCTGGCCCTTGCGCGCCGTACGTTCCACTCTGCGAGACTGCATCCCCGCCACGCTGACGACAGCCGATAGCTGGCCGTTCGACAACTGAGCGAGGGCAAACGAGGGCGCCGTGGCCGCATACGCTGGCGGAGAGGCGTCAGCGAAGGTCGCGAAGAGCGGAAGAAGTCGGGGGAGGAATATGGCCTGCGCCGTGAGCCTTCAGGTGTGTGCTGCATCTTCAGCTTGGTTTGCCGGAGCTAACGAGTCCCCAAGATCGAGGGCCATCCTCTTGCCGACCGCGATGCGTGGCGGCCCGTCTAGCAGAGAGCGCAGGAGCGTCTCTTCAGTCGCGGCACTGCAGCTCCGATGCAGCATTGTGCGCTCGGGCGCGCGTGTGCGACGGCCGCGAATCGAGGACGTCGACTTGGTGCGTAAGCCGTGTCGACAGAGGCAAGCGCGCCGCCCTCAATCCCACAGAGCCTCAGATCGGGCCACCGCATGCGGAGCAACACCTCCGACAGAAGCCGTGGCTCTGTATGCGACGACTTCGGCCGACACCTACTCCCAGCAGCCAGCGTCGGCCGCGACTCTGGGCGGGTGGAAGAAGTTGATGCGGCGCACAGCGGCCTGACGTTGTCGTTCGTACTCCGAACACGAGCGCGGCCTAGCTACGGCCGCGCACGCGGCATCGCGAACATCTCGTGCGCCCTTCGCGAAGGTCGGCCACTGGCGTGCGGCCCACACTTGCCTCGATCCACGGCAGCGACGACTCGCGTACGCACCGCTCGTTACTGCCAACCTCGGGTTCCGTGGACCGGTCGCTCAAAGCGATTACACCTTCCTCCTCCGGCCCCTACTCGACGCTCGACCGGCGCAGTCAAGTGAGATCGCTTCCAGTGTCCGCGACGCGCTCGGCGATGGCGACCCCCCTGCTCATCGCCTCTTGCCGGCTACGGCGTCGCGCGCCCCCGCGTTCGCCCCGCGTCTCCCCCTCCGCTGCGTGCTTTGGCGCCGTCGGCGCGGGGATCTCGCTGCATCTAGCGCGGTGCGGAAATACGCGTTATTGCTGTACGCCTTGCTCCGCGGACGGGCGCTCGACGTTGCCAATGGTTTACCAGCCCGCATCCTTCCCGTCCCTCCTCCACCTCGTCCAGGCCCCCACAACCTTGACCAGAATTTACCTTGGTGCCACCGGCGCGGCGCCCCCAGATCATCCATCCGCATCGGCTGAATCCACCCGCATAGAAAGGGTATGGCGCACTGACTGTCCCTGACGTGTCACGGCGACGTCATCGCCAGACTCACCTCCCGCGTACGCTCTGCCGCTGTATGCGCTCGCCTCTCGCTGATCTCGTCCCGATAGTCCCCCCCACGACGGAGCGATAGCGCCTGAGACACAGGCGCGACCCTGCTCGTGTCCCAGACCGAACACCCAACAGACGACGACGACTTGCGGGGCGTGCCCATCACTTGCAACACCGCGAACCGGAACATCAAGCGCATCCACTCTTCAAGTGCAGCGCACGTACCGGCTGGCGCAGGCCGCTCATGACCGTGCTCGACAAAGACTCGCGGCCATCAGTGCGTCCGCGCCCGCTCCCTCGTGCGCCCGCCCATCTGACCAACACGCCCGCCCGCAGGCAGCACACACTGTTCTATCGAGTGGGACAGGGACCACTCCGCCGGGCCGCGGCCAAGGTTGCCGACTTTTCGATGAGCAGGAAGTTCGCGAGTATGTGATCTCCCGGCGCCGCACTGCACCGCTCGCTGACGACGCCCCCAGATCAGCTCTGACTACTGGTATGCAAGTCTAGTGATGGAACTCGTCTCTGGCGGAGACTTGCTCAAGTATTTCACCAATACAGACCGCGGGCTGCGTGCGCCTCCGCTCATTTATTGCCTTGGTATATGCGCTTACTGTCATCACAGCGGACGCGGATCACGTACCAGATCTGCGACGCCCTGTCGGTAAGCACGTCTCACCTTACCACCTATCGCCCTCTGATCACGGTCTGCAGCACGTACACGATCAAAGGATCGTTCACCGTGACCTGGAGCCGGAGAAATTTCTTCCGACGGACCAGTATCCGCCCAACGTGAAGATTTCCGACTTTGGGCTAGCGAAGCCGATGGATTCCCAGACGATCTTCAAGGTGCGTATTTATGTGAGGCAAAGTTCCTCGTTGCTAACACGCGCATCCAGACGTTCTCCGGCACCCCCATATACCTCGCGCTGGAAGTGGCCGTGCACGACGCGTTCCCGACACCGGACGGATACTCGAACCTGGTCGACAGCTGGAGCGTCGGCGTGATTTCGCCATGTGCGTCCGCCGGGAGACGCGATCGACGGCCGCGTGCTGACCGCTCTCTTTTCTCAGGCTCACGCAGGGCACCCCATTCAACGCAGACCCGCCGAACGGGGACATCCATACGATCATCATGACCCGCCAGGTGCAGTGGAAGCTCCTGTACGAGTGCAACGTGAGCGAGCAGGGTGCGTGCCCTCTCCCTCTTCTCCGTCACGCGAGCTGGGCGCACACACAGCGGAGCGCTTCATCCTCGCCGACCAAGCACATGTCGCTTACTAGCGCGCTGGACCACCCATGGCTCGCGATCGAGGTCGAGGTCGAAGGCGCGCCCCGGCGGCTCCCCGCGACCCCGCCCGCGCTCCACACCCTCCCTCTGTCTCGGACGGCGCGGCGGCCGCGGCGGAGCCCGCGCACACCCCTCCGCCCGCCGCCCCGCTGATGAGCCTGCGAAGGCTTCCCGGGACGGCGTCGCTGCTCCGCATGGACGGCGAGCAGGACGCGTCGATGCGCTCCGTGGCGGGCTCGTGCATGTCCCTCGACGACCCGAGCATCATCCTCGCCGTGTACCCGCCGTCGCCCGAGCGCGCGGCCGGTGCGCGACGCCGCCGACGGGCTCAAGGACGGCCACGTGCTCTCGAGCCCGCGCGGCAAGCTCCAGCGGCGGTCGGAGGTGCTGTCGCGGGCGCGGCAGGCGGTATTGTGAGAGATGAAGATATATTTATTAGTATGCTACTACAACGTGGAGGGCGAGGCGGAGGCGGAGGCGGAGGCGGAGGGCGAGGACAACGCAGCGGGGAAGCGGGGACGTGGTGCTGCGCGCCCGGAGTCGGAGCAGCGCGTAGAGCACGGCTAGGTGGTGCTTGCATGGACGAGCGGGACGCGCGCGAGGGCGAGGCGGCGGGCGGGCGGTGGGACCATGGTCGTGCGGGCACGTGCGCCGGCGAAGGTGAGGGGGGACTCAAGCACGGCGGATACGGCAGCGAAGGTGGGCGAGAAACTGTCCGGGAGGGAGGCGGCCACGGTGAGCGCGAGTGACGGAGAAGGTGGGAGAGGGATCTGTGTTGGAGGGTGATGGTTCTTGTAAACGTCGCGTTGAAGCACGAGAAGTGAGTGTCGTCTCAGGGTTGGAGGAAGCAGGAATTGGCTCGTCGCGCAGGACGACATGGCTTGTGCGAGAGCTTCATCGGGAGGTTCAGGTGTGGGTGGGAAGAGCTCGTGGAATACGAGTAAACGTCAGCCGATACAGACCTCGCAATGAGCGGTGAGGCTTACCGGAATGAAACCTGTCTCGACGTCTCCGTCTATAAACGCCTGGTTTCCCCCGAGGGCCCTCGAGAACTTGATGTTCTCGACCTCTGTACTCTTCCAGCGCACCTCGCGGCTTCCTCATAGCCTCCGTGCGATCGTGCCCATGGACGATTGGAAGAAGCCAATTTGTGTGCCTTGCTCGAATCCTTGCTCGACACGAAGTGATGGCGCGATGACAGCAGATGTGTTCGCGACGAGCATGAAGGGAGAGCTACGTTCTCCCAGAGGTATGCACCCGGCGGAGCCGTGAATATGTGAGTGGGTGTGGGTGTGGATAGGTAGGCGAGTTGGCCAGAGTCGAGGAGGAAGTTGCGTGGGTTCTCGGCGTATAGGCGCGATTCGAAAGCACGCCCGACGAGTGGTATTGAGGACTGGTCGAGAAGAAGCGCATCTCCAGCTGCCACCTGCGCAAAAGTCATGAGCAAATGCAAGGGTACAAATAGTCGAATGCTCACCTCTAGTTGCCGCTGGATGACATCAAGTTCGGTGATCAGGGTGTTCGACTTGCAAGCAAGTGTTCCTCAACGGTCTCAATCAGCGGAAACCGACGCCGAACGTGGAGCCGCCCAACACTCTGCGTTGCCGAACGACTTCGTCGCCTTGCGTTGAGCAGAAGAAAGCGCCTTGTGGGAACTCGCCTTGTGCATGTACGATGCGCACTCTTGGGACGGGTTTGATGAGAACAGGGTAGTCTATGTGGCAAGTCTCATGCGGGGAGGCGAGCGCAGGAGAAGATGAAGACCTTCGTACCTATGCGCAAAGCCTCTTGCTGCAAGAAGTCGAGGTCCTGGTTCCCGTGATGGCCAGAGACGACCAGAACACCTGCAGCAGACATGATATTCTTCGACACGCTGTCTCCGCACTTAGCCTCGCCGCTACGGCTACTCGCAGAAGAACCACACACCTGTTCGAGCCCATGCTCACGATGGCACTCGCCGGAGGCCCAATAAACGCGATCCCCTCCAGCGCGAATCGCTCCGCCAAGTCCGCGTTCTCGCTCATCAGAAAGCCGTAACCTGGGTGTACGGTATACATACTCAAGGTAGGTATTATGCGCTCAAAAATTGCGAACACGTACCTGCGCACGGCTTCGGCCGCACACTTCCACGATCGTGTCTATGCGCAGCGATTAAAGTCCATCTCTTGAGGACAACATGCGCATACAGTAAGGAAAGAACTCACGTAGCTCTCCGCGGACGACGCGGGTCTAATGCAATACACCTCATCCGCCTAGGGTGGGGACAAGACCGGCAGCGACGGCGTGCCGCATCCACGAACTGGACGCGCCCGCGCGAACGAGCAGGACGCGCGCAAAAGGGGAGGAAGGCAAGGTGGACGGGGGCAAAGCAGAGGTGGAGAGCACAAAATGGGGCGCACTCACCGAGCTAGGGGTCGCCGTAACTCAGGCCACTGGGGACCCCAACATCCTCATCTCCGAGCCCCTGGTGGACATCCCCCGCAGGGTGGGCGAAGCAGGTGGAGAGTACGGCACCGGGCACCGGGCGCCCGCGAGTGGAGGGCGGGAAGCGGGTGAGGCGGATGGAGGAGGGAGAGGAAGAGGAAGACGGTGCGCACCGCTCTCAGCTCTGACGTCCCCACTTGCCGCTCACCCCTGCGCGTCTTCACTAGGGCACGGTCGATGTTCGCGAGGCGGCGGCAGAGATAGTAGGGGGTACGTAGAACTGTGCGAGGTAGTACCGGTCGAATGCGAGGACAGATGCGCTGGGCCATCCCGCGCATCCACGCTTGACGAATGTGATACACGAGAACGAGGCCAGCTTCAACCACAGAAGGCTGTGACCCTGCCTCGTCCCGCCGAACTGCGACGCGTGGAGGAGGAGGAGGAGGAGGAGGAGGAGGAGGGTGACTTTAGGAACGCACCTGGATTCTGAGTCGCGCGCATGACGCAATCGAGCGCCTGCGGTTGGCGCACGCCGACTCCCAGCCTTTGACTGACTCAAATGCAGGGCGCACCGCGGTCGACACAACGCCTCATCCACGACGTATCGGCGGATCCCGTAGACACGTCAAGACCTCGCCCAACACACTAGCGCCCCCACGCCGTTGCGTCCCAGGGCGTGCCGCGGTCGACACAACCTGCCACCCCCAGCGTCCCGAAGCCTCTTGACCCGTCGACCATCGACCATCGGCGCCCCGCTCCTGCACGCCTCTTTGGCTGTCCCGTCCGTGAGTACTTGAGTTCCCGCGCATCGCTGTGCTCTCTCAACGAACGTGCACAGATCGGCCGTCTGACGGTCCCCACACCCTCGACACACTCCCCGGCGCCGCCGGACATCATCCAAGAATCCCTCAACGAGCGTGTTCAAACCAACCAGACACGCGCCGCTACTCCCAATGCCCGTTGGTGTCAGCTGGCCCAGAGCGGGAGTTCGGCGATGGAGATCAGAGCGTGCTTGCGACTGACCACTCGTACGTGCCTTCTCATCCTCCGAGCCCTTCTCCCGGCCCACACTTCTCCTCTGTCTCTTCCATCGTCCGCACCCCTTCATTCCACCGCGTCGGTGCCCTACCGACGCCCGCCCTCCGCGCCAACCATGTCCTACCATCGGCCTTGTTCGCGCAGGAACGCGCCAGACGACATCTCAATCATCCGTACCACGGCCTCACCTAACTCTGAACGCCCCAGGCCGTATGTAACCCTGTGCGAGGTAGGTGCACAACATCCCTACACTAAGATCCTACGCTTACATCTCGTGCAATCAGAGAATGTGCAGCACACGCTCGCGCTCGAGCGTGACCATTCGTTCTCGCAGAACGCGACGCATAACACTCGTAGCGTGGTCCCTATCGGACGCCTGCCGTTCCGTCCTACCCCCAGCTCACTCGCCTCTGCAGGGTACACGTACCCAGCTTCCTCGCAGTCGGTGCCAGTGCACTCGCAGTCTCACTGAGGCCTACGACTGGACGCTCCCTGCGCTAACGACGACACATACGTACGCACGGTGCCGAGACCTCCTCATAGCGATCTCTGGCCCGCTGCCTATGATTCCCCTCCCCGTGCGCCTGCACACGTTCACGGACACCATTCCAGCCGATGTCCCAACCAACAAGCCTTCCGCGGCGGACACGCAGGCGTGCGTGTTTTCGATAACGGAGGACGCGCCCAATTGACGGTACCACCCGCGCTCGCCATGCCCGCCAACGTCCAACAAACCGCCTGCAATCGCCGTCCGACTTCGCTCTTTCGACTCGAGGACTCTTCCTCGTTTGCACCTCAAGGCATCGTGGCGCACAACCGCGTTCCTCAGGGCCCACACCGGACGGGTACTCGAACCTGGTCGACAGCTGGAGCGTCGGCGTGATTGCCATTGCCATGTGCGTCTGTCCGGGTGTGCTGACCATTTTCTCCTCTCAAGCTCATGCAGGGCACCCCGTTCGACGCAGACCCGCCGAACACGGACATCCATACCAACATCACGACCCGCCGGGTGCGGTGGACGCTCCTGTACGAGTGCGGCGTGAGCGAGCAGAGTGCATGTGCCCTCCTTCTTCCCAGCCGCGCGAGCTGACCTCGGCCCCGCACACACCCACAGCCGAGCAGCTCATCCGCGCGCTCCTCGCGTCTTCCCCGAGCAAGCGCATGTCGCTCGGTGCGCTGTACCACCCGTGGCTCGCGACCGAGGCCGAGCTCGAAGGCGCGCCCCGGCCGCTCCCCGCGACTCCCCCCGCGCTTCGCACCGCGTCGCTCCAGTCGCTCCCCTCCGCCCCCTCCATCGCAGACGGCGCGCCGGCGGCGACGCTCGAGCACACCCCTCCGCTCGCCGCCCCGCTGATGGGACTGCCCGGGATGGCGTCGCTGCTTCGCATGGACAGCGAGTAGGACGCATGGATGCGCTCCGCGGCGGGCTCGCGCATGTCCCTCGACGCCCCGAGCCTCATGCTCGCCGTACACCCGCCGTCGCCCTGAGCGCCCGCCGACCCCGCCGACGCCGACGACAGGCTCAAGGACGGTCACGTGCTCTCGGGTCCGCGGTCTGCCGCAAGCGAGGGGAGCGAGCGCGGCAAGCTTCGGTGGCTGTCGGAGGTGCTGTCGCGGGGGCAGCGGGTGTGCGAGGAACTCCCGGCGCCGTCGCAGGACGTGCGTACATGGGCGGGGAGGCTCTGGTCGAGGTCGGTGGGAGGCCTGTGAAGGAGCCCGTTTATCAGCCCGTCACGCGATGAAGAAGGCCACGCCGATGCGAGAAAACAAGAAGCTTGAAGACGGCACACGGGTCGGGAGGTCGCCGATGTGCAAGGGGGTGAAACGCAAGCCACTACCGGAGTAGAATGTCGACGAAGAATTCACAGACGCAGACGCAGGAGTCACCGCGTGTGGGGCCGCGGACGGAGCCGTCAGAGATGTCTATCGCAGAAGTGGAGGGTGCGGACTAATTGCGTCGGCGACACACAGCAATGCTAGATGTGTACATTGTTGCTGTGCTTTCATGTCGATACTTCCCGTGTTCTGTCTTATCATACACTATAAAATGCACATACCCATAAGTACATGCGCGAACGTTCTCCCGGATACTCACTGGAGTTCGATATTTGCACGTGCTTCAGCCTTCGTTAGCGGTTCTTGTTCTGAAGGCCGACGCGTGCGCAGAAGGAGGGGCGTGCGCGAACGAGGATCATACATATGTAGCCTGCACCCCGTAGGCATCACCACAGGTACGGTTACCTCGGGTACGGCTCATCCAACCCGTGGAGGTTCGTGCGCCCAACACCATGGCATTACACGATACTACTATAAAACATCGCTTGCACGGCCGCGAGCTATCATGTGCTAACTGCAAACTCCTCTGACGAGTCTAAGCTCCACTCCTCCTGACACGCAGGCCCGCAGGATCGTTTGCGATGGTGTCGGGGCCGTGGACATACACCGCGCCGCGCGCACGAGCAGCGGCACGGCACAAGGCAGCAGCGCGCGTTCGCTATGATCGTGGCGCGTTTCGTTTAGGCCGCGCTCTGGTGCCCCAAGCTGGAGGGCCAGAGCGGGACCGATCAAGGTCGCGGGCTTCACCTCGACGTCAACGTCCGTGCCCGTGCCCGAGACACGCTCGAAGGCCGTGCCGGCATCGCAGTGCTGTCGGGAAAAAGAGACCGCACGGTGTCAGCGACCGCGGGGCGAGAAACTGGAGCATGCGGACCTGCAGTGCGTAGCGTTCCACCCATACGCTTTGTCGCCCCAGAACCCCGCGGCGGGGCGCGCCTGCTGGCGTTTGAGACACGCACGGAGAGCGGTACCGCCGCCGTGGCTCAGGACCGTCCACTGGCGTGCGGAACGGGGGGGGGCGGATCGGAATCGAAGTCGACGAGCGTCGTCGTGTCATCGCCGGTGAAGGTGACGAGGGACGGGAGTCGTCGAGGGGGAAGCGATCGCGCGTGACGAGCATGTGCGCAGGTCCACGTACATTAGCGTGACGCTCGCCGCCTCCGTGGCCCTCACCGAACGAGGTGAACGCGTCTTGCCAGCTGTATAGCCCGTCCGCCGAGTGCGAGGGGAGCCCGAGCCGGTCCATCTGGATGGTGTCGTGCCTTCGCTTGAGGTATTACTGCCACCCGAGACGGAGGTCGAGCATCACGAGCTGGCCTGGAGTGAGCTTGTCGGAGATGCGCGCGAGGGGAAGATAGGGGTAGGGAACGATGAACCCGCGAAGTCGATTCGGGTGCTGGGATTCGGGTGCTGGGGTTCGGCGAGATGCTGTGGTAAACATGCAAGACCAGCTTTCAACAGGTAAGAGGTGCCGTTACTGGCGTGTATGGCTTAAGAGGTGATGAGGGAGATCCCTGGATGAGTACAGCAACGTCTACGCACTCGAAACAGCCGAAGTGCTTGTCAACCTCCTCGATGACCATCGATTCCCTGTGAGCCTTGCCGATGATCTTCACGGAGACGTGGTGCTGCGCGCCCGCGAGTCGGACAAACGCACAGAGCACGGCTAGGTCGTGCTTGCATGCACGAGCGGGACGTGTGCGGGGGCGGAGGGTGAGGCGGAGAGTGGGGACAAGTGACACCGGCAGCGACGCCGTGCCACACCCACGAGGAGTCGGACGTGCTCGCGCGAACAAGCAGGAGGTGCGCAAGAGCGGAGGAGAGCAAGGTGGAGAGCACAAAACGGGGTGTACTCACCGAGCTAGTGGTCGCCGGAACTCACGGCGACCCCAACATCGTCATCTCCGAGTAGAGGACGCCCATGTGGACGTCCGCAGGTGTCCACCGTACGTGTGGTAGGCCGGGCGGGCGAAGCAGGAGGGGAAGGCGGCACCGAGCACCGGGCACCCGCGATTGCAGGTGCTCGGCCGAGGCGGGGTGCGCGGTGGAGGGCGTGAAGCGGGTGAGGCGGATGGACGAGCTTCTTCACGTCCGGATCCCATCCTCGCGTGTCGTGCGTGTCGTGGGCGCCACTAGCAGATTCGGCAAAGGAGATGGCTGGCACCAAGCGGCAGTGGACGCCTGAACGGGGCGCAAAGCGTGAAAACGAGACAGACGGGGGTGCGCACCGCTCGCGTTCCCGCTCCGTTGCCGCCCACCTGGGCGCGTCTCCACTGGCGCGTATCTCTGGCGCCCTCGGGGGCGGAACTGTGCGACGTCGAACGCGAAAACGGACTCGTGTCGGACCATCCCGCGCGCCCACGCCGGCGAATTTGATGCACGAGCAGAGGCCAGCGTCGGACGTCGACCATAGGCCTCTGCTTCGTCACGTCTCGCCGAACTGCGACAAGTGCCACCCTCGTTGAAGTACTAGTGGAGTCGCACCGCCAGCGCCTTCTCACAGAGCTTTCCAAGGCAGCTCAGAAGCACGATCGACCGGTCCGCCTTCGACTTCGAGTACATACCGTCTTTCTTGGGTTTGGGATAGCTGCTGACACCGCCGACTTGGATTGTGACAGCGAGTAGGTGGCATGGTCAAGGCACGCATTGAATACGCCGCACGGAGCGCCTCGCACTTCACGTCGTGGACGAAGCATTCATATAACGCTATCTGAGATGATCCTCCCTGGATGCTGGGCTCAATCTCCGTCGCCTCGCCGAGTTCGCGCGGTCAGCCATGCGTCCAACATGGGTAGACCGTCGTTCTCTTCAGCTCACCTACCGCTCACTCGTCCTAGTCCCCGCCCACGTCCCCACCCACATCCCGTCTCGCAGATCCAGCGCTCAGGAAAATTCCATCCCAGTCAGCCTCACCAGTCACTATGCCTCCCTCGCCGACCGTCTCTGCCAAGATTCACCCGCGCTCCGGTACGCACAAACTTGAATCACCCAATGATGCGAACGACGGCTGATGCACTCACACCCAGACCTCGGCGCAATCGTCCTTCAACGAACCTCGAGCGCAGATGATCATCGAGACTCAGAGACCGCTCGTCTCCCCGAGGATACGCGCTCCACCGGGACCACCCCAGTACGTGTGTCACTCTTTTCAGACCCTACAATGACTCACGAAGTTCGATCAGGTGAACGCGTCTCTTGACAATATATGCGCCCTGCTGAAGGAGATTCTTCACGAATTCAAGAAGGTATATTTCAAACGCTTCCACTTCCCTCTCGTATGCCCACTATCGATCAGCCCCCACAAGCGGAAAACGAGGGGATTGGAACGGAACGGAACACTGCTGGGATCGAACCTGTGAGTACATCATTCACCCGCAGCCAGATAGACATTCATGGGGTGCGCAGACTCGTATCGAACCATCGCTAGCAGCAGGAGATAAGAAACTGCCGGATATTCACGACGATGTGATAGTACGTCCCGCATCTCACTCGTTTGCATTGATACATGCTGAATAATCTGAACGATAGATGCTGCCTACTAAGAATTTCAAGCAGGCGGATATTGATGCGGCGTGGAACGAGACCAGAAAGACGGTGGAGAAGTACAGCGACGAGCTCGTCGACCAGTGGAACAAGGAAATCGATGGCCTCTTGACATTTGTACGTCTCGACGTTCGTGCCTCTGCAGCGACCCTCACCCGCGACCACTGCTCAGGACGGTCTATTCTCCGCCGCTCTCACCGCGTTCAACACCATCGCCTTTGCCATGCTCCAGCCTCAATCAAGCGATCAAACCAACGCGATCTTGACTCAGGTCTCTGCCCAGCTGAAAAGCTTTGCGCTCAATCCCTCATTCGTCAACTCTACCGCCTTGGCGTTCGGGGACATCGTGCCGACCCCCTTTCGTCCCGAGACCTGGGCCGTTTGGGTGAATGCGCTCTGGTTCACCAGTCTTACTTTCAGCGTGTCATCAGCGACGATCGGGATCATGGTGAAGCAATGGCTCAAAGAGTACAACACCGGGCTGTACGGGTTCTCCGCACCAATCACACGACGTCGCATCTACCGGCTCTCGAACCTCAACAAGGCGCACATCCCTGCTATCATCTCGCTTGTGCCACTTCTTCTCATCGTCGCCGTCATTCTATTCTTCGCCGGCCTCCTCATCCTCCTCTTCCACTCAGACGTCCATGTCTTCTCCGCCACTGCGACGTTCGTTGGGATGCTCATGCTTTTCATCATCGTCACAACCATTGTCCCGTCGATCAACCCCTCGATGTGTTACTTCTCGCCTCAATCCAGGGCCTTCCTCCCTCTCTGGAGTGTCATTCTCAGTTTCTACTCGCTCGTTTATCGTTCAATAATCCGCGCCCTCCGCTCTTTTTCTCTCACCCTCCTCCAGAGCGATTGCCAGGGCTACCTTGAAACTGTCACCTGGAGGCGCAAACGGGCCTTCTGGATCTTTTCATCCTCGTTGAGGTGTCCAGAGCCCAACACTGTATGGAAAGGCGACGAAGAGGCCATTGTCTCACGAAGCGCACCCGATCTGGACGCCCAGACAGTCC